TCCCTGAGGAGGCTGTCCCTGAGGAGGCTGTCCCTGAGGAGGCTGTCCCTGAGGCTGTTTCTGAGGCTGTTTCTGAGGTTATTCCGGAACCCGTTCCAGTAGAGCTGGAATTTCCAAGCATTACGGCACGAGAGAGGGAAACTCCAGAGACCCTTGAGTCCAAATCTGTTGTTCCTGCGACGCTCGTTGCAGAATTTGGAGAACCGAAGTCTGACATTGCGATAGATCCAAGACAAGTGGGTCTAGACGCTACTGCTCCAGTGATCACGGGATCTAGGATTTCTTCTCCAATCGCTACAAATAAGGAATTCTTAATGCCAGAGCTTGCCTCCGGAGAGGTCTCTGTTCAGGGGTCTCGTGCTGCCCTTTCGGTGACGGCACTCAACGCAGACGAAGTGCCAAAGGCGTCCGACGAGACTGGATCGAAAAACAAGAAGAACAAGAAAGCATTATTGTTGAACGAAGAGAAAGGATGTCTTCCAGATCTCGTTGAGCCATCTCTCGAGCATCGTGTCGATATGCCGCAGTCAACAGATGTCACCGAAGCAGCATTTGAGGAGCTTGTCAATCATCAAGAGACCACAGATGTGAACGCCGGGTCGAGCGATACGCAAAAATATCCAGGCTCGAATGATAAATCCGAGAAGCTGCCGGCATTGGTTGAGACAGCTGTCAAACAGGACAAGATTCATGAACAAGAGCCTGAGCCAGAAGCGTCTCAGCTGCAAGAGTCACCGCTGGCACATAGCGTGGAAGATACGGACGCAAACCGAGAAACGTCGACTTCGAAGGGGAACTCTACAGAGCCCAAGATCGAGGTTCCTGACGAGGAAACCCACGAAGAAACGGTTGTTGAGAAGCCATTGACTCGCAAAGAATCGAAGAAGAAAAGGAAGAAGGCCAAAAAGGCGGGAAAAGGGGAGCAAGAGGAATCGAGTGTCCCAATCCTTGTTGAAGAGATGACATCTCAAAAAGCAACTCTGGAAGAACCAGTAACTACTGAAAGAGGGCTGGAAAAGAGCGTTCCTGAAGACATCCTGTTGCAGGAATCAAATCACCTTGGTGCCCCGCAAGAGAGCATCACGATGCATGAGACTTTGGAGCCTCCGCCAGCGTCTGACCAGCATGATCCCGGACAGTCGACCTTGCATCATCCACATGTCGAAGAGCTCGTGAAAAGCGATGATCCTCATGCATCCGCAAATGATATTGGCCATGTTGAGGACAAAGGAGTTGCAGAGTACCAAGATACTGTGTTCAAACACCATGATGACGGACAGCTCCAACAGGATTTGCTCGCGGAGGCATCCTTGGCGAAGGATGATTCAGCAGTACTGGAGGATGTGGTCGGGAAACACCCAGATGATTCGGAAACAACGAAGTCCTCGACCAAGAAGCTATCTAAGAAGGAGAAGAAAAGGGCCAAACAAGCAGCCGAAAAGGAGGCGGCTGAAGAAGCGCAGCAAGCACAGGAAGATGTTGGAGCAGGTGAGGCAGAACCCTCTCCTCTTCTGCCAGCCTCTAGCACCGTGGCTGTCAAAGGGGCGCCCACCAAGCCCTCAGAAGGTAAGCCTCTGGAAACAGACCCTACTCTCGACCAGCCTGCAGTGGATGACAATGGCTGGCCTTTGATAGACTGGGGAAAAGCTCAAATCGATACCACAGAGCGGACCCCGGATTCATCGCCCGAAGCTCGCGCCATCCCGTTTGAGCCAGGAATCGCAGATTTCGATGAGTCTGCTATCCCCGAAGGCGTGACTAGACGACCGAGCTTGCGAGGCAGGAATAGTAGAACAAGACACTCCAGCCTGGATAGGCGTCCAGAAGGGCAATTTCGTCTTGACACAGCTTGTGTACCAACCAGTGCAACGACTTCAGGCGGGAACGTGGTCCAGAAAGGCCCGCACGAGGATCTTGACGACATTTTAGAAGGTACGGGTGTCAAAAAACCTGAGGGTGAATCCAGCAAGCAAAACAAAGTGGCGAGCATCTTCCCTGAGCTCGAGCGTGGCTTTTTCCGACGGCCGGCTTCGATTCAAGAACTTAGGTCAGCAAAAGATGGGGCTGAGGAAGAGACCATTGGCAAGGAAGCGATTCGCGACAGCGACACGGTCTTGGAAGCTCCTATCGCGACCAAAAGAGCTGCAGATTACAAGGATGCTACGCCCGATCTGACGCTGGATGACAATACGGCTACGGCACAAGAGCAAAGAGGGCAATCCGAAGAGGCGGAGACTCCTGTTATTGACGTTGAGGTTGGTCCTGCATACAATGTCTCTGTGCTGTCTGACGGGCCACATGAGCCAACTCGGTCGATCGAGATTCAGTGGGAGAGGGCAGAGGAGAAGAGTCAAAATGCTGCAACAGATACGGAAACACCAGTCCAGCAAGACACGCCTTTGTACGCACCGTTGCCTCTGCATGAGCATCCGTCGGTGCTGGCTCGATCCTCGCCGCCGAGTGACGTGGAGATTGGACTGCCAGAATCATCGCGACCAGAATCTACGTGTAGGCTTCGACGTAGCCCTTCAATCCATGGGCGCCACCGGCAGAGCACTTCCCCTCGTCAAGCGTGGTCGTTAGACGAACAACCAAGTGCATCAGGAAGAACGCCCTCGCCGCCAGGAGCAGCGGGTCGGGACTCGGTCTCGCCTCCACGAACGCCACTGCATACCATTAAGGAAAATGAGATCGGGGATCGATCGAGGAGACCCACCAGCGCCCCCGGTCGCGGGACGCCCCGTCTGGAGATGGGACCGGAGCATGTGCTTTCACCACGTCCTGAAACTCCGACTAGGAAGTTCACCGACAATGCTTTGGGTCGCCAGGCCTGGCCAACAACAGGAGAAGCCGACGATGAGACGGATGTTCAGAAGCGCCGACCGGAGAATCGGGTTATGCAGAGCGATTGGCCAGCGGAAGTACTCAAGACGCCAGAACAGGAGATGCCAATCCTGCGACCGACCAGCAGCGTCCGTTCGTTGCGACGAACCCCTCGCAGTATGAGCGGCAGTGATTTGCGGGCGGTCAGTCAAGCACTGGCCCAGCCTCCTTTTCCTCCTCCTCCTTCCTCTTCTCCCGCCCCAGCTTCCGCCTCCGACCTGAACATCGAGCGCATCGCGTCTTCCTCTTCCTATGACCCCGTCACCGACAAGGGCAAACGCCCCCTCCGGAACATGACTGATGTTTACGTAAGTCCATCATTCCGGTTTTGAAGATGACCCCAAGGCTAACCATTGCTTTTGGTTGTGGTCGACACAGGAGGGGTGGGGAGAAACACCCAGCTCGCCTCGGTCGCCTAGCCGACCGCCCAGCATCCGCCATCGTCGCAGCATGCAACACCTCCAAGAACTCGAATCCCGTCTCGATTCATTGATCTCCGAGAATCGCTTGCTTGTTGCTGCCCGCGAGGCTGCGGAAGATAAATTGCGTAATGCTAGCGTCGCGCGCCGGAAGAGCGACCATGCCCTTAACAGGAGCGACGCTGACCTGCGCGACCGGTCAGCCGAGGTGGAACAACTCAGGAGCTCAGTCGAGTGGCTGCAAAAGGAAGTGTCTCGACTGACAGGAGAGAATGAAGGTTTAGTTACTACGAACTCGAGTTTGACGGCGACTCATGCACAAGAGGTGCAGACCATGCAGGGCGCCTACGATCGCAAAATCGAGGAATTACGTACTGCAAATCAGCAAATGTCGACCGACATGCAAGCCAAAATTCGGCACGAGATTGACGTCGCCGTGGCACAAAAAGATACTGAGCTCCGACGATTACGAGAGGAGTTGGAGAACACCCGCGACAAGGTCAAACAGCTACAACAGCAGATTGCGGAAAACATGCGGGACGAGGTTCTCGTCTTCCGCGATGAGGATTACTTCGACGCTGCATGCCAGAAACTATGTGGTCATGTGCAGCAGTGGGTCCTCCGCTTCTCCAAGCATTCCGATCATCGTCGCTGTCGCAAACTGAGTGACTTGCAAGACGAGAAGATTGCCGACCGGTTCGAAAATGCCATTCTGGATGGCTCCGAGGTCGACCTCTACCTCGCCGACCGTGTCCGACGCCGGGATATCTTCATGTCAGTGGTGATGACTATGGTATGGGAATACATCTTCACTCGATACCTGTTCGGAATGGATCGCGACCAGCGACAAAAACTCAAATCCCTGGAGAAGCAGTTGTCAGAGGTGGGGACGCGGAGTTCGATCCACCGTTGGCGGGCCACTACCTTGACTTTGCTGTCGCGACGACCAATTTTCTCGAAACAGCGTGAGACCGATACCGAAGCGGTTGCTCTCGAGATCTTCGACACGCTATCTCGCCTTCTTCCACCACCTAGCAATGTTGAGACCCAGCTGCTCGATTCCCTGCGTAAGGTGCTGCGTGTCGCCGTCCACCTGTCGATTGAGATGCGCACGCAGTTGGCAGAGTACATCATGTTACCCCCGCTGCAGCCTGAATACGACACGAACGGTGATCTCGCGCGGCAGGTCTATTTCAACGCGTCGCTGATGAACGAGCGTAGTGGCGAGACTACGTCCAATGAGGAGCTGGAGTCTCAGCAGGCCGTGGTTCGCATTGTATTGTTTCCCTTGGTGGTGAAAAAGGGCAACGATACGGGTGATGGCGATGATGAAGTGGTCGTCTGCCCGGCTCAAGTGCTCATTGCCCGACCGAGCAAGGACAAGAGGGTGTCCAAGATGGTCAGCGGTGATCGCATGTCGCTGGATGCCACCCGATCGGTGCACAGCGCGGCTCCATCATCGACCATGGACTTGAGCAACGTGATTTGAGGCGTCACACTCGAATCACGACCTGGTCAAGCTCAATATTTGCGATGTGTCTGGCAGATGACGGGTTGTGGACCGGTCTTTATGCGTTCTAATACCCACTTGGACTTGTGTTGTTTCTTTCTTTTCTTCTTATCTATTTTTTTGCATTGTCTTTTTGTTCTCTTGCTTCTCAGTGGAAGTGCACTGAAGGCGTTCTGGACAGGGGCAATGACTTTGGAATTCCGGGTGCGACCCCAAAATGGTAATGAATAATCATGGGTGCAGGGGTCAATGTCCACTTTCCCAGCATCTCAAAATCTGATGAAGTCTATGATGATGCCCGATGTCTCCTAAGAGTTGACGATATTACGGCCATTTATTTAGTTGTCTATGTGTTATACTTATGCTTTTGCTTCGTTGCCTTTCTATGTTTGTATCCTGGAGATTTGGCTGTATGTGAGTTATGTACATGATACGATAATGATAGTCGCCAGGCCAGTCCTTTGTGAATACTGACTTATGTAGTTGTAGAAGAAGAAACAATAGCAGGGAGAGCCAGCCAGAGTCAATGACGCGTGATGTCATAGAAAATTGAGCCGGCCAGAAGGCGGTGAACAACAGCCCGGCCGTGCCGTCATCCATTTTGTGAGGAGCACCCGTGATGCTCTCTGCTCCTCCTTTAGTTTATCGCTTTCTTCCCTCCTCTCTCCCTCCTTCCTCTCTGCCAGCTCGCTACTTGTTAGCCTACTCACTACCTACGATCAATAATTTTCTGCTCAAATCAAGCCAAACCAGGTCCAAGTCAAGTGTGGCGCATATGTGGATATCCTCCCCCACCCCCATGTTCCACCCAATTCTGCCTCTCACTTGCCAATCTCTCCTCGTTCGTCGCCCCGGGCCCTGATGAAGTGTCTCTGCCTATGCTATGCTGAGCTCGACAAGGCGTTCAGCTCCTGCATGAACATCTACCCTTGCATTCTTACGGAATTCCTTTCTCGATCAACTTAGTCTGTGTTGTCTATTTCTGGCTTGTTGTTGTTGTTCTTGTTCTCCTTACAATTTGGGTTTTGCAGATTTAATAGACTCGGTGCGCTGGATTCGATTACTCGATTGATGATTCATCGGTCCAGCTATTGGTCATACAGTGTTACCCTTTCTGCAGCCCTAAAGATCAGGACTCGTTCAGTTCGCTGCCACTTCCTTGGGCCCATCCTCGTGCATGCGGCCTTAGAGCCCCTCAACCATTATGCAGCCTACACCGTCAACTCCACGGCAGACCGCCCCCAGCCCTAGCAAGCGTTCTGCTCACAACGGCCGAGCTGCTGATACCAATTCGGGAACAACCCGTGCCTCTACCAACCTTGAAACTCCCCGGCCGGGCATGAAGCCGGACGAAGGTACAGCAAGCAGATCAGGAACGCCCAAGTCCGCGAAACGGCGCAAACCGCGACATCGGAAACGCCGCAATCGCCGACAGTCTTTTCTCGGTGAAGAATCTCATCCCGACGCGGCTGGATCGTCGGCCGCTGATCCTGAGGATCTGAGCACGATGGCAGCAAGGCAGACCAACACGCAGGCACCCTTGCCCTTCTACAATCTGAGGCGGGACCTCAGCAGCACGAGCTTGGAGAGCGAGGCCTTGCTGGATCATCGGTATGTTGGTGTCGATCAAGTTTGCTGCGGGTAGTCAGCCCTATCTTTCTAAGGATTCGTGTGGCTAATGTCGAGGTTCCCGCCCAGTAATCAACCGTCTATGCGGCCTCGGAGAGACAGCCGCCTGGGGCAGTCCTTTCGACCAGGGTCGTCCGCGACCCCTTATCGTCTCACGGAGGCCGGTTCTCGCGGTCTTATTTCGAGGGGAAAGTCTTATCGGGCAGAGGATGACAGCGACGGAGAAGATGTGAATGACCGAACGCCACTGATCCCGCCATCTTCGGTCCATAGCCCGACTTTGCCGCGATATGGGACTGATTCAAAGTCCAGTCCGTTCTCTTTCCGTCAACGACGTCCTTCAGGCCAGTCTGGCTCGTCCAGATGCTCGCCGCGGGCGATCCCAAGCCCTGGCCTCGTGGAGCAGGATCGTGATTATGATATCAACAATCCACCGTCCATGCCTACATCGCCCAAACTCGGACCGGAGATGAACTACGACGATGCGGTGGTCACGGGAGCGGAATTCGACTTCTTGCTGGCGAAATCTATCGACAATCGCATGGAAAACCTAGCTCGTTCACATGATGTGCTGATTGACGTGGATGCCGGTGGGGCCAAAGGACCCCAGCCGTCTATAGGGTCTTCACCTCCCTCACCGCACATGGCTCCTCAGGACGGCCTCCGGCGTCGGAAGACCATGCCTGCGGAAGAAGATGTCTGCTTCCCAACGGAAGCAGCATCCGAGCTCGCGGAAGAGGACGAGCTGAGGGCGCCCCGGGAAGATCACCGCCGACGTCGGCGCCATCGGGAATGGCCCGAATTGTCCGTTCTGGATGAATGGAGTCGACAGGAGAAAGAGGAGCGATCCGGTGCTCTTCGTGCCAAGACGATCAGCGAGCCCATGCTTGTGGAGGGCCGTCTTCGTCCCCAGTATCGGCTCTGGCGCCGGGAAGAGGAAGAAGCGCCTTATCGGTTCACGTACTTCAACGAGGAGTTCCAAAGTACCATTCATGCGCAAACGATTTCCGAATTGGTGCAGCCAGGCGGTAGCTTTCGCGAGTTGTTCATTCCCGATCCACCCGAGCTAGATGTGTCGTCTGATGAAGAAGAGGACGATCATGAAGACCACCACGGGGAAGAGACGCCGGTCAACAATCACGGCAGCCACCATGGCAGCCATAGCGGCAACGGGCACGCTAATGGGAGCAATCACGGCGGTGAGACCAATAATCATGGCAACAACACCCCCAAACAACATCCACGGATGTCGGTCATCAGTGAAGCTGTTTCGGAGGCCCGTACGTCAACCGACGTCTCCCCTGCACGAAAACAGGGTCAACCGAAGCCTAAGCGCTACGGACCCCGGCCAACCTTCTGGCTCGATGTGCTCTCCCCGACTGATGCGGAGATGCGGGTGCTCGCAAAGACATTTGGCATCCACGCCCTGACGACCGAGGACATCATGATGCAGGAGGCGCGCGAAAAGGTGGAGCTGTTCCGGAACTACTACTTTGTCAACTACCGAACATTCGAACAAGATCCCAACAGCGAGAACTACCTCCAGCCGGTGAACATGTACGTGGTGGTCTTCCGCGAGGGGGTCCTCTCCTTCCACTTTTCGCAAACGCCGCACCCGGCGAATGTGCGGCGGCGCATCCGGCAACTGATGGACTACCTGATCCTGAGTTCGGATTGGATCTCCTATGCGCTGATTGATGACATCACCGACGTGTTCGGTCCCTTGATTCAAGCCATCGAGGATGAGGTCGACGAGATCGACGAAAAGATCATGCAGATGCACTCGGATGAGCGGGGGATTGTGCCCAATACCAAGGATGACGAGAAGGATAGTGTCGCAACCTCGTTGTCGCCGGGCGAAATGCTTCGACGGGTGGGAGTGTGCCGCAAGAAGGTCATGGGCATGTATCGACTGCTAAGCAACAAGGCGGATGTCGTCAAAGGGTTTGCCAAGCGGTGCAACGAACAATGGGAGGTCGCGCCGAAGTCGGAGATCGGGCTGTATCTGGGCGATATCCAGGATCATATTATGACAATGACCAGCAGTCTGACCTACTACGAGACGTACGTTTGTTGCATTGTCGGTTTCGAGAGTTCTATGGTGTACTAACTGCGGCGACCGCTTAGGCTTCTATCCCGGGCGCACTCAAACTACCTGGCGCAGATCAACATTCTGATGAATGAGCGGCAAGAACAGACAGCTGACGTGCTGGGGAAGCTGACGGTGCTGGGAACGATTGTCTTGCCGTTGAACATCATCTGTGGTATGTGGGGGATGAACGTCAAGGTACCGGGGCAGGATGTGGATAGCCTGACCTGGTTTTGGTCTAGTAAGTTGGACTCTTTCTTTCTCTCTCTCTCTCTCTCCCTCCTCTACAGGTGGTGGGATGCCCCCTCCGGTGATTTATGGAACTAATGGTTTGAAAACAGTTACTGGAGGATTAATCCTGTTTGCTTTTGCGTCGTTCTACATTGCCAAGCGCGTGTATGGGATTGTATAGAGGAGTGGGAGTTGTGCTTTGGCGTGCTGCTTTTGGAAAGCTTCTTTGGAGTAAGATCGGAGGGGGTTTTACCGTGTGACAGGCGGAGGTCGTGTGATACGCTTGCTGTCATTCTTATTGTTAGGATCATTTCTGCTCCGGAAGTTCCTATTGTTACCGATTTATCCATTCATTGCTCCTTGCTTCCTGTAATTGTCCAGTCTTCCCGGGTCTTGCGATTGATTGATGGATGGATGGATGGGGATTGTATGTACTGTACGTACTGTTAAGTAGGAAAGCCGGGCTCACTAGCCAGGAAGCAAGTATATCTACCTACCAGGCTGCGAAGTATTGTAGATTCAAGACTGTGGAATGTGTGTGATGCGATGCGATGCAAAGCTCTTCTCAATGATTTTTAATCTTATTTCCAAGGCAAAGAGAAGCGAAGCAAATGAGGATGAAGTCATGATGACCCCGACGGGGCAGAGTGGGCGAACGGGCGGTACGCAACGTGACAGGCGGTGTATGCGAGGTGAGGCTTTATTTGGGGTATTTGGGGTATTAGTAATACGCGGGTGTTTTCCAGGTTCCCTGAATTCGACTGCCTTCCTTTCCCAATGCTCTTCCACCTTCTCTCAGTGTCTCTCTCTCTTGTATTCTTCTCTCTCTCTCTCTTTCTCTCTCCTCCGTCTTCCCCTTCCTTTCCCTCCCTTCACAGTCCGGTCCTGTCCAGGATGTGATTCTCCTCTTCTTCTTCGTCGTCTTCTTCTTCTTCTTCTTCTTCTTTTCTTCTTCCTCCACCTCTCTCCACCAGCCATTCCGATTAGTCCCCCCAGTGAACCACGCTAGAGCAGCCGGTACCTTGACGTGGGCGACTGTCATTGGGTGTGTGTACGCCAGTCCCCTGAGTGGGCAAAAGCGGGTGTCGCCCTCGAAACTATCACTGCTAAGAACTACAACCACTACTACAACCACAACAGCCACAACAATCACCCTCTCCGGCTTCTTTTCAACCTTCGCGAAAGTCCTTGCGTCCTGCCACTTGGGCCCGCAGCTGCCAATAGAACCCGCCTCTCTCTCCCCTCCCTTCGATTCTCCTCCACCCACCACCATCCACCACCCGCAAACCACCAACCATCCAACCCAGACCTCCAGCCTATCCACCTCTCTCTCTCACCTGATCTAAAGTCTTCCTACGACCTTCCGACTAACTCAGCAACGGCTTGGAAGCTTGTTCTAGACGTTGTCCATCTCTCCCAACCCACCACATCCCCCCCCCCCCCCCTCCCCCCCCCCCCCCCCCCCCCCCCCCCCCCTTCCCCATCCGCTACTAAATCAAGTTATGTGCACCATTGTCTCCGCCTTCACGGCTTCGGTCTGCCTGCATCAATACTTGGTTTTTTCTTGACCCAATCGCTGCGCATATCGGTTACTTCCTTCTTAACGCATCCTCACGCACTTCTGCTGTCCCCCCAAATACTTGGCTGCTACTGTGGTGATTTTTGTTTATCCTCTGCGCGCTGCTGTCTGATAACGGTTTCTCCCGCCCCGAGGCGCTTTGTCCATTCACAGCATGTGGTTGTCGTCCATTCGCCCTTCGACTACTCTTTTGACTGTGTAACGTGGGTGTTGTACGACAGGAAGCCATTGCTTTCTAAGTGCGACGACCAGTCAGCGTCAACTTGCTCTTTTTCTTTCTCAGCCTACGATCCCGCCTGACTCTTTCGGCCAAATTCGTGCCTCGAGCTGGGATTTTTTCCGTCGTGGCCGTCCTCTAATCATTTTTCCACGCCCTGGTCCCGGCTTTCCCGCCCGCTTGGTGCTCACCGAATTTTTCGATTCCTATTTTCCCCTCCTCGTGTTTGTCTTCCACCGACTCTTATCCTGGTTCCCTCTCGGACCTCCTGATTTCTGAAAGGGCTTGTCGGCATTTTCTGACGCAGCAGAAGTCATGGCGGCGGAGTCCGAGAGGTCACCTCATCCCAACGGGACCGCTGGCGGATCTAGAGTGGCCCAAACCGATGAGGCTGCCTCGTCCGTTGCAGCGCCTCGCCGATCTGTCAGTGAAAGCTACATGATGGAAGTGCCACGTTCGACCTTTAGATCCCCAATCCAGGGGCCTGCCGTGTCACAGCTGCCTAAGTTCTCGCATGTCGTTCCTGGCATCGCCGTCCCAACGCCCACCGCTCCCTCAGTTATATCCTCCCGTGAAACCTCCCCGGTCCGATCCACTCGTCGTCCGCGCAATTCACCATCGACTCCTCGGATCGCTTCTCGATCACGCAAAGGCAGCGTTGACCGGAGTCCGAATAGATCCGCTTCCACAACGACCGCAGGGTCGGGCACGCTACCCTCGGCCACGGCCATTCAACGAGCATTATCCAAGAACCTTAAACCTCCCATCCTCAGTCCAACTCCCAATGCCGATTCGTCCTCCGATGCGCCTAGCCCCGATAAGTCTAATATGCCATTGTGGGCCACTTCGCGACGGTCGGAGCCGGAGCCTACCCAACCGAATACCTCGATCAAGCGCTCGACGCCCGGGCCGGACGATCATGCGACGAAGACCGACCGGAGTGCCCCTCGGGCGGTCAATCGGGGAAATCACACACCAGGGTCGGCCCTCGAGACCGTGCAGGAGATGGCCAGTGATCAGTCCACACCCTCAACCGAGACTATCCTTGGTCTGCCATTACGGGAAGACCCACAGCTGCAAAAGATCGATGAAGACGCGACGCCCAAGGCCCCTCGACTGCAGCAGAATGAGAGTGGCAGCGATAGTGGTGGGAACAAGAGCTCGGAGCAAGTGGACGGTTTTCGCCGTCATGCACCCTCGGGTTCCCGGGGTTCCAATAACACCATAATCCCGAAACCATCCACTACCTCTCTGAGTGGAGGTCCGCGCGCAAAGCCGACCGATGGTTCCGTGCGTAACATGATAGTTGAGACCGAAACCGTCAGTTCTATCCCGCAGGTATCTCTCGGCGTGGTTCCCGGGGATCGAGGCAACACGGGTCGGGTGGATTCAGGTACACTTCGAATGAAACCCAGTACCGAGACCATCCGCCCCAAGAAGGAGAAGAAGCGGACCCGGAAGCCGGCCACACTGACGACCAGCACGGCCTCGTCCAAGGCAGACATCTTCGAGGCGAAAGTGGCCAGTGCGGTGGACGAGGCCGATGTGTCGGATTCCGACGAAACATTCGTGTACGAGTCGAATCCCCCGGATCCCTATCCGGTTCGTCAAAACCGGTACCATTCCCGAACCCCGAGTGCAACATCCATGGCTAGTCAGGTTGACCAACTGGCTGGCCGGAGTCGCGCGGGGATTCGAGATGGGAACCACAGCGTCACGGGCAAGCGAAGCATGAAGTTTACCAATAATACCTTCACTAGCAATCCTGATGACTTCGGAGATGAGACAATACGCAGCCACCCCCGAACCGATGGCAGCGGAACGCACACTCCTCGAGCTCCATTTCATATCGGGCGTCATGGGCGTAACGGTAACGTCTATCCGTCCTTATTCGATAGCGATTCGCCTTTTCCTCAGTCTCAAAGCAATGCCAGATCTCCCCGCCATTTTGTGGGTAACGCCTACCGACAGTCTCGACACCTTGGGTCACGCGCAAATCCGAACTATCGCACGATCAGTGGTAGCAAGAAACCACACGATCTCTATGGCTACGATTTCGATGCCGAAGGAGCAGATGATGAGCGTACCCCTCTCGTTGGGTCACCCCGAGTAACACGAAGCCGACAGAGCGGTGGACGGCGCCCAAATAGCGCCAGTCTGCGCCAAATGGAATACATGCAGCAGCGCCATCGTGGGTTCTTCTCCCGGTACGGCGCATGTCTGTTAATCACCCTTTTGCTCTTGTTAGCTGTCGGAGGAGTCGTCTCGTTCGTGGTGGCGACCACCAAGTCCCTCGTCGATGTTCAAGTGCTTGACATCCAGAATGTCCTAGCGTCCGAGCAGGAGATCATGCTGGACTTGAACGTGCAAGCCATCAACCCGAATCTGTTCCCAGTATCGATCGACGATATGGATATGAACATCTTTGCTAAGAGCCGGTTTGTGGGGACGGACAAATTCTGGCGCGACGGTGAGCTCGACTTAAGCCGAATACCTCGAGTGGAGCACCGCAGGAAACGAGCCGAAAGGTCTCGACTCGCTCGCTGTGCCGGCACAGCAGGCTGTCAGCCGAATGAGACGGAGTTAAGTGGCATGGTGCTTCCTCGTGGCGGTGTGGACAAGGGCACCGATCCCATGCCCACCGATCCCGCAGGCGATCCCCAAACGATGTTGCTCGGTCGCGTTTTCCATTTCGACTCGCCACTGTTGTTGGAACCGTCGCCATGGAACTATGAGCCGTCGACTTCGAAAGGACAGATCCGTCTTGCTCGGCCCGGCAACAAGACAGAAGAGGGCGGCACGGAACGGTGGGAACGAGTGCTTCAACATCCATTTGAACTGATCGTCCGTGGTGTGGTTAAATATCAGCTTCCTTTGAGCTCGCGCTATTATTCGGCGTCGGTGAGCTCTAGTATCAAGGTGATACCAGATGACGGAGATGACGATGATGGTGGAAGCGGGAGCCCCGGAAAGAACGGCACGGTCACAATCTCAGCCCGGAGAACTTTCCAACGGCGTTTCCGTACTGTTCGAGACCCCGAAAACCTGACCCTGAATATTGTCCGAAAGGCTTTTCGTATGGTCAAGCGAGTCTTTGCAGCTTAGATTCAGATTGTTCGGGCTGAATTCCCCTTTGCCTGGCGTTATGTGGAGCTTGCGGTTCGAGCTTTTAGCGGCCTCTCGCACATCTTCCTCCTTGTGCGACTCACGGCTCTTGTCACCCCCTGCAACATATGGCCGTATCAAATTTTGTTTATCCTTCTACGCAGTTGGATCTGTTTTCTCTCGACTTTTACCCACTGATGTGTGACGAATTGACATAATCTATCACGATGACTCGACAGCGAAGGCATGGGCAACGGTGGCGGTCTTTCAAAAAGACGTTCATATCATATCTGCATCAGCACGGCGCTTCTATACACATTTGGCGGGGTTCGTTTATGATTTGTTTGATTAGAGTGGGGCTCCTGAGATAAGCGGAGTGAGACGAGGCAGACAAAAAGACAGACAGGGGTCACACACCCACAGGGTGGCGCAGGCGTCGTTCTCTGGTTGTCTCGATTGTCGTGCTTGCTGTCCTGCAACATTTTTTTACGTTTTATGTGTATCTATGTATGGCCTTGTACATAATATGTTATCCATCCATCCATCCATCCATCCGGTACATGGACGTGTACCGTTTACATAGACCTCTGGTGACTCCTATTCACTCTTCTTGGTCATGCTTTAAGCATCATTTGCATTTGACCGGAATGATACCTTGTCGGTGGTCCGTCGGTCGCATGAAGATGTATTGGTAGGAGACCTCTGGTGTTTGGTTTGAGGGCCGGGTATGAGAATAGGAGCGGGCTAGTATTCCGCTGATTCTTTTGGATTGTAAGATCTCACTGACTAGCCAGGTACATAATGAGACGTCCATAAGATCTCCTTTGTTTTCCCTTCGGTGCGAAATATATGAGAATACTCCGGCCATTCATTCACCTTCCTTCCTTCACTCAGAGGGAACCAGCCCATCCTTCCCATGGGACCGAAGCCGGACTGATCCAGTTCTGCGGCTGCAATTGCGCGAGAAGCGGCGCCGGGATAGACTGCATCGGAGGGAACGGCACGAAATCGCCGGGAGGGCTCATGAGGCCGGCGGCGTGGGGGTCCAGACCGACCAGCGACGCCAGCGCTTGTTGTCCATGAGTGCAGGCCATTTCACTGGGATGGTATTATTTGCTCGTTAGTCTTGGATTCAGGACACTAGCCTAGCGAGGGCGGGGAATCAAATGATAGGAAAGAGACTCTTACATGATCTGACGAAGGACCGGCACGGCCTTGCTGCAGAAATTGCTGCGGTTGGAGAGTGCGGCGAATGTCTCCAGGGCGTCCCAAAGCAGAACTTTCGATTCGTCATACTCGAATTGGGTCTCCGGGGACATCAAGGTCACGGACAGGACCACGGCCGCGTGGAAGGCGTGGAAACTGCCGAGGTAGCTGTTGTACCATTTGTAGGAGGCGTACGAGGACGACTCATGCAGCGTTCGGTAGATGGCTAACGATGCCCGGGCGGAGGAGACGCATTTGGTCCGCGATGCATAGGTCTCTGGGGTGAACTCGCCTTGTAGGTAGGCGCAAAGGCTGGGTCGCAGAAGGAGAAGGAATAGCTGGTGGATGTAACTGTAGAGAATGTTGAGGTTGGCCTGGTGCGCTGGCAGTATTGGTTCTAGGCTGGAGTTGGGTTGGTAGCGGTGGTCGCACATCTCACGGATGGATAGGATTTGAGCCTCCAGTTGGTACGTGTCGAGCCTCGGAGAGGGGCTGAATAGGGTATCGCATATCATGGATAAGACTCTGTTGAGATGGAATTCCAGCAGTAGATAGGTCATGTGCGTCGGACGTGTCGGTTGTCCCGAGAATGACCCGGTTAGCAAGTCGACATCGTTGATGTCTAGGGGCAGTTTCACGTCATGTGCTGTAAGCCCGCTATGCAAGCAGCCGAACACGGTGTTTTGAACGGTAAATATCGAGGTGAGCCCGATCCAGGCACGCCTGCGTTCCTCCTGCTCGATGAGCCCGAGATCGAACCGGCTGGGGTCAACGTGGCAGCCCATAGAGATGGCTACATGATGCGTAAACCCTAGCAGGGTCCAGATGGGAAGACCACGGTGAACCCGGGCATAGTTGACGAGTATGAGAGATTGGAGGGAGTTTATTGAATGTCGAGAAAGGACATTATCTGCTGCCAGGCATCGCAGTGAGGCCGACCGATAGCGGGCACTCAATGCCTTGATGTTCCGACTAACCGTCTTCTCTCGCCCTATGTCAGAGAGCAAAAGCTCATCGTCTTCGAGCGCAGTGACAGCAATAGAGAGAATGGCAAACAGAAGCGCGAGCCATGCGGTTGTCACGCTGTTGGCGTCGTGACAGAATTGTTGGTACTCGGTCTCAAACGTGAGGTCGTGGAGAATGTGGAAGAGCTGGATGCTTTATCAGCAAATCTTTCTCCTGGATAGCCCGACACAGGATGTTACAAGCATGGCAGGTCATACGATCACAACATACAGGTGAGAAGACTCGTAGGTAGATGTCCTTGAGCGCATCGCAATATCGGCGCGGGGGAAGTATCGCTAACAGCTCATCCCTTGAAACACAAGTTTTGACGAATGGGAGTTGCAGATCGTCGCCGTCGTCCGGGATCTCGGTTTCGATATTGGGTGCTGACTGGCCCCTGGAGATGGGAGGACTGGCCACCCACGGCAGATAGCGAACGTATCCGGCATTGTATGTCTGGAGGGTGCCGGCGCTGTTGGGCCATCGGGATCTGAGATCTCGGGATCTAACATCAAACGCAGGCTCGAACTCGGCTCCACTTTCAGTCCCGCTGGGCGATCTCTGGGGTGAGATACCATCGCTTGACTGAATGTGAAGCTCCTCGAGGTTACTGATTCGTGCGAGCAACTCGTTCTGCTCGGGCGGAGCAGCCGTTAAGGCTTGTTGGGAAGAGAGTCTAGGCTGGCCTAGATAAATACAGTCTTCTGCCCCCAAGCCTCGCCGAACACACGTCTGGCATGGACGGCCATCACGAGAGCAGCGGATTTTCCTTGTTCGGCATGCCTGACAGCTGATAGGCAGTCTCTTTCCGGTCGAGCGGCTGAAGGTAGTCATGGTGGCGCCAGATAATGAATCAAAATAAGGAATTTTAAATTGTATCACCCTTGTACATGGGTAGGTCTGGAAAAAAGGTACACTGAGACGGGGTAGTTGGTCGGCTCGGTGCCTGCCGGTCCTGCTGTCAGCTTTCGCGTTTTCAGAGGACACAACATGCTCAACACCTGCTATGCAAGTGAACGGTGCGCTCTTTATATGGAAGCATCTCTGGCTAGTAGCTCATGAGTAAGGAGTTTTTGCACAGGGTTATCATTCACAATGTCCCGCCTCGGCATCGCCGGTCTAGTTCTTTTTCTTCTTTGGGCTGAAGCCCTAGGACACTCGCTGCGCTGGCGCGGTGCTAATCCGCCGAATAAAGTAGGAGAAGCAACTTCACGGAGAATTCCGTCCTAGCGCGACAACGTTTTTGTCACTCCTCAAGATCACGTCTGATGCTGTTAGCTTGCAGCGTGCATAGAAAATTTTTCTGCTGCCTTCGTATCCATCACCTATAATGCCTGTACTAAGAGCTCTTGACAAAAACTTCATACTCATTTAGGCATGGAAAAGTTCTAGAAGGATACCCGTGTCGACCAATCCGTGCTCGAGTGTATCGGACGGAAGGGGAGACCTAAGGCTATGGGGGATGAGTGCGGATGGCGATGACGTCTGCGAGCATCGATAGTGCACCAACTCGGGTCGACGGCATTGTGGGGCTTGATCATCGAACCGTCGTAATCATCCTGTCTAAAGGATTGTGGCTAGGTGCATACAGCCCAAGACCATCTCCTGCACCACCGCCACAGAGAACCATGGTTAAGAATCCTCTAGTAGAGTCTTCCTGGCAAGAAAGGCGGCTAGCAAGAGACAGTTTCGTAAGACTGTCTCCTCTTTCCAATCATTGCTCTCGTAGGAACTTCCTCTGTAGCCTGAAGGGCCCTTGTTCCCTCTTTTTGCAGGACATACATCTGCGGGAGAGGAACAGCAGCGCATGGCGTTCCAGTCCCCTGTCAGGGCGTTATTGTCCACCACGCTAGAGTTTTAGCGAGTCCCAGAGTAGATGGCGCCTCAGGTCTCAACGTTGCATGGGTAGTTGAGCCACAGGATTGATTTATGCGAGGGGTCAAAGCGGCAGCAAGATCCATCATTCGACTGCTGGCACGGTTGAGCCCCGTAGGGCACGTATGCTAGATCCACGGATTAAAAGCACCATGCAGGGATTATCGTGCAGACCCTTCTCTAAGAAAAAAGAAATCAATCATACCGATTGAATGCCACATGTGAAGCCATGTTTGGGATCACGGTTGCCCAAGCGATACGGTGCAATCGTTGTAGGCCGTTCTCATAACGCGGTCTGTGTATATACGAGACCTGGCTTATGCAGGAGATGTGGGCTCATTAATCATTTTCCTCTGTCATAAATCCGAAGGTTGCAGGATTTAAAATCCAATTCCGGGAACTGCAACCCCTTCGGGAGAAGATTCCAGTACTCAGTACTTAGTTTAGTACTTTACACACGGATAGGGCGGATAAGTCCTAACACATCCCACAAGCATATGAGGGACCAAGCTGAAAGATAGATTTTTAAGTGGATCCCTGTAATGACTGAGGGGCCTCATATGGTGGTTAGAGGTTGTTTGCTTTAAGGTGCTTGAGACCGATGGTATGACGGCTGTCATTCCATGGTTGGCATGCATTTGGATGACCGATCTTGTTGTTCCCATGGGAATCATATCATTGTGATTCAGGGACAAAGATTGATTAGAAGATTAAATCTTTTGTTGAACCTTGTAGGTGTGTAGAAGGGAGAAATAGTAGAGAAGAAGAAGACGATGATGAAGATGATGAAGGAAACTGTCACCAGGCCTGCCTGTCTGTCCTTCACGTGGACGGTTGATCACCTGCTTGCCTGTTTGGGTAGTTTGCCTGGTCTTTGCGGCCTCAGGTTTTCTATTCAGGTCTCTTTCTTTCTTTCTCTCTTTACTTCTCCCACGCCATCCCCCATCATGTATCGTCCTTACTTACATCACTTCCTTTCTCAGCTCTAACCTTCCACGTTCCACATGCAAGCATTGTGTTACGTCTCACGCAAATCAAACGCAGTGAAACTGCTGACCCCAAATCAACTGTTCACCAGACGATCAGTGAGTGCCCCCCAGCCAACCACGACTACGGCCCGGCATACTTAATCTTTCGCTAGTATTGGCCTTACCCCTCCTTCGGTGCTCCTTCGGTGCCCGTCCTCACACTCGGAGCAATCATCTCCTTTCAACCTGCAGTTCATTCCGTCTCTCTGACGACGGTGTACGTCGGCCTTGCTCAGTCCTCGAATCAACTCGATTGTTCATACAACCTGCCGCCGACGCCCGTCAACTGTTCACACTCGGCAGCCTCTCGCGTCAGCCTCGCTTACCCCACTTCACTGCAAGTCCGTCGTCTACCGTCCTCTTCTCAAAACCCCCCTCTCATCTCTCTTTCGCCTGCCTTTGTACTCTCTTAGTCACTTCAGATTCATCTTTCGACTGGTCTCCTTAATGTCATACGTTTACAGAGAGCGCGATCGCGAGCGGGACTGGGACGAACCCCGGTCGACCGTGTCTATCAAGCGTTACGTCATTCCCTCAGAGGAGGAACGGGAGCGGGATTTCTTCTATCGCCATGAGGAACCAGCCGACCGAGAGCTGGTTATCCGGCGCACTCATGAGCGAGAGGATCCGGTGATGGTTCAACGATATGAACGGGAAATTGACTACGACTCGCGCCCACTTGACTACCGCTCCGAAAGAGACTATTACGAACGTGAGTATTATGTGCCCGAGCGCATCCGCAGTCACCCCGCCCCCGTTATCATTCGTGAAACTCAGCCGATAATCCTTCTTGAAGCACGCGGTCCGGTCTACGTCAATCCACGAGAATCCGATTATGCGATTGTGCGGCGGCCGGAAGTGGACCGTGAGCCTGAAGGCTACTACTACCACCGGCGTGTCCGGGAGTGGGATGAAGACCGCCGCTCCCGACGCGAACTCAGCCCCAGTGACTCCGTTTCTCAGGCTACTCGTCGTCGGGATGAACAAGACTATAGCAGCGATGAGAGCATGGTCTATATTCGCAAAGAGACGCGGGAGTACGATGACCATCCTCATCATCGGCGGCGGCATCTCGCCGAGGGCGCTTTGGCAGGCGTTGGGGCGGCCGAGCTTCTTCGCAACCATCATAAGAAAGAAGGGGAGGAAGTGGCGGAAGGAGTTGGCCGCCTCGGACGGGACGTGGGCGCCGGTGCATTGGGCGCCATTGCCGCTGAAGCCGTCTCACGCGCAAGAGAACACTATCGCAGCAAAAGTCGGCATCGCTCCCACTCTTTCGACGACGATCACAGATCACACTCCCGTCATCATCACCATCATCACCATCATAGCCGCAGTCGTCGAAGCCGCAGTCGCTCTCACTCCCACTCGCGTGCACGCACGCTCGCAGAACTGGGCTTGGGTGCAGCTGCTATTGCGGGCGCAGTTGCCCTGGCACGAAACAAGTCCAACTCCAAGAAGGACCGGCGCAGTCGATCTCGTCACCGCCGGGCTGCCAGTTCCACCCGATCGTTGCCGGTCACCAAAGATGGAGAGCGCAGCCAGTCTCAAAGCAGAAAGCACATGGCCGAGGCGGGTCTAGCCGGAGCAGCTGTGGCTGGCCTTATCGAGAGGGCCCGGAGTCGCTCACGCCCAGGACGACGTGATCGATCTCGTTCCAAGAGTGCAATCAGAAAAGCCCTGCCAGTGCTAGCGGCTGGTCTTGGAACCGCTGCTGTGACCGGCTTGTACGAGAAAAACAAGGAGAAGAAGGAAGGATCCCGCCGCCGCTCTAGGTCGCGCAGCCGCGCCCCTTCAGAGGTTTACTCTGACCCAACGAAATCCTCGCCTGGATTAATTGAATACGGGGAGCACCCAGTCCACGGAAGTATTCCTGCCAACTACTACGGTCGACCTGGGAGCTCGCATGGGTACTACTCGGATGCATCTGATCCTGTTGCAAGTGGTGCGGCAGGCTTTGGATCAACACGGCGCCGGGACTATAGCCGCAGTCGTAGTCGGAGCCGAGGCCGGGCTGTCCGTTACAGTAGCGATTCGTCAGATTCAGAAAGCGACAGGCGGAGACGACGGCGAGGTGGGCACGAACGGCCTCGCAGTCGCTCGCGCGAATTCGCCGAGGCCGCTTTAGGAGCGGCGGGGGTCGGTTACGCAGCCCACAAGCTGTCCCAGCGGAATGAGCGCAAGAAGGCGGGGCGAGACAGGGACAGATCAGGTAAGTAAAAGTCGGCTGTTGAGGCTTTCAAGTACTGACCAGTCATGAGCCAGATGAAGAAGGTCCGTACCAGCATGATCCGTATCCACCTCCTGCTGCTCCTCGGCCGATCGACGATCATCAGTACTACCCCAATACCAATTACTTTCCCCCGCCCCCTGGCTCCGCGCCTCGCACCGAACCAGCGCCGTACAACCCTGCGGACTATCCACCCCCGCCCGGCGCTGTACCACCGCAGCCGTATGCTCATTCCGCGCGTCCTGGGCCAGAACCGTACGCGCCTCGGCCCCGGAGGGTAGAAGAGAATGTGAGTGCCGCATGGAAACATCCCCATCACCCCGTTGCCCAAGATCGCATATATGATGGTGGGTTCAGGGAAGGCCGCCTAGCAGACAAAGGGGCCCTTGCTGACGTTGCCTGCAGGTCTAGATGCACGGTCACCGCTGAGAACCCCCCGCGCGAAAAAGCGACGACCTCGCGCTGCCAGCCAGCCGGCAAGACCGAAGTCGGTTGCCTTTGACCTTAGCTCGGAGCATGAGCAACAGAATGACCCAGGATACGAAACGGACGACAGTGACTCGACCATTGCATCAACACATGGACGTGGGCGCTACCATACTCCACATCGCCGGCACTCGTCGTCTGAACCGTTTGCTGCACGTACACGGTCTGAGGATCGGTCCCGCAAAGATGGCGCGGAGTCTGATTCTGATTCAACTATTGATTTGCCTGATCGGTTCGACTCACAGGGTCGTCTCCTACCCCAGCCAGGGGATGATCCCTTGGCGGATGGGTTGGAGCAGCTGCTGAGGAGAATCAACCGCGTCTTTGTTTGAATGACTGCCATTTTCTGCTTTCGTCTTCTTTCCCCTCTTTCTTGTTGCATTATATCTTTCTTTGTTCGCGACTTGTGCTTCTTTCCCCCACTAATGTAGTAACGATGTGATGATCATGACAATCTCGGTAGTTATGCAATGAATGATGATGAAGTCCGATGTCCGGCCGAAAGGATTCCAGTCACGGTATGCAGGAGGCGGTCTTGTCACCTGACGATCCGCCGATCCGATCATTTGCCTGAACTGGAGGCATGCATGATTCACTTCAAGTAACGAACTTTGACCACCACCATCCTGTGATCCCATCGTTGTCCATCTTCTATAGATTGGGAAAGAGTGTGTCTTCCTTATAATCCAAGGACAATCCTGTCTCTTCCGGTACACATACAAACCCTGCCCCCAACCCTCCCACCCAGACCGAACATCAGCATTTCCCTTTCCAGATAAACCCCCCGGTATTGCGTTCCAACATGGGAGGACAGGGTACCTATTAGCACAGGATTCCCTTCCTCGACCTTCTAATCAAATTAGTAAGATATCACCAGCCACATTTGACCCACCCGATCGTCAGGAGTATCCGACTAATGGTACGGAGTAAGTACAGTCCTGTGTTCCGTAGAGATCATATCATATCATATATCATAACCCTCTCCGGGGTTGATCGACGTACAAAGCCTCACTCATTAATGTTTCCGCCGCCACTCCTTGGCTAATATCAGATCTTCCGCCTCGGAGCCGAAGGATGGCTGGCTGGCTGGCTGGCTGGCTGGCTCTGTTTGTCGTATACTCTTCTCTTTTCGGGCGGGAAAAGACTTTCGTTCTGTCGAGTTCCACTCCACCTCGTCAAGGGAGAGAGGTGGCTCGGCTGACTCACGTAGATCAGGGTCTGTGTCGATGTTGTGGTTTTGTGGGTGGGTGGGTGTCGGTGCTAGAGTGGATCGCTTGATATCAGACTTGGGTCCTTTCGGGTTATCAGTGGGCGAGCCTGGGTTGGTAAGCTGGAGCTGAAGCTGAGGAGAACAGACCATCCGAGGCTGTTGATTACGGTTGGCTGGGCATAACCTTGTTGTTCTGGTTGTCGTTAGCGGGTTTGTAGCGTACGGTCTCTCTCTCTCGCATGCGTAGGTTACTCGGCTGTTCGCTACACAGATTCAACAGCCCCAAGGAACCAAGGAATGAATATGTACGTGCCACAGACATAGAGGAAACATGCTTATATCTGAGTTCATTGCCAGAGCTCTCCTACCCTATCACCCTTCTCCGGTGAGCCCTCCTACCTATCCTTCGTATACGACCTCTACCCGCTGGGAATTAGGCTTCGCATCCGGATCCTCCTCGCCTCTTTCGCCAGCCGCGACCACCTTATCACCGAAGGACGCGGCAATCTCCTCCAACGTCTTCTGTTTGGTCTCTCTGTAGGGAAAGGGGGATATATGAGTCACTTCTCAGAGAGGAAAACCGTTGATGGGCTACTCACGGAAAGTAGAGATACGCGATGATTAAAAAGAAGAGCGTGCAGGCCACGAAGACATAGTAGTAGTTCTCATGAATATTGGCGAAGGCGCTGGGGCCCGCTTCGGTTACTATTAGAGAATCAGATCGTGTCAATCTTTTTTTGTGTCGACGAAAGCATTGCAGTGGGAAGGAAGAGGTTTGTTCGGTTTGGGAAACCTACTTGCGACATTGACAATAAAGTGAGATGCTGCTGCTAGTCCCATGATTTTGCTGCGGAGTGCGATGGGCAGAACTTCGGCACCGTAGAGCCAGGTGGTACTGTTGAGCATACCGTCTTCATTTTTGAAGGGATTAGTGAATGGTATGTTTTAGATGGTTTGGGTCGGAGATGTGTGCTTACAGTAGACCACCACAAATAGATAGATTCCTAGGATGGCGAAGCCCTTCCCGACTCTGTTGTCGGTATTCTGGAATTCGCGCTGCATGACAGCGGCGTAGATTTCAATGGCGATGATCCCGGCGAGGCCGGCTATGATCATTCTATTGTTGGGTCAGTCTCTGGCACTGGTTGGGTCTGTGCTTTGGGTGGAAAGCATACTTGCGACGGCCCCATTGATCCGTTAGATATATGGTGGTTAGGCAATTTGTGAAAAAAGCGACGGTGCCGTATACGGCGGCTAGGGCTAGGATAGTGTGGGAATCGATCCCGAGGGATTTGTATAGAGTTGCTGTGACAAGGCTGTGAGTCTTTATCCTGAGGGAAGGAGTATGGGCAGGCCTCAACACCCACTTTGGTAGTACTAGCTCCCAGTCAGCAGGTGATATTTCTATGACATTCACCATCAACTGATCGAAATGACATACCTGGATAACGTTCACACCGGTAAGACTCGTCATCGTCTGCACAGCGATTGAACTACCCGACCGTGTCAGTCGAGAGTCTCTCCTCGGTTATCCTGCAGAGAACGTACACTAGGGCTCGCCGCCTGAACAGACGGAAAATATCTTTGTAGGACGTTATCTCCCTTTCCTTCTCATACTGAATCTGAGCGACCATTTCCCCAAATTCTTGGTGGGCCTCATCCGGACGCAAGTCCCGTCGGCCTTTCGTGAATTCGCTGCGTGCCTTTTCAATCTGAGCTACTCGAATCAGGTGGCGTGGGGAATCCGGCATAAAGGTTACTAGCCCGGCGAACATAATGATCCCCCAAGGAACTTGGATCGCCAGAGGGAGTCTCCACTGCACTTGACCATAGGGTGCATAGCTACATGCGTACCCGACCCAGTTGGAAGCCATCGTTCCAAAGGCGATGCCGCAACCCGAGACACCACCAATGACTCCGCGATAACGAGGGGCGGATATCTCACTGAGATAGATCGGGACTGTAGCGACCATCCCACTGTCGCGTTCATAGTTAGCCCCAATGCCAAATCGTGCTTTTACGAATATCATTTGCACTTGCCCAACAGCATAACCAGCCAGCAATCGACCGGCAAGAAACATCCCGATATTCACCGCCGCGGTCTGAATAATTGTTCCGATAGTGACAACAATGCACTGCAGCTCCATGAACCGAAGGCGACCGAGCTTATCTCCGACTGCAGTCTGGGTGAGGGCGCCGACTGCCTCACCGGCGATATACACCGATACAACCTACACTATATAAGCCCCCGGAGCTCCAGAATTTGTCCCAGTGACTCACAGCTCCGGTCAAGCCGTTAGAAGGGTGGTTCATATAGTCAATCCAGCTTTCATGGGCGATTGCTGATTGGAAAGCGTTAGCTCTTATGGAGAGGACCGCATCACCAGAAACGCTCACTTGTCGTGGCAATCCCTGTATCAAACCCCTATGGACCAGCGGAATTAGTGCTAAAGCCATCCCCAGGGGCTGTTCGCCTTACGAATAAGAAGGTGCCGATCGCAGCGAATATGGCCACTCCAAAGGCATACCAGAGAGCCATTTTGTATTGGACGGAGAGATTGAGGCCGAAACGAAACGGCTATCGTGTATGCTCGAGCTCAATAACAAAGACGCGTTGCGGGACAGCCCTGGCATGCGGATATATAGCTGCGCGAGCCATCAGCCGAGGGTGTGGTTTGTACAACGTCAACATCGACTCGGAGGATGGCCGAACAACCAAGGCCAATCCGGGGTATGAACTTGGGGAATGTGGGCCAAACCTCAATGAGGCCCGTATTCAGTGCAGATCAAACTCCAGTCAATGTCATGCAAATTGCGCAAAGCCGCAGATTCCCCCGCATTTGACGGCAAGTAACTTGGAGTGGGCGATTCGGTAGCTGTTGGCCCGAGCCTGAGGTTTGTGTGGCAGTTTCCTTCCACCGCGGTTATGGCTGGGTTGCTTTTGGGCCTTGATCTGAGACGGAACATTGATGCATTAAAGTGATGTGATAATTTCGAAGATTCCAGGAGCCATTGATAAAGAAGAGCATGTAGGATCGATGTAGATATCAGTTCAGTGCGGGGAAGGAATGCCTGGGAGGTCTTCCACCGGACTCGGACCTCGTGACTTGACTGAAGGTCTGAAGAACTTAAATGACAGTTGGTGGAAGATTCTCAGCCTCGGTTGCGCGGAGGATTGCTTGCGTGGCTGGCTACCCAGTGCCTAGACAGACCATAAGAAGTAGACCAGGTACAGTATCAAGACTGTAGTCTGGACTGAATATATACTCGCATGGAGGGTGTTATATCCAGCAGGAAAAGCACCACCTTAATATGGCCCGGAGTACATATACTTCGCTGTAATGTCGCCGAGTCAATCATTATCATTTCTAAGCAACCAAGTAGACAAACTGTAAAAGCCCTTGATGATATGATACAACAAGATAGTAGTAGTCAGTAGTCAGTACAGTATAGGTCCATAGGTCCCCAGTCCCGGGGCGGGCGGGCGCGAGTCAGAGATTGCCCAATACAGCCTAGCGCCCTCATTAAGCGAGGCTAGCAGCACTAGCGTCAGCCCCCCTCCAGCTGAGCATATATAAGGCACATCTCCCCAGCACCCTTTTAGAATTTTTTTCTCTTTTCTTTTCCAGCTCTCTTTGCCTTTTGGCTTAGATCAAGTGTAGTATCTGTTCTTTTCAGTTTAATCTCTGAAAGTGTTCTAAGGAACACAACATTGATTAATCTTATTTTTGTACCCTGCAGTCTGACCTCTGTGCTTGCGCATGTCGGACTGCACAGTGTCATCGGGCTTACACTACCCCCGATCGACGCGAACCCCCTTTTTCATCAATCTAGCCGGCTTGTCCGACTGGTTGGAGAAGAAGTGTCGGTAGTCGTTCATTCTGGTAGTACTCTGTAAACCTGAGAGATCGTCCCATGGATAGGCGTGAGATAGGGAGTTGTCAGCAGTAATGGCCGTAGAACCTGTGGTATCTGGAGAGATATTGTACTAATGTACTACAGATAACGCGGCGTGACCTCTACGTTGTAGCCAGATAATGAATGCGAGACAGGCGCGGAAGTGCAATGTCAAAGGTCTTACAAAGCACAAGCCTCCCAAAGAATTACACTGTCACTACAGATGGACCAGGAACACGGCTAATTTCGTCAAGAGACTCGTCAACTAGGAGTCATATATTCTTTTTTTCTTTTGAATATGAAGACCCTATTTCATTTTCCATTGCCATTGTCATATGCCACCGCCGGATTAGCAATGCAGGAAACCCAGAGCCGAACAAGAAAATCGCAAATTTAGAAAACAAGAGCAGCACCCTTGGTCTTCTTGTCACCACTGTTGGTCGAGGGAGATTAGCATCTGAGCCGCAGCACGCCAGGGCGGGCGAAACATACCCAAGCTCGAAGTGCTTGCAGCGCTTCAGGGAAAGCTGCTTCTTCTGCTTGCAAGCAGTGCACTCAAGACGCAGGACGATCTTCTTGGTAGTCTTGGCCTTCTTGTGGAAGACGGGCTTGGTCTGACCACCATAACCGCTCTGCTTCCGATCATAACGACGCTTACCCTGGGCGAACAGGGAGGCCTAGAGGGGGAGAACAACTGCATCAGTATGCCGCTCGTCGTCGAAACCTCTCAAGGACGGGCGGGATTCACCTTTCCAGCCTTGTACTGGGTGACCTTGTGCTGGGTGTGCTTCTTGCACTCCTTGCCCTTGCAGTAAGTCCGGCGGGTTTTCGGAACGTTGACCTGAATTCGAGTGAAAAAGATGGATCAGCCTCTGCTGGTGAAGAAGTGACAGGCTCGCAAGTGCAGTGTGTTCCCGGGAGTCTTCGTCGTATTAAAGAGTGCCAGTCAGCGAGTGGCGCGCCATAAAATCCGGACGTTATCGAGGACACGTTGTCGTCGAGTCATGGCGAAGATTTTGTGTCTATTCTGTTGCAAGTCGATACTCTCGTCCCGATTGCACAAAGTGGTTCGGTCGCCTCACCCCACGAACTTTCACGAAATCGTCACGTCGAGTTCATCGTCACCCTCGTCCGCTTTTTGTCGTTCTTTTTCGGTGCCATAGAGGTCGTTCGCAGGCGGCTCGTAAAATTCGTTGCCGGGATCGATCAATCGGAAAAGTATCGAATCTCGCCATCTCGCCCTTCCATCGCATGCCGCCTTGTCGAGCAAAAATTTCGGACGCCCAGGAACACGGAGACAAAGGCGAAAAAAATCAATGGGACAATATCCTTACCATTTTGACTGATTTGGCCGGATCGCGAACTTGGTGGTCGTTGATAGTCTCTTGTCGGGGAGGATCAAGTCGGGCTGGCGGCGGTGCGGTGGGTTGTGGGATTTCGTTCGCTTAGGGTGCGGCCTAACCGCGTTTGTGTGTCAGCAGCCAAGACTCGACCCTCCCTCCAGGCTCCACGGCTCTCTTGCCTGCCTGAGGCCAGAACAGCTATCGGCCTTTTCCGGCTATCATTATCTATCATCTTGGCCTCTTTCTCCATGACATTGATACTTTCTCACGGGCATGTCGTTGACAGCCGCCAACTGGAGCTTGTTTATGAGTGTTTATGTCTATCTATGAAAAGCCTTTTCCGAAACTGGCGCATTCTCCTCCGCCATAGAATGAACTCCCAGTACAGATTTCCAGCCCTCGTTCCTGTCCAACGAGCCATTCACCTTTCCAAGGTACGGGCTCCTGTTCACGGGGCCAATATTCCGCTCGAAGCTTTTCGTTGATGGCCTCAATCTTGTTAATCAGTGCAGCCACACGATTGTCATCAAACTTCCCTTCCCCTCCTGACCCCGGCGCCTCAGTTAAGAAACCCTCGCGAGTGATGAAACGTGCGATTGTAACATGCGCCGAAGGAGCAATGTACCTGGGCTTCATCGGTAGTCCTATCGCCGCCACCTGCGCAGAGACATCTCTTCGCAGATGGTGATATGTATACTCATCGTCGTGATACTCTTGCTGGCGGACATTTTCAGTCCCATCATCAGCTTCTGGAATGAAACTCAGGGCCATTGCAGTCGCATCGTAACTAATCACCGGCCTGAATAGACGTGTGCGGTGGTAGTATGTGTAGTTTACCAACTGCGGTATGATGCCACTGCCCTTAAGTTGAGCGACGAGGCCATCAATCTCTGGTTCGGTTCGGCAACTAGCAACTTCCAGGGCAGTCATGTGCAGATAGTTGGGTGGCGTAAACCACAGACCTAGCCATAATCTCATATGTAATCAGTTTCGTATCGCGGTACTGGATCCGGCCAGGGATACTGGAAAAGTGAGTGGGGGCGTGATAACACGCACTGGGAGCAACATCCTCAATTTCCTGCTGAATCTCTTTGATCAAGTTTCGAATATGCTGCGGTGGGCGGGCGAGGATTGTCAAGCTGTGTCGATGATCAACAAACGGCGCAGCCGCTGCAGCGCCTGGCCGCTCATTCTTTGCTTGCTCATGCAAGCATCTGAGGATATCGTCGACTTGCCAACCGGGGAAACTGGGATCGAGTAGTTTATCTTTCTGTTGCTTGCTCCGATTGAATCGATGAGCTTCGTAGCGAGCTTGGATTTGCCTCTGTCACCGATCAGTGTGCCTGGCTCTATACGTAGGTCTAGCCGTGGAAACTCCCGAGTCCATACCGGATCATTATGGCACTCTGCAATGAGCTCGTCGAACGGATTAGAGGCTTGGTCACTATCGCCCATTTTGGACTGGATTGTAGAAGATAGAGAATCAGGTGCGAAAGCGCCAATTGAAAGTGGTCAAAGAATAGCCATTGGCGTTGCAACTTGAAAGGATCTGACTCGGATGCCTGACTGCTATATATAGTTCAAGTTGTCCGTCTACTATAGCTCGTAAGCACCGCACCAAAGTGATCGGCAATCAGCCTGGAGCAATTACTTGAGTATCTCTTCAAAGCTCACCCGTCAGCAGCCAGAAAACTCATGGCTTATGACCAATCTTCTAGATAACGACACAATATTGCAAGCAAGCAACTAATTCGAGCCCGCCGTTGATCTGATCTGATCTGGTGCTCTCGCCGAGCCTTTCCAGACAGTGTGTTGATGCCCCACCAGAAACCCCGCCGCGGCTTTCCCGTCAGCAACAAACCACCTCCTGCTTACTACTTACTTACCACCGACCAAGTCTACCCCAACTTCTCTCGCATACCCGGACTTAGATCTTGCGCTGCGCTATCGCAAACCTTCTCCACCATCTTCCGCCCTTTTACCATATAGACCGACCGTCCATTCAAGATGTTGATCAAGTAAGTGCAAATGCGCGCCCGCGTGAAGCCAACCCAACCCCACCTCCGAAGGCGACCCTACCTACCTTTTCCATGACGCAGAGAGGCCGTCGTCACCGAGCTATCGAGAACAAACCCAACTAACCATTCCTCGTGATTACAATACAGAGTGCGCACCCTCACCGGCAAGGAGATCGAACTCGACATCGAGCCCGACTACAAGGTGCTTTGCCTCCCTTTCCTTCCTTTCCCCTCCGTCCTCCCTTAAACCAATTATCCTATCACCATCCGCGAGCCTGCGGTTCGGTTCTGCGTCGCCCGTCGCCGTGTGACAAGAATGACAAGACCCCAGCCAGCCAGCCAGCCAGCCACTGGCACAGCTAGGAGGCAGACCGATTTGTGACAGAGAAGAAAAAAACACGAACCACGAAGCCTTCCCAATTCAAACCCCAAAACAATCTCAACCTCAACTCAACGAGAAAGACAAAAAGTCCCCATCGCTAATTCAACCCTCATCCCAAAGGTCTCCCGGATAAAAGAGCGAGTCGAGGAGAAAGAAGGCATCCCACCGGTCCAGCAACGACTGATTTTCGGCGGAAAGCAAATGTACAGTACACTGCCTCCCAGACACACATTTCCACAAAAAAAAGCGCTGACTCCTCGTCTTGCAAACAGGGCCGACGACAAGACTGCCGCAGAATACAACCTCGAAGGTGGTGCCACACTACACCTGGTTCTCGCGCTTCGGGGTGGTATCTAAATGGAAATTGGGGAAAAGAGAGAAAGGGAGAGAGGAAGAGAGTCCTCTTTCTGAAATGCTATGTGGAATAGTAAATCGGTTTTATTTTCTTTCTTTTAATCTTCACTCCGATAATCTCTTGTTCCGTGTTTCAGGAACTGGCTTTCCTGATAAGACGGAATTGTTCATCATGCTTTTTTTCGCAGGCGTACAGAATTCAGGGCGCATGAACGTCCGCTTGGGCTGTCTCCATCCTCGCCCTTGTAATGTGCTTTACCTTTTGGTAAAGGTCGGCCTTGATGTGATACAATAATGCAGTCATGGCGGATCTACTGATATCGATCGGTGAGTCAATCGTTGTTCCGTTGGGATAGTCCGGTAGAGATTGGTAATATTGCCGCTATAGACGATGCGGTTCGGTCTCGTACTACAGCAGGTAACGAGGTATATGGATAGCACGATGAGGTGTAAAGAAGGATGTTTTCATCTCATTGACTTCGTACCATATATAACCCCAAACCAGTTCGCCTCCAAACCCGTTCTAGATGATTCCCCGGCAAGAAATAGCAAAGCTCATTGCGCCAAATGCGATGCCAACATTGTCAAGTTGAGCTTGCGCAAAAAAAAAATGAAGAGCGAGTTAAAGAAATATATGACTTCAGAATGGTATGAAGCAAATGCAAATAGACTAAAAAAGTGTACGGCAATATGCCGAGCCTCTTTTGAAGGGAAGCCCGGCCCACGTCCAAGAGTCAGACCTGTACAAGACAGGTTGTCCTGGAATATAAATGAAGTGAATTCGTGGTCCGATGATGAGTTATGAGAATGTCGATGAATCAGTTCACTCTCTTCTTCTTGGGTTGAATGAACGGATCGGCGGGTGCGGGTCGTTTACGAACCATAATAGGACGAGGTCCAGGTGCGGTCGGAACGACTGCATTTGCCTGTCTTAAAGTCAGTCAAGCCATCATCAAATATCGCAACCCGAGTCGGAAGGAGGGAGGAACGAACCGTAGCTGTCGATGGCGACGCACTAAAACGCGGACACTGCGGGCTGCCAGTAGTCCCCGGACCAGATGAGCCCGTCAGGGAGCCGACCGGTCGTCCAGAGGCTATTGCCCGCAGACGGGCTTCTCTATCCCGTAAGGTGGAGTTGACTTCGAGATTGTTCTGACCTGTAGAACCCGCAGTAGTTTGCATTCGTGATCGTCCGGGGGCTCTCATAGCCACGGTTGTATTATCTCGCCGGCGAGGGATGGCAGGCTCAACAGGACGCCTATGTTCCTCGACCAAAGACCGTGGTGCCTGTTTGATCTGCGAGGCCCTGGTGTTGAGCTGTTTTGTTGGGATAGCCAGCGCACTATTTCGCTTCGTTGCGCTAAAGATTCCGGTTTTTCTCTTCGTCTCGGATCGTGGTACCGAGGGACGTTCGAATCCCCAGGCAGGCGCGCCCAGCGAATCGTATTGGCTGGCGCCGGACTTTGAAGCGACGAAGACCGGTTTGAACCCGCCCATCTTCCTATCGAGCGAAGCGTAGCGCTGCTTCATGGTAGGTCTCTCACGGGGGAGGCCGATACTCCGCCGATCAGTGACTAACTTGGCACTGTGTTTGGCTCTTTCGGAGCTGATCCCGTCCAAAGCCATCTTGAGCTTCTCTGCATCCTCGTCTACTGCCCGTTGTACCTGTTCTCTGAGGTCGCAGTATACATCATACCAGCAATCGGGCTTCTCGGGCAGATCGTACTCTTCCCACCGAGGGATGTCTCGCTTGATAAATTCGAGCCATAGTTCTTCATCATCTTGCATGAGGTGGGGCGACTGAAGTTCCAAAGCTCTCTGTGATCGAGGGTAATCGGTTAGTCCAGAGCCTCTTACCAAGTCCATGTGCGCTCCACGAGACTTACCAGTTTCTCGGGACTTTCCACCTTAAGGAGGAATGGTCGAGCTAAGGCATAGGGGATATTTCCAATATCATCCAAATCTAATAAATGACAGTTTTAGCGACCGGAAGATTCAAGCAAGGGAGAAGGTTGACTGAAAGTGGCGACCTACGTTTGATGTTTCTGATCGCAGTGGCCGTGCAAAGCTGGAGTAACGAGGGCGGCGGCATTGTCCTTTTCAATCGGGTGTAGAATCGTGTAATAACCAAGTTCTGGGTATGAGATATCTATCACATATGACCAGGTTGTGAGAAGCGAGTGAGAATGACATATATAAGGGAAGTGTCGGGGGCCTAAGTCATCGCGAAGACCCGGACCCCTGGGGTTCTTTGTAGAGTCAGAACTGTATGTGGTGAATCAGTGGTGGTGAATCACTGCGTCTTTGTCGAGCGGACTCAGTAGGATAACGCTGGTACGTATCACGAGATGAGCTCATTGGCCGGGTCTAGGCGGAATCGGAGAATCAACCCGGCTTCAAGGTTACTGCCCTATGACGCCGTCCGCCTGGCTAACTGAAGGCGGTGAATACATGTCCTTCACGTGCTGATACACCGATCGATAGCATCATAGTGGAGGGGCAGAATACAGCAACACCCCCTCAATCCAACGATAGAAGCACCTTTAATACTCAATTACAAGGTCTATCTTTCTTCCCAAACGTTTATTCAATCCAGGTCAGTTTAATCCATCTCTCTATGTACCAGCTTTATCAAAAATATATCGGAACATTCCAACTTCAGCTTCATCGGAGCTCTCTGACGAACTGAACCGCTTTGATTTCGCTATGGCTTTGTTTTTCATATTCTCACCACATTTATATGAGCACCTCACCAGGAGACGCGTTGAACGAGAGCATATCTACATCTCTGGTAGTCTCACTTGGAAGAGATATCCCCATTTCTGACATTTGTGCCCTAGATCACCGATCGCAATGGCACCCCGCTCTCAACTAGAAATCGCTACGGCATCCGTCCAGCGCTTGGTCAAGGAAGAAGCGTCCTACCACCGCGAGCTACAGCAGCAAACGGAAAGGATCAAAAAGCTCGAGTCCAACGAAGGTGGTGACGATGAGAACAAAGAGTTTACTCTAAAGCAGGAGGTTGGTAATGTGAGCAGAAATTCAACGAGTGCCGTCACTAACAGTCCCCGCACGACAGCGGCTTGCGCTTGAGGAGACCAGGAAGGTCCTTCCAACCCTGAAGCGGAAGATTGAGGATGCGATTGCGAAGCTTGACCAGTTGCTGGTATGCTACATTCTCCATTGATTTGGCACTTCTAAAGGCTAACCGTATCGTTCAGATTGAGGAGGGCAAGAAGGGCTCCGAGAGCAATGTCGAGCAGATTACTGCAGCCAAGGAGGCTATCTCCAAAGCCAGGACAGCCGAGCGAGAGATCTCGTAAACTTGCTTGCTTTATTACTGTCTAAGCATCAAAAGCCGGAATGGCAATCGTTGTAGTCCTACTCCAGAAAAACTGATGTAAATGACAGCCACCGTGAACAAAAACGCCACCAATTAACTCCGCGCTCAATGTATAGTCATAGTAGTTTCCAATCACCCGGTAATATCCATCTTATCTGCACGATCGTCTTGTTCTTCTCCCTCTTCCAACTCCTCTTGTACCTCCCCTTCGTCTTCCATCGTGGTGTCCAGATCAGCCGAGGCTTTTTCCTCTTCACCTGGAACAGTCACTTGCCGCAAGGGAGACGCTGCACCGGCCGTGCCTGATCTATCCACTTGCAAGCCCGCAGACAGACGGCTGAGCTCCTCGGGGCTATGGTGCGAGGAAGCCAGGCTGTCTGAATCCTGCCGAGGAGTATTGGCCCCGCTCGATTTGCCCTTGGAGGGGACGTCGCCGTCATCGCCGTCCTCACCCTCCTGCATCCCCTCGCGACGCTCGACTTCTTCCTTCTCGTCGCGGATCAAGCGGCGCAGCTGCATGCCTTCCTCGACAATGCGACCGAACTGCTCACGGCGCTCTGACCACGTCTGCGCGTATTCCTTGCTCTCCTTCTCCAGATCGGTGATCTCGGCCTGCAGCTTCTGCAAGTTGGCCTGCTGGTCCTCGCGCGGTTTCAGGAGCCGGTTGCTCGTGATCTTCTCCGCCAGTTCGTCGTAGCTCTTCCGCAGCGCCAGCAGCCGTTGGGCCTCCTCGAGCTGAACCCGCAGCTCGGAGGTGTTATCGCGGACGGACTGCATGGTGTCCAGGATCCCCAGTTTCTCCGTGGCATACCGCTCGCGCTCCTTCTCGTTACTGGTGAGGAGGAATTGGATGCGCGCGATGCTGATCTCGAAGGCGGCAAAGTCCAACGCGACGTCTTCGCGGAAATGACTCCAGTTCTCGTGCCGCCTGAGCTTCTCGGCCTCCTCCGCCGCCGTAGCATCTTCGTCCGATCCGTCCGGTGGAGGGGTTGGGGGGAGGGTGGCGTTCGAGACCAGGACCGAGTCGTTGTTCAGGAGACGTTTCGAAATCCGCTTGAAGGGCTTTTCTTCGACGTTGAGCAGGCGCGACTTGTGAAGTCCATCTGCGTGAATTGGTGTGAGTGAGGGATGAGGTGATGAGTTTTTGGAACAGGGAAATGAATCTGCTTACCTTCCTCCAGCTGATCTAGAAGCCCGTAAGATGCCATTGTGTTATAAGCAAGGAACTTACTTGGCTTTGACCCAGGGGTGTTCAGTAGCCTCAGTTGAGGTGTCGGGAAAAAGCCGATTGCGGCGGGCATCGAGCGGTCGGAGGATTCGCGCTAGGCGGCCGGAAACCACTGGCCACCCTCTCCACTCAGCCCTTGGAATTGCGGGCGCTCCGCAGTGGAAGCCACCGCCTCTTACATAGCATGAACTTGGTCTTGAACTTGTGCAAGAGCCTTGGTGGTCTCCTTTGGCCGTGCATCCGCTTGGGGGCCATGGGCTATGAGCTTTTTCATTCGTCTTCCACACTGACTAAAGCAAATCGGTGGACTGTCTGCGTTCTCACTCAATCGCTGTGATGGGCCTCGTTCTCCCTTTAAACCTCAGGAGCTAGATGTATGCTGGATCCAGGCTGTAGGCATCTAAATCCAATATCTATCACTTGATGCCAAGAGACGCTTTTTGAGAAAGAAGTATAACGCCTTTGCTATCTAGCTGCCTGCTGCTCGCTGCCTACCCAGCTGATATGAAGCAGCACCTATTGAACCTCATCAGCAACCTTGACGCGGATGGACACGAGGTCTGGAACGAGCAATAGCGCCAAGCTCCACCTCTAATGAGCTTAAATTCCCTGCTATCCAACGCCAATCTGACATTGTCCACGCAGTATATCCGTGACAGTCCATTCGGGATTTGTTGACCTTGACGATATGATCTCCAGAATCGTGAGTCCTGGGCACGAAGGTCGATTTGGGTAGTTCTGCTTTGCTTTGCCATCCTAGACGGTTCAAGTCTGGTCAATCTCATCTGCTGGCATTCGGGATTCGGACCAAGACGTACAGAGACTCAACTATTGGGGTTTTGAGCATAAAATATGGTAAATGAGATCTATACGGATTTCTGGCCAGACGAGGATGGTAAGTCCCACTACTTTGTTTGACGTTTGGATGGCTATCGTATTAAAGTGAAGAATGAGCCAACGCCACGGGGATGCTCTAATTCCTGGTGGAAAGGTCACCTCTCCCAGAAAGAGCTGCAAAGTGTCTGAAAGAGAAAATTCCGACCCTTCATACAGTCACAAATTACAGTGATAAGCTCATTGATGGTAACTCTCCATTCTAATCTGAATGGTACTGAGCAGCGAGCAGATGGCGGCATGCGAGACCGGGTAGCCTTCTGTCTGGCTCCATGGATTCTATCTCCATATCGCTCGTGGGTTCATCACAACAGGATTTATTGCTAGAGAACATGCCCAAAATTGCTCAGCGGGTCAAAGTTGTGAGCTACAGTTCACCGAGGCTATGGCCTGTGTCTTAAGAAGGATTGGCTCGAGGCCACGCGCGTGTTTTTGAGGCTACTTCGGTGTTCTCTGAGTGGCCAAGGGCTGTCTTAGTGCACAGAAAATCCATCGTGGAGTTTCCAACAGCACTTGTGGAATGGATAGCCAGCACTCGCATTGAATAGTCGTTGCGGACGTATGGGCTGACCTTCTCGTGCTATCGGCCGCCGTCCGGTTTGTCCAGGTAGAGAAACACACGCTTTGACCTGGTCGGTCATCTTGTCAGTCTGATTCGAACATGTCCTAGATCCCCAGCCACAGTTGACGCTCGACTGACACTAAGGAACCTATGTCGGCCGCGAGTCTTTCTAAATCCATGAAGATAGGCACAGTGGTGAAGTGTTAATAGTGTCACCAACAGGGTCGGTTGAGAGAGTCTAGCTTAGCGAGCCTCAAGAGAACGTCATTGTCGATGAGGCAGGGGTTCATAAAGATCCGGGGACAATTCGATGCAGCTAAGATCCGTTAGGATTAATCAAGTATGGCACACAAGAGACTCCAGCCCACAGGAACCAAGTCGATGACGGAGCAATGTTCCCGTAAGTAGTTGTGGTCGTGCCTATCAACCGGCCCGGACTTTTGAGACAGTCACGCCAATAAGGGCAGCGCCTTGCGTAGGTAAATTGCGACCTAATCTGATTAGCTTGTACTTTTCATATCATATCACTGCCAGTCATGATGAATGTGTCCGCGTAATGCGATGATTCAAATCCCTGATGTGCCATCGACCGCGATTCTGAAGACACAGCGCGCTGAACTCAAGAATAGACCTACCTAGTCTTGATCCGACCTAAGCGGATCGACTTGTCGAAGTCAAAGCATGTTAGTTGTATAAAAAATTTGGAGATTATAGTCTGTCAGCTGAAACCAAGCCCTGCATTAATTGGCAATGGGGAATCACAAGTCAGACCGAGTCGCGCCATTTCAACTCGAAACAACAGAGAGGACGAAGCCGAGAGGGCTCCATGACGCATCACTAACAAACATGCATCATATACCAATAAATAAAAGGCTGCATGAGATTATGGGATTGAGGGGAGCGTGAGTCCAAAAAAATGGCAGGGTTACAAGGTTGCAAGCTCAAGCAGCGCGAGAGCGATGGTCTTATAGAACACGTACGTTGACGCCAAGGCACGGCGTAGATAAGACACTCTCCTTAAAGTAGTAATGTAGCCGGCTAAACCGCATGGGGTATTGGGCTGTCACCTCCACCCTCTCTCTCTTTCCCGGGGGAGCCAAGAGCACGGAGTACGGATTACTGCAATTGAAACAATCCTCCCCCACTAGTCATTGCTGCTGCTGCTTTGACTCCCATGATTTTATTTCGACTACTTGCTTTTGATTACAGGCCCGTCGAGGACTCCTGACCATCTCCCTCCCCGGACTGCTGCCTGTGCTTTCTTTCCCCTAACTCAACCCTGAACCCACACCCCCCTCCATAATCTATTTAAATTAAACTTACGTTCCCCGATAGGAAAGCTAAGAGAAAACTGCCGCAGTACGCGCGCGAACGATGTCGAATCGACTAGCGTCAAAGACAAAATATTGTGCTCAGAGCTTCAGAGATTCGGTGTTTTACTGATGGACCCTTCCTCTCGGGCACAATTAGCTCAAGTCTTCATTGTATCCTTTCACCATCCCTCTTCGTGATGGCGGAGATGTACTCGGGGCTCCACGTGGGCCAGCGGTTCGGCTCGCTAGAGGACTTCAAAGCTTTGGTACGGAGCATCTCCGTGAGGCAACATTGGGAACTCCGCGTTACTAGAAGCAACAAAAAGAGTGTGGTAATAGGATGCCGGTCATCAAGCAATTGTTACTTTCGCGTGGTCTGCCGTGCAAACAAGAACGCGACCTACATTAGCAGTCTCCAAGACAGTCACAACTGTCGACGCAATGCCACCCCCACTTCGAGAACACCGGCTCGCTCGGAGGCATCGCATGTCCGATTCCTCCTCTCAGAGATCCCCAAGCTTTTTGACATGAGCCACAAAATCAAAGCCCAGGACGTCGTCGATGCTGTTAAACGCTACCATGACCACGACATATCCATGCGACAAGCGCAGCGAGCGCTGATCCGACTACAACAGAAAGAAGCACAGAACCAGAGTGAGGAGACCAATACTCATGACTCCAGCGGTGAAGACCAACAAGAAAGTCCGCCATCTCAATTGGAGGCACAGGGGAGTAACTCGGCTTTCGGCAGTTTATCCGGTCAACGCTGGATCCAGGACAATATCCATGAGGCCCTGATTGATAGCATGCAACAGAGCGAAGCTCATCGCAACTCACTTTCACTTTCCCATCTCCACAGTCAACCCGTACAAACACCTCTTCAAATACCATCTACGCATCAAGTACAGCACCTACGCCAGATACACCAGCCACCCGAGGTCCAACCGCAGGATCAAGCCAGTCTCAGCCATACCATTCATCACAGAGCTGACTATGGTGTATCCAGTCCCGGGCAACCGTCTATCCCAGAGATGGGTCAACCAAAATTGCAGACTCAGCCTCCAAATCACGGCCATCCAACAACATCACAGGCGATCCTTACGAATTTCAAGATAGAATTCACATGCACCACTTGTGGTGCATTGAACCAGAGCTTTTTCCCGAATCACGGGAACGTTGTCAGTGGGGGCTTCCTGCCTCAACATCACGGACCTAACCAGAGTACTACGGCGACCGGCGGGGGTCCTTCAGCACAGTCGGTTCAGGGACACGACAGTAACAATCGTGCCGGAGGCCCCACGGTCTACGAAGGAGCCAGCGCAACTGGGACACGTGGCGTACAGCCGTCTTGGACAGCAGGTACCCTGGATCTTCCACTTGCACATACACACTCTTAGGCTCGTGCGTCTAGAGCTGGAGGCGACACCCCGAGCTGTAACAATGTTAGTCGCGCTTTGAGACTGGAAAATTCCTGTATAGAGCAAGTTACACAGCACATCACTTTTGCCCACAACGCGTCAGCACCCGCTCACGGTTACCCAAGGTTGACATTGAGCGAATCCCTCACAGTGCCGAAAGTTCACGGAGTTTCACAGGGTATGGACATATAGAGTAAGTTCCACCGCATTGAAGCTGGAACAATAGAAGCTGCATTCTGAATTGTTGTATCGAGACCAATTTCCCAGCAAGGATATTCCCAGGTGATTATACTGCGCGACAATCTGTTGTGCCCGCCCCATGTCGACTGTTAGGCTCTAACACAACATTGACTGGGATGGTCTGCGACTCAAGCCCTAGCGGATCTCGCAACTCGACCCTTGATCAAGATGATGCACCCGTCCGGTTGGCAATCCGACTGATTAATTGCCAACGTCGACTTTAATGAGTAGACCAGGGTCAGTCAAGAGATGTTCAGTACACAAGGCAGTTGCAACTAGCAGAACAGTGTTGTGCGCCACATCTACAGGTGACAATTAATATGGCGGCACTTCAATCTCCGCACAGACACTCGGGCAGATAAACTTGGAAGCGCAAGCGACCAACCATTCTGGTCAGTGGTGATACGATCTTACGCGTATCTAGTCGGAAAGACTCCGACGAGCCAGTGTCGGACGTCCGAAGAAAGCCGATCAATCCAACTTCCGCCACACAGATCCACTTGCCTGCTGGGAAAAAACGTTCACTGACTGGCGACCAGAGCGCGGGATCGGTCCGGATTCCCTGGCTCGGTTAGTAATGGAACAGATTATAACTAACCGATAATTCATTGCATCAATGCGAAAACGGCCGTTGCTATTATGTCCGAGAGTCGCCCAAATCGTCGGCGGTCCGTCCGATGCCCTACGGAGCTGGACTGATAAAGACTCGCAGGAAGGATGATCTGGTCGTCTCTTCTAGCATTTTCTTCCTCAATTGGTTCATGAACCAGACAAACAGGGATAGCATAACGATATCTCAATCTGCCTCATACTCATCGCGCCCGTATACAGCAGTTTTATTGTGTGGATACTCTGAACCTGAGCTGCACCTTGAACGGGGTCATACTGTGAATCATTCAAACAGCGTCTGATTGCGGTGACACGAACCTGGCCCTCCAGGCCATTCGAGACAGTCTGCAGCCCCAAATACACCCCGATCAACCCCATATCTAAAAATAATGTTCAAGGGCATCGTCCTGTCGTCCACCCGGTTATCACTCTGAGAGAAGAAGAAAAGATGAACCGGCAACAGGCGGCAGAGAAGGCCTTACACGACCAGACCAATATCCTGCCCATAGGGCAATTGTTGATCGTCTTCTCTGGCCTGGCAGTCTCTCTGCTCATCACTTTCGTTGACCAAAATGGTATCAGTGTCACGCTTCCGACGATTGCCCGCGACCTCGATGCGCAGAACACAATCTCCTGGGCGGGCACCTCGTCCTTAATTGCGAATACTATGTTTACGGTGCTGTACGGTCGGCTTTCTGACATTTTCGGCCGAAAGATCGTGTATCTTTGTGCATTGGCACTCCTCTGCATAGCCGACTTGCTTTGCGGCCTGTCCCAAACTGCCACTATGTTCTACGTCTTTCGAGGACTGGCTGGCGTTGCAGGTGGCGGGGTCACGTCGCTGACCATGATCATCGTCTCGGATATCGTCACCCTTAGGGAACGAGGCAAGTATCAGGGGATTCTGGGTGCATCTTTGGGTCTGGGGAACGTCATTGGTCCGTTCGTCGCTGCAGCTTTTGTCATGGACTCGACCTGGCGAGGATTCTTCTGGCTCCTGTCTCCGCTGGCGGCGTGCTGCATCGTTGTTGGGTATATTCTGATTCCCGACAATGCACGCAAAGACAGTACTCGGAAGAATGTTCGCAAGATCGATTTCTGGGGCATTCTTGCCTCCTCGGTCGGAATCATTTTCGTGCTGATCCCCATCTCTGGCGGCGGGTCATATTTCAATTGGGACTCGCCTATGGTTATCAGCATGCTTACCATTGGAGGCTGTGCCTTCATCGCCTTTATTGTGATAGAGTGGAAAGTGGCGGTGCTGCCTATGCTTCCAGGTATGTCCGAGTGAGCTGTACCGCAAGAAAGGGATACTGACGCCTGCATAGTGGTGTTCTTCAAGAACAAGGTGATTTGTGCTCTGTTTCTGCAGAGTTTTCTTCTTGGCGCTGTTTACCAGGCCTACCTGTATTACTTGCCCATGTACTATCAAAATGCTCGCGGATGGTCTCCGATCGTGTCTGCTGCGTTGACTGCACCTATGGTCGCTTGCCAGTCTCTAGCATCGATCACCTCCGGGCAATACATCTCACGGATGAAGCGTTATGGAGAGGTAATCTGGGCTGGTTTCTTCCTATGGACACTGTAAGTGGTTCGGCCAGATCTCTACCTTCTCTGCCTCAGGATGCAATCTAATCCGGTCACAGGGGTGCTGGATTGATGCTGCTGTTTGATCGTCATACCAGCCCAGGTGCTATTGCCGTTATCGTCGGCGTTGCCGGCATCGGCATCGGCTGGACTTTCCAGCCGACCATGATCGCCTTCCAAGCCCACTGTACCAAGTCACAGCGGGCAGTCGTGATCTCAGACCGTAACTTCTTCCGTTGCATGGGAGGTGCTTGCGGTCTGGCCGTCTCCGCGGCTCTTCTCCAAGCCTCCTTACGGTCCAACCTCCCCGACGGATACAAGGATGTCGCGCATTCGTCGTACTCCTTACCGTCCCGAAACGGGATCTCAGACTCCGACTGGGAGCAGATCCTTACAGCGTATTCGAAGGCCTCCCATTCCGTCTTCATCCTACAGGTCCCACTGATCGGAATGTGCCTTCTTGCGTGTCTTTTCATTCGGGATCGAGGGTTGGAGCGACCAAAAGACCCGCATGAGATCGAAGAAGAGAAACGACAAGAAGAGGAAAAGCAGAGGCAGGAGAAAGCTCGCGAACAGGAAGAGGCTCGAGTTGCTGGCCAGGATGTCGAATCCCAGGTACCGCATGGGTCTGAGCCGGAGGCCGACGAGAATGTGAAGCATTCTGGCACATCACCTGATCCTGAAAAGGTAAGGCAACAGGAGCCATAATGAAATGAGGGACGGAAACATAGCATTTTGGCGTTATAGCGACCCTAGATATAAGCCTGCATGTTATACATTCTCAATGGATGATTGATGCAAGCGAAACTCGAGAAATTCATTTGAGTAGTAGCGGCGGGAAGAACCGCGACGACCGACGGCCTTGGCAGCGAAACCACTACCGTATCTGGCCGTGTCGGAGGCCCGACTCTCTCCCTCCGACATCCACTCCGAGAGCAACCTGCCTTGCTTCGTCAGTCGCCTTTATCAAGTATACCTGATGGCAATCATGAAAAAATAAATCATAATGGAGACTGCGGGAGCCTCCACCCACAATAGAGCGTCATCGCCCTCGCAGGATTATAATCCTCGAAAGCGGGGGAGGACGGCTTGCACTCGCTGTAAAACGAGGAAGCAGAAAGTCAGTCGATGCAGTAAGATCCTGCTCAGCTTTCATGAAGCCCAAGCATGTTGACGACATATCACAGTGTGACAACAATTATCCGATTTGCTCCAACTGTCGCAAAGCTGGAGCCAACTGCGACAAAGCGTCCGTGCGACATGATAACGGACCCCAGAATGAGTAAGTCTGGGTCGTCTGATTCACTGCGTATAATTATACTCATGTCCGGCAGATACACACGGGCTTTGGAGAGCCGCATCCACTATCTGGAGTCGCAATTAGAAACGAGACCTAAGAGCAGTCCCGCCAGCAGCCACGTCGCTCATCCTGTTGCGGCACTCCTCTCTCCACAGAACCCTCCGACCCCGGCTGGCTCGACGACCGAACTCGACCGGAATGCTGTCGGGGAGATAGTGGGCTTTCTCGCCCTCAACTCATCGGAGGCCCCGGCATATGTAGGATCCAGCTCAGGGCTGTCACTGGCCGCAGACCTCGGAGAGATGGTACAGGCTACGGTGTGGAATCAAGCGCTGTCATCGTCGCGGCACCCAACCGCGACACGAGTTGGACAGCTTCCAGGTCAGAGTATCACTGGTCTCCCACCGCAACCGTCTTCAGGAGACAAGAACCCGGAAGAGCGACCTCGACCGTTGCGCATGGATGAACTGCTGTCCAAGACCACGGACCCGCCCAATGATGAATTGGGATCGCGGATTCTGCGCGCCTATCTGACGAGACTACACGTGAGGTATCCCTTTCTGGATCGGACCGAGCTATGGCGTCTGCACGAGGACCGCTGGCGCTTGGCCAGGACTCCACGCGAAGAGCTCACGAGGGCGGAGCGATTCGGGATCTTCAAGCTGTATCTGGTATACGCGATTGGCGCAACAACGATACAGCTAAGCGAGAACCTCGCTACAATAGTTCCTGAGGTGAGACCACTCGTTGAGTTCTGAATGCCCGATCTAATGCCCTTGGTAGCAATTCTATACAACCGCCCTACAGACTGTGCCCGGAATGTGTGAGCCGCGGTCGGTGGAGAATATCGAAGCCATGACTCTGATGGTGGTATACCACCTTCGGTCTGCGTCCAGTCAGGGCATGTGGTACATGGTCGGACTTGCTATGCGGACTGCCATTGATTTGGGGTTGCACAGGAAGGCAAATGAGAACAACCTGGACCCATTCACCGCGCAAATGCGACGTCGTCTGTTCTGGACTGTCTACTACCTCGAGCGCGTGGTCTCGATGTCGTTGGGTCGACCCTTCAGTATTGCTGATCGACACATCGACCTGCCTTTACCACTTGACGTCGACGATGACGTGCAAGATCCGGCTGTGCTGACAGCATCGCCGCCGATGGATCGAATCACAAGCTTGACCTTCGCGATCTACCTGATGAAGCTCCGTCGCATTGACTCACGAATCCAACACAAGATCTACCGAGCCGACCGTCCGCTGCATACCCTGCGCTCCAAGATGGACCGTCTCTACCTGGAACTGGAGGAGTGGAAACAGTCCGCGACGCGGCGCTTCAGCGGATCCGACCTCGACTACCCGATGCTACACTACCACCGGGCCTTACGGCTTTTGATCCAGCCCTTCTTGCCCTCGCTTCCCCTCACGGACCCCTACTATCATATTTGCCTACGCGCCGCGGGCAACACTTGTCAGACGCACAAGCGCCTTCATCAGACGCTGGAATACGGCCACTCGTTCCTGGCGGTGCAAACCGTCTTCATGGCAGGGATCACGCTGCTCTATGCGCTTTGGACCCACACCAGCGACGTCTGGTCGGTGCAGCTCAGCAACGACATCCGGGCCTGCTCGACCGTGCTCTTCGTCATGGGTGAGCGAGCCAAGTGGGTGAAGAAGTACCGCGACGCCTTCGAGCTGCTCGTCAACGCCGCCATGGAGAAGCTCGAAGGCACCGACGCCTCCAAGAAAGTCGGCATGGCCGAGCTGATGACCGCCCAGCACAGCAGCGGCGGCATCAACGCTGGCATGTTCCGCGACAATCACCCGAGTACCTCGCGAGCCACCGAAGGAGGGGGCGTGGCGTCCACGACCGCCACCGCGCATCCCGCGACGCAGGGCGCCGCCGCCGACCCGCTCAGCCAGGATCACGGCGTGCGCATGGCGTTGCAACTGGCGCCGTGGATCGATCTGGAGGAAGATAGTCCGTTCTGGATGCCGGACTTCGAGACCCTGGAGGGTCTGTCTGGTGAGCAGCTGTGGAGTAGTGGCGATTTCGCCCCGTTTGCCCCGGTTGATCCGCTCTTCGGCGTCATGACGGGGCCAGATGTGTGATCTTGTGGCATTCCAATGTGCTATACTCTTTTCATTGCGAGATTTCCCCGGGCTTGTAGCATGCAGTTACAGCTTCAGTACACGGGGACAATGGAGTGTGGGAGTGGGAACAAGGGTGCATCAGGATAGTTCTATTGAATGTGTCTATCTAAGCGGCGGCGGCCCGAATGAAAAAGTAAAAACTAGAAGCATATACAATCACACAGGGCACAACTTGCTGTTGTTGCAAGATCCACTATATCATAACTCATCCTTGACGACGCGGGCAGGAGCCACGGGACGACCACTGTCTTGATCGAGGTTGACGCCGATCTTCTTACGCCACTTCTCCCACAGGGCATAGAACTCCTTCTCCATACCGCTCTCCATCTCGTCCGGCAGAATGACGGTGTACTCGATATACAAGTCGCCGGGGCTCTCGTCCTCATCCTCGGACTCATGCAGATGGCCCTCGGACCAGAACGGCATGCCCTCGCCCTTGACAGTCTCAACAGCCAGGGGCTGGACGACCTGGCCACGGGACCGGCCAACCTGAACGACATGGCCGTCGAGATGGGTGATGTTACGGGTCCAGCCGCCCATCCAGGCCTCACGCAACGACAGAGCCTCCTTCCAGAACAGATCCCTGCCCTTGCGACGGAAGAAGGTACCGTCGGTGCGGTGCTCCTGGTCGGCCGCGAGCTCGGGCTCGCGCTCCTCGAGGATGAGCACCAGGTCGCCGGCGATATAGTCGGGACTCTCGTCGGCCTCGTTCTCGAAGACGATGCGCGTGCCCTTCCCCATACCCGGTTCAATGGTGGCAAACGTCTCGACCTCCTTGCGCACCACGCGCTGCCCACTACAAACAGGACAAGGCCGCTTAACCATCTTCCCCTGGCCACCACACTTATCGCAGTGCATCTGCACCTGCTGAAACATACCAGGCGCCAGCTGATGCTTCTGGATCACGACGCCGCGACCCTGGCACTTATCACAGGTGATCACCTCGCGGTCGGCCGAGCCCGTCCCCTCGCACGCGTCGCAGATCTGCTGCTTCTCCACCCCAAATGACACCTCGCGCCCATTGTAGAAATCCCGCAGCGGCAGCCCGACCTTCAGCTCCATATCGGGACCCCGCCGATGACCCGGCGCATGCCCAAAGTGGCCCCCGCCCCCGAAGAACCGCGAAAACAGATCAAACGGATCATTACCCCCGCGCCGGCCCCCCGCTGATCCCCCCTGTCGGTGCTGCTCGATCCCCTCGTGGCCGTACTGGTCGTAGATCTTCCGCGTCGTCGCTGTCGACAGGATATCGTATGCTTCCGCGATCAGTACGAACTTCTCGCGGGCCGTGTCGTCGCCACTGATTTTTCCTCTAGAGTTAGCTTTACTGTCTTGTTTTTCTTTTGGTGTGGGGGGGGAGGGGGAAGAGGGGAGCGGGGTGAGAGGGAGGGCAACGTACGGATTCTTATCCGGATGGAACTTCTTGCTTAGGTTCCGATATGCCCGTTTTATGTCCTTCTCTGAGGCAGACTTGTCCAGCCCCAAGGTCTTGTAGTAGTCTTCCGCCGCGGCGACCAGCTGCAGTACGCATAGAAGGATCACTACGCAGAGGATCACGCTTCGCATTGTGGGGAGCATGTTGTTCACCGATTCAAGCTGCGCGGGCAGCGCATGTGGTTTTGAGGTTTGTGGCTGTGGTGGTCGTGGTGGCGGTAACCCGGCGAGTAAGTGGTGTAGGTGTTCGGTTGCGGGTTGCGATAACTATCGCTAGCTGGACACAAGTATAAAGTGGGTTGAATGTAGTGATTGGAGGTCAGATGGATATATCCAATTTTTTTTGTAGTTAAGAGAATGCCCTAGGCAGACTGACAGTCTCAAGATCAGTCAAGATCTCAAGCAGTGACGCAGTTGGAATGGTGGATGTCCTGCCGGGCTGGCGGTGTTGCTGGGGTTTATGTTGCTATCAATCGCGGGATCTCATGCTTTCCCCCCGTGAACCGTTTAGGTGGCCGCAACGCCCCGGCCGAACTGTTCGTCCGTCCCGGGTCACGTGCTTCATACAGATTATTGCGAAGCCAAAAGATAATTCATTCATTGAGCTCGTTGAACTTAGCAAAAGCAACGCTGGTAATCACACCCGAAAAACGCCTCCCAGACCAAGAACTATACATTGTTGTGTTGCATTCTCCCCCAGACCAGACCTCGTATTCCATCAGTCACAAGCAATACTTCCCCAAATAATCTCAAGCACGACGAACGGGCACGTCGAAGATCTCATTACGCCAGGTTCCTGCCAAAGTCCGGTTTTCGTCGCCCTCTTCAATGGCTTCCTCCGCCCGTAGTGCCTGCTGATGCCAGACCTTGACTAGACTGCCAGGGGCATACACCCCCTTGAACACGCCCTCACCAGGTGGCTCGAGCCCAACGCGGGTCTCGACGTCAGTCTCGGGCAGTGCCTTCAGGCGAGCCAGCACGGCCCGCACGAAGCTCGCCAGGTCCTGGGGGTTGGCGATGCGGGCCGCCCGCAGCCGTTCGCGGGCGAAAACCAGCTCGCGGTTCAGGGCGAACGCGGCCTGGCCGATCTGCTCGGCAATCTTCTTCTCCAGAACTCGACGCACGAGGTGCTTGAGGAAGGGCTTGGTCAGCCAGAGCAGCCACTTCCATCTGCTGCGGTGCACTTTGTAGTCAAGCTTGTGGATCTGCACGCGGACCCCGCGCAGGGTGAAGATCTGTTCCAGCCTTTCTCTGCCGACCTCGATGTCCAGCGAGATGTCGACGCCGCGCTTGTCGAGGAAGAAGCTGGCGACACCTTCGTCGTTAAATCGCAGGAAGGGGCCGGAGTGTGTTCGCAGCCAGTATCCGAACTCGGACGCACTGATGTTCAATCCGTTGACAGTGGCTGTGAACGTGGTTTTGATGTCGGTGGCGGTTCTCTTGGAGTGCTTCTTCAGGATGTCGATATCGTTGCGCGTGGTGACGTGCATGCGGTAGGGAAGGAAGGACGAGTAATTGACCGTCCGACCCGGCTCCAGAATCAAACTCTCCAGTAGCAGATCAACCTCGGGGGCTGAGATCTCTAAGCGGGGAATCGGGATATACTGCACTGTACGGAGAACCAGGGGCAGGAAACACTCAAGCAAGTCTGCCGGCAGCTGGCCCTCGCGGCTGTGATAGCCTTCCCAGATATCCCTGTAGAGCTTGTGGGTCGCGTTGACCAGGTTGGACACAGCCTTATCGCCGGGCACTGTTCGCAGGGCTCGTTTAGCCTGCACTAGAAAAGCATCCACATCCTGTCTAAATCGGGATTCAGTCTTGACCTCCTTGGACTTCTCCTTCAGCTCGTCAAACTTCTCTTCAGCGGTGTCAAAGAACTTGGGGTCGGTGAGCATCTCCTGCACCACGGAACCGGTCTCCGACAGAAACTTTTCAAATTCGGGATCCGTGTTAGCGTGCTGCAATACAGTTTCAAAGCGCTGCTCCAACGCCTTCCATTCTTCGGCATCACCAAACGATTGCAACAAGATCCAGAAGTGCTGCATTGCCTGCTTGAGATCCACGTTGACGTCGACATCTTCTTCCGCCGCGGTCACGACATCAGAGGCCGCGTTCACGTAGGCTTGAGCATACCGGCGAATCAACTGGCCTAGAGTCGAGATCGAATCCGAGTAGTCAGTGCGGTCCTTGAGCTTGAGGACAGTCTGCTTCAGTCGATACAGGAGGGCCTCTTTCTCCCGGCCAGCGAGATGCTCCTTTGCGCTGCTCACTGCATCTTTGCCGGTGCGAGCCAGGCCATTGCCGGCAATCTCCGCCACCTCGGTTGCTTCGTGTCGCAGGTCCTCACCCGTCGGGGTATGGCCTTCATCCGCACCGGCACCCTGCACCGCTTTAGTCTCTTCCTCAGATGGTTTGAGCTGCTCGCCGATTTGCTTGGATGCACTGGACAAAGAGAATGCCGTGTCGGAGAAGATCTGCCGTCCGACGGTAGCTAGGTCATCCACGAACAAGCGGAAGTCGGAGTTGGTGAGCAGGAGGCTGCCCACGGTGCGCAGGCTGTCGTACGCTGTACAACATGAGTGAGCTCAAGAACGGTCCAAATTCCCCCGCCATAGACAAGAAATAAAGACATACCTGCTTTAGTGTCGGCCCTGGCCCGACTCTGGCGAGCCTGCTGTTGGATCTTGTTCGGGTCGATGGAGGCTCTGGAGCGAGCGAGATGCCACAAGAACTCCTGCAGCTTATCGTCCTCATTCTTTTCCTTCAAGAATTCGATAAGAACCTGAATCCAGAGACGACAATCGCGGATGATCTGACGACCCACGGAGCCCACATCATGGGTCTGGGTGGAGAGCACATCCGAAGCCAGCAAGGTGCGGAGATTGATGATAACCTGTTCAGTCGACGGCATGTACCCATCCGAGAGGGCCCGGAGCATCTGGTAGGTGTGTAGCTTCTGATGCAGGCGACGCTGGAGGGTGGTGTCCTCCTCATAGCGAGGGAGGAGGGGCTCGGTCTCCCCTTGCGGCATGGTCGCGACGATTTAGTCACAAACAGCACTAAAAGAGTAGAATGATCTACTGGTTTGTAGATGGAAACAAGCTGGGGTTGGTGTTGACGGGGCAGAAAATACTACAAGGAGCTGGTCCAAGGGATGAGGAACTGAGGGAAATGTAGGAAAAAGAGGGGGTGGGTTGGCTGATTGCGAGGTGTCTGGTTTCTTGTTGCATGGATTCGTCGATGATCACGAGCTGGAGTCCAATCACTCTTGCGTCACCGCTCCCTCCCTCGCCGCTTTATCGCGAATCACATGACCTGTCAGCTGTTATCTTATCGCCTTTATCGATAAACTGTTTGGAGCTGGGCTTGGATGGCTTCATCGCATCTCATCTCACGAATCAGCTCCATGGTCGATGACAGCCGGGCAAGTCAGTAAATGTCGAGCAATTCATTCCACTCAGTTTAATTGACTAAGTCAAAGCTGGATACCTGGTGACAAAGCTCCCACACTTAGCCCAGTTTTGTTTCACACCAGGCTCTCCCGTTTGCCTAGAGTATAAAGAGAGCAACTCGAGACGGCCGCACAGCAGGGCGGGCAACAAGCGAAGAGACTTAGACAGCGTGTGTAACCCCTTCCCGCCCTCCAGCCAAGGAATTTAAATCCCCCCTCTGTTCGGGTCATCTACAGGGTGCAGGGAAAATCCCCAAAAACCATGGAATGATTGGGTTGTCCGTGCAGCTGCAAGGCAGATCGTGATGTGTACAGTACGAAAACACCGCATATACAAGGGTGCAAAGGTGACAGCCACCCAGTGTACTTTACACCTCCGTCATCACTCACCCGCATGCCAGAGACGGACCAGAAAATGCGAATGAGCGATTTTATTGTCGCAGGGACAAGGAGTTACCTGGCAGTGGCTGCATGCTTGCAGATTCTTGAGGTGTTTGTGATGAGTTTGTGATCCGGTGTCAATCATGCAGACCGGAACTGGCTGAGCTAGGTAAGACCTCACAAGACCTCACATGAGAGAAAGGGAATCAATACAAGGCGAAGATGATCAGCACTGGTCAAGCTTTGTGACCCATGCATCTTGAATCCCGGGGGCAAGAACAAGAAAAAAAAAGGGGGGAGGAGGACGAAAGGCTGCTCGAGTGGGTAAAGCTGGTTGTGGTAGGGATGCAGCATTGCGTGGATACTGGAGACTGAAGAGAGGGAAGGGATGATGTGCTGTGTCCATCTCGCCTACACATTCAGCCTGAAGTTTGAACCCTGAAAGCGAGGGGACGAGTGATCTTTAATGCCAGCGTTGGGGATGAAGTCTAAGTCTACGGAGTAGCCCGTCACTTATTCACTAGCTCCTGATGAAACTATCCACAGCATTTGTCCAGTGAACAACAGTGTGCGAGGGTGAAAGAGACAGAGCCGAGAGGCCTAAAAGGACCCGGGTTTGATCTGCAGGCGTCTCCATCGGCTAAATCGCCAATAGTCCCAGGAGGTAGACGGTGAGTCGCCCAAGTGCCGCGAGTTGTACTGATTATTATTTGTCTCGATGGAGTCGATGGAGTTCGATGGACCAGCACACCCGACTCTTTATCGTCCCTCCAAGACGCAATCTCCTCAGATTTATAATAAAGACGAGGCTCGGCCTCGACTGGCACTGCCTGCAGCGCCTGCCCAGCCAGTCATCGGAAGCAGCACGGTTCAAGCGCGTTAAGATTAATTATAGTGTGGGAGTTGGGTTGTCACTAACAACTCAACTAACGTGGACTAAACTGCAGGAGGCCCAATGGTGTTTTCTCCATCGGATAATTCCATCGGTCGGCACCGATCGGCGCGGCAAGGCTGGTGTAGGCTTAAAACGGTGCCCATTGGGTGGTCAGTCCGTGGAATTTGGAGTATTCTTCATGATATTTGGAGAAGAATGGGGGTGGGAAGTGGAGGAAGAGGAGGGAGATGAGGGGGCACACTGCCACGCGCACACACACAAATTTATTCGCGCATTCTGATCGTCAACAATATTGGTTGTTTGTTCGGGCTTTTTGGTTCTTATGCCCAATTGTGGAGGGTAGAATTAAATAGGTAGAATTGAGATGTATGATTAGTACCTGTAACAGGTTTGAATGCAGTGCAGAGTTTGAACTACCGAGCTGTCGTGGTTGTGGTAGTCTATGGAGGTGGTGGTAGTACTCAAATACTTCGTCCGTACCTGCAGCCACAGCCATCCCAAATGAGGAGAAAAAGAAGAGAGCTGGAGCTTCGAAATCTCAGCAGCTGAGGAGAAACCCGGGCCGCGTTGGCTGCGGGGAACCCAGAGATTCGCATCCGGTCCAGAATCCTTCCTTGAATCCTTAGTGGTTGTGTCATGGTGACTTTCGAGTCTTGGAGTCAGTAAAACATGAGTTCAATGGAGATCCACTTCGGGACCCTTCTGGATCTATTGCTGAATGAAGTCTAGTGTCCCGATGGTGGAGACATCAAAAATAGAGAGAGAGAGAGAGAGAGAGAGAAAGAAAGAAGAAAAACAAAAAAAAAAAATGAATCAGAAGAAAAGAAATCGGGAAGGGTATATCGGGATTGGACCGAGAGAGAGAGAGAAAGATAGATTCATTCATTCAGACTCATCATCATTATCATTATTAAAAGTATCTGTCTGTAAGAGTCATCAATTCCTTCCTGTAGGTCTTTACTTCCACTCTACACGTATACGAGCACACTTCCGAGTAACTCTGCTACGGAGTCCGGAGTATAGCTATGATCGCCAACAAACTTCAACAGACTCACAGCTACCCCGTATAATCCAGTCTGATGGCTATCAACTATCAACTGCTCCTCCTTCTCTCTCTCTTCCCCCCCTGCCGTCCCAACAATAGAAACAACAACAATGTCAGCTGCTGCACTTCCTCCCCCCTTCCCCTTTCAACAAATTGGCCATTGTATACTTCGTACTCTGTCCTACAACGTAGGCTTCGTCCTGATGCAAAAGAAATACCGCACTTCCTTCAAGTGCCTCGCAGCTCCGAAACCTCGACTCCATTCCCCTTTCCAATCTGGACACGTTTATTCGCCTGCATTTACTCCGCATTTGTTCGCATTCGGCGAAGGCTCCCGTTCCAAGCCTGAATCCTTTCTTTCTCCATAGTCCATACCTGGTCTCCCACGCTGTCTCTGCCCAATCCGCTGTCCACCCGACGCTCCTCAAAGCTTCGTATCCCCATTTTATCTCCGTTTTTGACCTGTGCAGACCCATCCTCCACCCGATCGAAACGGTTCGCTGCCATGCAACTAATGTGAACCCGATACCCACCGGTCCGGTCCCGGTCGCCCTCACTGGTCCCTTCACTCCCGATTCTTCCCGATCGCTGTCATCCCTAGAACAATATCCCCCTGGTCCTGGTTCATAGTTCTGGCGACGGCCTCGTCAGAAGATCACAACTACCGTGCGCTCCTCCTGTTGTTGCGTGGTTGAATTTCGGAATGCGGTGGATTCTTACTCAGGGGGGCTCAATGCGTCTAGTGCCCCAAGGACTTATAATCAGACGGCCTGTCGCTTCTTCGACTCGATTGATTCTGTCATCCTCTTCAATCTCCTCCTCTTCTTCCTCCTCCTCTTCGTCGTCTTCTTCCTCTACCTTTGTGGTTTCGCCGGTCGGAATTCGTCTGAAAACCAGTCTCGCCACTTCGCAGTCGTCCACCATGGCTCGATTTCCCGCGCAAAGCCGGCCTGTCCACGCGACCTCGTTCGTCAGCCATCAGGCTCCTGCGTAAGTTCCTACTGCACTGCGTGGCATGCGAATCCTCCATTTTACAACAATTGGGAAACACGGAAACAATCAGAATGGATCAGCACAGAGAACTAACGGCGGCCTCGTTTAGAGAGTCTTCCAACTTTGACACCGCCAACCCTGCCTACATCCGCAAATATCTCCGCACCTACGGCTTGACGCCCCCGCGTGCGGAGTCATACGAAACCCAGAAGACTCGCTGTATGTTCAACCCTGTCTGTCCTCGCGCGACCACCACTCACTAACATCTTTTTCTCGCAGGTTTGGCTCAATTGGCGCTCAAGCAGACTGTGATCGACAAGTTCCTTTACCTCAGCACTCTCCGCAAGAACAATGTCCACCTGTTCTACCGTCTGGTTACGGATCACCTCAAGGTAAGCTCGGAAGCGACGCGGGAGAAACGAAAAAAAAAAAAAGAATATCATCGCTCACATGCATTCAGGAATTGACTCCCCTCATCTACACCCCTGTCGTTGGAGAAGCTTGCCAAAGATGGTCCGAGATCTACCAACAGCCGGAAGGTGAGTAATTAATTGATCCCTGTCGACGACCTGAAACCGGGCGCTAATGACGCACCCCGCAGGCATGTACCTGAGCTACGAGGATCGGGGCAATCTGGCTGCTGTCATCGCCAATTGGCCCCAGTCCAACGTCGAGATTACTGTCATCACCGATGGTTCCCGAATCCTGGGTCTGGGCGACCTTGGCATCAACGGAATGGGCATCCCCATTGGTAAACTGGCTCTGTACACCGCATGTGCCGGTATTCGTCCCGAGGCTACTCTTCCCTTGACTCTGGATCTGGGCACCAGCAACAAGGCCCTCCGGGAAGATCCGTTGTACATGGGTAGCCGCCGCCCCAAGGTCACTCCCGATGAGGAGCGTGAATTCATGGACGAGCTGATGACTGCTCTGACCGAGCGCTGGCCTGGGTGAGTCATTCCGAAAGGAGGTTCCGACAAGCGACGCTAATCTTGTCTTGTATCAGTATTGTGATCCAGTTTGAGGACTTCAAGAACCCCTTCCCCGCTCTGGAGCGTTACCGCGACGTTTACACGTGCTTCAACGACGACATTCAGGGTACTGGCGCCGTTATCCTCGGTGGTGTGATCAATGCTGTCAAGCGCTCCGGTCTTCCCTGCAAGGAGCACCGGGCTGTCTTCTTCGGTGCGGGCAGTGCCGGTGTTGGTGTTGCCAAGCAGATTGTTGACTTCTTCGTCCGGGAGGGCATGACCGAGGATGAGGCTCGCGCCTGCTTCTACCTGGTCGACACCAAGGGTCTGGTCACCGCCGATCGGGGTGACAAGCTCGCCGACCACAAGGTCTACTTCGCTCGCACGGACAACGATGGCCTGCAGCTGAAGACCCTGAACGAGGTTGTTGACCACGTCAAGCCTACTATCCTGATGGGTCTGTCTACCATGGGTGGTGTCTTCACCCCCGAGATCCTGCGTAAGATGGCCGACTGGAACAAGAGCCCCATTGTTTTCCCTCTGTCCAACCCCTCGTCCAAGTCCGAGTGTGACTTCGAGAGCGCCGTCACCAACACTGATGGCCGCGTGCTCTTCGCCTCTGGCTCCCCCTTCCAGCCCATGAGCTTCACCAACGCCGCGGGTGAGACTCGCACCTACTACCCCGGCCAGGGTAACAACATGTACGTCTTCCCTGGTATTGGTCTGGGTACCATTCTATCCAAGGCGGTCAAGGTCACGGACACGATGATCTATGCCTCGGGCGAGGCCCTCTCCAAGGCTCTGACGGCCGAGGAGATCGAGGACGGACTTTTGTACCCTGACTTGACCCGCATCCGCCAGGTTAGCGTGGTGGTGGCGCGCAATGTCATCCGGGCGGCCCAGGAGGCCAAGGTGGACCGCGAGACTGCCCTGCGCAACATGGACGACGCCACTCTGGACGTGTGGATCAAGGCCCGCATGTACGACGCCCACACGGAAGTGCTCTCCTTGGAGCGGGAAGTCGGTGCCATCCTGGCCAGTCTGGGCGGCAGCGCCTTGTCTCTGAACGGACTGAGTGAGGAGGCGGAAAAGAATGCCAAGCTGTAAAGCAGCTTCCTCTTTTATTCTTCTTTTTTTTTTTTTTTGCTTTGCTTTGCATCCCTGGAACCACCACCAGGTTGCTTGATTTTTGGAGCGCTTTTTCATCCCATCTCGAAGTTTCTGCCTGGTTGGATGCGTTTTTCTTTTCTTGTATACCCCCCCTTCTATTCATCGCTTCCATGCCCCCTCCCCCTGTTTAATGACGAATCTTGTGTTGTGGGATAATTCATCCGATTCCGTGCTTCGGATTCGGTTAGCTTAGATACTGAGTGAGTGTGTTTTCGGGTTTTGGTTGGGTAAAAATTGATGACTGCACATTGGTTTTGACTATGCTTTGGTACATAGTAGTAGTAGCGTACTTACTGTAATGGAGACTCCATTGGGATACCTGTGATCATGGCTGAAGTCGACCTCGGCTTGCAGGGCGAGACCTAATTTGCATGTGATGCCATCGTCAGATAAAGTCTCACGTCCTCAGTCGAATTACTTAGTATATTGTACATCCTCCGTACTGAGAAAGTGAGGATATCTACCTCGCAGCATGTAGAGAGCTTTCCAGCTGAGTCCCCTCGTTAGCATGGCACACGTGCAGTAAAGACGAGGCGAGGAACCACGCAGCACCCCCGACCCCTCTCCATCTATCTGAGGCTCAGTAGCTAGCCCACTGCACCTGACGCCAGGTCCAAATAAGCTTTCCATCCACACCCCCCCAGCCCCAGCAGGATCGAGTACATAAGAAGTTAAGAACAACAGAGTGGGGTGAGGTGAATGATGTGGCATCCAAGTGGCATGGTGCAGACCCAACTGGATCCAGCCTCAGGGTCCAGGTCCCCCCTTCCTCCTTTCAGAGTCTCAGACTAATGGTAAGTTACCTTTACCGTGTGGGCTGACCCGCTCGGGAAACCGGGATAAGTAGTGATGCCGAGGAACCCATTGGCTGGGTTTTATTCGAGGTGGGCTGGCTACTTGACGAGCAGCCTGGCCGGGAGGGGGAGTGGTGTTGTTCAGACCGGAAATACGCTTGGATGGGCTGATGCCATCATGCCTCCAGGCTTCCTCGTCGGGAGAGGATGGTCCGGGCCCGGCCCGGATGGGAGCGTCTCCGGTTGTCCGAGATACTTAGTCTTTCCCTTCGGGGCGGGGGTTATTTCGCCCTACTTGGTAGGACTGACTTGTTTGGTTGATAACTGTGTTGGTTTTTCTTAGGGGTTGATTGTGTTGTTGGATGGGTTGAGGTGGTTTGGTTTTGCTGGTGGATTGATTAGGTTGGGGGGTTCAGTCGACATACAATAGGAATCGGCTGGTGAGTAGAGTTCGTGATGCGGTACGCTCATTGTCTTCAATAAGCAACATACTTACAGTCATTCATAATCATCGTCATTGCCATTGAAGTAGATCAACCAAGTCAGGAACCGTCCCGCATCCAGAACCTTCTTCTTCCTCGTCTTCTTCTTTAGTCCTTCCTCCTTTCCCCTGATTAGCCATGCTTGATAAGCATCTTCAGCAATCTTGGCTTCGACAGGGTCTCCACCCAACCCGTGCCTCGGTTTGATATTTTCGGGTTTCCTCCTGTGGATCATATAAATGCCCCGGGGGATTTTTTTTGCTTTTTTCTGTCTTCCGTTCGTAGTGTACTGTACATATACTTGTCGAGAGACATACTAATCAAAATGCCGTCCGTGTTAAGTGAGCCTGTCAAGTTGCCTTGCGGCTTGGTTCTGCCGAATCGGCTGGCTAAGGTATGGATGATGTTTTTTTTTTTTGCGTTCTAGATCAGTGGCTGACGATGGGGATAGGCTGCGCTCGCTGAGTCGCTCGCTGGATCCAAGAATGCGGTTACCCCGACCTTGTTGAAGGCGTATGATCGCTGGGGTCAGGGTGGTTGGGGCATGATCCTTACTGGTACTACTTCATGACACTACCCCAGACTACAAAATGTACTATGTTTGAAGAAAACCGTCCGCCCCTAATCAATATCTACAGGTAACGTCCAAGTCGACGTCAACCACCTCGGTCAGCCCTTCGACCCCGCCCTGCAGGGCGAATACACCGGCGACGCCACCGACCTGGTGGCCAGCTGGGCCGCCTACGCCACCGCCGTCCAGCAGCACGGCACCCCCGGCATCGTGCAGCTCTGCCACCCGGGCCGCCAGTCGGTGCGCTTCGCCGGCCGTCGCGGCATGTTCGCTGCCACGCTCGCGCCCAGCGCCATCCCGCTGCAGATGGGCGACGGCCTCGTCGCGCGCTGGCTCAGTTGGTTCCTGTTCCCCCCGCCGCGCGCCATGGATCAGGCCGATATCGACCGCGTCACGCGGCAGTTTGTCGACGCTGCGCGGTTGATGGCGGATAGTGGCTTCTCTGGCGTGGAGTTGCATGGCGCGCATGGGTATTTGATTGGTATGTTTTTCTTTTTTTTGGCTGTGGGTTCAATGTGTGGATGCTGACTGATTTGGGGGTGGGGGTAGATCAATTCTTGAATGCTAAGGTATAGTGATCCATGAGATAATGGGGAAAGTGGGACGGGTGACCTGACTTGGCTCCAGACGAATAAACGCACCGATGCGTACGGCGGCAGTGCGGAGAAGCGCGCCAAGTTTGTGCTGGACATCATCCGCGCGATCCGCGAGGTGGTGCCGCGCGGCTTTGCGGTGGGCATCAAGTTGAATTCCGCCGACCACAGCTCGAGTACCTTCGAGGAAACGATGACGCAGATCCAGTTGCTGGTGGAGGCCGGGGTCGACTTCCTGGAGATCAGTGGTGGGAGCTATGAGAATCCGGAGGTGGGTGGAGAAATTTCGCATGAGGAACAAACACATTGGGGACGCATGCTGACAATTCTGATAGATGATGGGCATCGACGCCCACAAGAGCGAACGCACCCTCGCCCGGGAGGCGTTCTTCATCGAATTCGCCAGCGAGACCCGCCAGCGATTCCCCAACTTAGTGCTGATGTTGACCGGCGGTTTCCGGACTCGCGCCGGCGCCGAGTCGGCCGTGCAGCAGAATGTCTGCGATATCGTCGGGTTGGGACGCCCGGCGGCCATCGACCCTAACCTGCCCAAGGTGTTTCTGGATGAGGGGCTGGAGGAGGAGAAGGCCCGGTTGGTGCTGGGGAGGGTGCCTGTGCCGGCGTTGGCGCGGCTGCTGCCGTTCAAGGGCGTCGGAGCAGGTTTGGAATCGGTGAGTTGCATTGCATCCTGGAATTTGAGTATGGGGCTGATGAGATTGCCTAGAATTATTATGCGGCACAGATCAAGCGGTTTGCTCAGGGGTTGAGGACGATTATTCCGGGAGTATAGCCTTATCAAGGAGAGGGAGTGTTGGTTACTGTGTAGAAACGATGGTCAATGTACGACCGCTGTTTGGGTTAATTCATGTATAAACAATAGGGACTAGACGAATTTCACAAGTATAATAAGTAGCTTCAACCTATGAGGTGGGTTCAGCAGGTTGAGGGGAAACGCCAACCCGGACCCCAGCATAGTGTGAGGATAGTGTCCCTCTGCGAATTATAGAAGAGAAAATCAATCTTATCGAGGGAGCCCCGAGACCCCAGTCATCTGATCATTGATGCACAGAACGATACGAAGGATAGATGAGAGATAGAGTATACCTGGGAAACTCCCCCTCACCGCCACCACACCGCCAAGCCCATTCCCAGCAATTCCCCCGGCAATAACCCACCGCTCATCCCAAATTTTCCTCACCACCAGAGAAAGAACCCTATCAACACGACCACGACTACACCCCATACCAAACACATACACACCTTCATTCTCCCTTACACGAATCCCGACTGAATCTGCACCCTACCACCCACCCATCGAACCGCACACCCACCGAACAGCAAAAATGGTCCGCGCGCTCAAGCACCACGAAAAAAAACTCCTGCGGAAGGTCGACTTCCACACGTACAAGACAGACAACAACCACCGGGAGTCGACGATCCGCACGCGCTACCACCTACAGGACCCGCTTGACTACCGCAAGTACAACAACCTGTGCGGCTCGCTGCGGCAGCTGGCGCACAAGCTGGCGGAGCTGGACCCCGCGGACCCCGTGCGCCGCAAGCTCGAGGCCGACATGCTGGACAAGCTGTGGCGCATGGGCATCCTGAAGCAGAGCCGCGAGCAGGGCGCCGGCTTGTCGCGCGTCGAGCGCGAGGTCACCGTCTCGGCGTTCTGTCGGCGGCGGTTGGGGGTGTTTATGGCGCGGAGTGGGATGGTGGAGAATGTTGTTGCTGTAAGTTTTTTTTTTATTCTTTCGATTCGTTGTACGGGAAGGGGGAGGGGAGGGGCCATCTGTATACCTTTTCCTCTGTTTGAAATAGGGGTAGAGGGGTCTTGGGATTTTCCGGTTGTTTTCTGTCGTCTATGAGGGGTCCCGGGTTCCCTGGTATGGCCTGCTTCCTACTTCCGTCTCCCTGGGAGGAAAGAAAAGGGGTCTGGGGGGTTTCCCCCAGTAGCCCTTTACTCTCCCGAGAGATGAAGGATGGAGACGACGAGCTTTATCTCCCCATCCGCCGACCCTACTTCGCCCGTATCCGGCAGACATCCACTAACGGCTGCAGGCATGCACATTCATTGAACAAGGGCACGTCCGCGTCGGCACCGAAGTCGTCACCGACCCCGCATACCTCATCACCCGCAACATGGAGGACTTCGTGACCTGGGTGGACAGCAGCAAGATCAAGAGGACGATCATGAACTACCGGAACAAGATGGATGACTTTGATTTGTTGTGATACCCGCGTGCGATCATGGTGTTTGGCGTTAATTTCTACAAAAACTGATTGATTGGGAGGTCAGTGCATATAAAGTTCGATTTAGTGTATAAATAAAGTCAGAAGTCAGCTGAACGCTGAGTAGCCAGACAGACTCAACAGTGAGCTGTGTATAAGCAGTAGTAAAACGATGGACAATCTATGGGTATCAAGGCTATATATAAGAATTCAAAGCAGTCCGCTACTCCGGGAGATCCATGCGGAACCGTCTCACGCTCCCCTCGTAATTGCCCTTGCCATCCTTCTCCTCAAAGAAGGGCATGCGCCGGGCCCGCGACTGACACCATTTCGGCGCCACCCGGCGCCAGAACCCGCGCACCCCGCTGCTGGCCTTGTCGATCTTTTCGTACTCGCGCCGCCGCGTGGACGGGCTGGTCCAGTCGATGACTGTCACTGTTGTTTTGGAGGGGTGGTCGTCGGGACGGTCCCAGACCGGCAGCGTGGATGCGCGGACGGGGGTTTTGTGCACATCCCGGATTGAGATGGGCGAGTTGCGCTGGGGGTTGGTGGTGAGGTTGGAACTGGTGCTGGGCGAGCGCTGGTTGCGTGGAGTCGATGGGCTCGTGGTTGGGCTTAGCGGCTGCTGCTGCTGCTGGAACAATCGACAGGATTCTCGGTGCAGAGCTAACAGGTCCTCCCGTCTGGTGGGCTGGTCTGCGATCGGGGTAATGGAGACAGTGGTGGTGGCTGAGGTGGCGGTGCGCCGGTGCGAGTGGAGAGAGCTGTGGCGACTTTGCAGACTGGTTTTTCGGTGGTGACGAGAGGTGGAAGATGAGGAGGAGGAGGAGGAGGAGGAGGAGGTCGTTGCTGTTGTAGTTGCAGGCGACGACGGTGATGGGGTTCGTTTGCGTCTAGGGCTGCGATCCAGGACATCCATGCACGGCGGTGGCGGTAGGCTGATCTCGGTGACCTCCAGTGTCGGGTAAATTTTGGATGATGTAGTGTTCACTCCGGGTGAGAAATATGCTTGCTCTGGGCCGGGGCCAGAAGATATGGACATGTTCATGTTGCGAAGAAGAGGTGGCGATGTGGTTGACATGTGATTTCTTTTTCGTTTGCTGTAGTAAAGGATGACGGCCCAGCCGAATGCACATGCCCCTGCCAGATGGCACCAGTCCGAGGAAGGGGAGAGAAAGGATCAACAAGCGAGGATCATGTTGACAGGCTGGTATGGTATGTGGCAGTTCTAGTAGGTGGTGTCAGGAGGTTAAATAGTGTCGATTAGGTTCTGAGAGGGGCAGTCAGTCGACGGATGATCAATACGCGAGATGAGGGGAGGACCACTGACTATTATACTTTTGATACCTAATACCTTGGAAAGTGAAAACACAGTCAAAGAGACGAACCAGAAACAAACAGGAAAACAAGAAAAGAAAGGAAAGACTGGGTGTTAAGTCTGAAAGAACGAAATGAACTTGCTGCAGAGTCGAAGGAGAGTAGAGTGTTGGGAAGGGAGGAAGGAAGGGTTTAATCTATTATAGTCTCGATTTCTTCCCCCCATTTCCCTTTTCCCTTTTTCTCTCACCACTAACAATAATAACTAACCATGCTGCATTCCAAGCGGCAAATCAAACCAGTTAACCGCCGTGGGTTGCATTGGACTGATGGCAACCAGTCAGTCATGCAGCCCAGTTCAGTTCGTGGAGTGGGATGCATGGATCAGCGGCAAGGAACAAGCCTGATGATGATGATCGTGATTCAGTTGAACCTGTTCTTCTTTTGCTTCTGTTGCTCCTTTGCTCCTCTTCTCCTCCTTCTCCTCCTCCTTTCAACCCACTGCGGGGCTGAGTTTCGTCAATCCTCCCCCTGCATTCAGCAATCTCGACCCTTCTTTTTCATCTTTTGCAATTCGAGTTCGAGTTCCTTTCTTGTTTCTCCCTTGGCGACTTGCCCCCACCAGCAACTGCAACTAAGCTGCTGTCAACCAATCTTCCCTCCCACGCCCCGCTCCCGCCCTCGAGGCCTCACCGCCAGTTAATTTTCTCTCTTCTCCTCTTTCACACATTAATCAGGAGAAGATCTTGTCGAAGACCAAGGTGTTTTCCTCATCAAGGTACTTCTCCCTGACATGTCAGCATCTTACCCCAATTCCACAGGCCGTCATGGAATGGTGCACATCGCCCGACTCGACCTGGCGACGACATCCTCCACTCTGCGTGGGGTGCGAGACATTCTTCGGACAAGTCTAGATGCCTGACGTGACGTGATGAACCGTTTCAAGAATCTCGCTGGCACCTGGTCTGAGTTTGGCACTGCCTTCAGCAAAACCCTGGATTGACTTCGGCTAACCCAACAGGAGAGCCCGCTCCAATCGCCTACTATCGTCGGTTGGCAGCGACTGCAAAGCCCAAGACATGATGACATTTCAGCAAACCACACCAAAGTGGCACAACCCCGGATAATCCCCGGGGATTGGGCGGCTAGTCCCTTGGCATACCCTACGGAGTATTGAAGTATCTATTGCTCCCATGCATATGCTGCGTCTACAAGGCGGAACACGTGAACAGACTCACAACCATAATCCAACAATCTGCGGTGTCATTCCCGGTCTAATTCCTCAAGATCATTCTCAAACCTCTCGCCTCGACCGCAACTGCCCGACTTTGTCTATCCACATCAAACACGAACTCATCTAATCCAACAGCTCCATACACAAATGCATCCTCAAGGAACCAAGACGGGCAGGTTCGACTGAATGGCCCGATCCCATTGACTAAAAGACTCAAGTCGTGAAAGACCGCCCGGAAGGACACGCGCCCTGGCGCTTTCGGTCCTGTCGGATACAGCCGCACGCTGACTTCCGCAACCGACGTACCGAAAAGCAACGCAAACGTGTCAAACATATTCACCCCATTACTAACCCATGAATCAACTTTCAAGCCGGGGCCGTCATCCGTGATGATGGTCAGTGAGGATGTGGAATTGCTCGCAGCGTAGGATCCCACAAATCTTGGAATGGCCTCCTCTTTCGCCGCCTCGTCTAGCGCCGGAAGCAGCGAGTTCGCAAGGAGATCGGAAAAATAGGCCGTCATCCAATGAGTATTCGTGCCTGCTACTAGGATAGTGAAGCCGACGTTGTGGTCTGGAGACAGAGCCAACATGGACGAGTACGCTCCCAGATCGCCGGCTTTGGCGTAGACATCGACCACCCGCGAAGAAGGAAATGAGTAGATCTCCCAAGGAGCCCCAACGGCCAAATCTAGTGAGGCAGTGTGACTAGCTGGTTTCAACCAGCGCCGGGTGAGGGGCCCGGAAAGCAATTGATGGTCAAGAATGGCACGGCCGACAGCGGCCGTGTCCTTGGCCGATGAGTAAATGCCCCCGGCACTGCAGATTGTCAGTACTGATCTAGAATGGGAAGGATGTACGGACGGTGTCTCGTCGCCGAGTGAGTGAGCCCACCATGTCGTCTCCACATCACCTGGAATGACCCCATATCTGTCCGCAGGCTTGCTGTAACTCGAACGAGTGAGGTTAAGCGGGCGGATCATATCCCGGGTCAGGAGCGTCTGGTAGCTTTGACCGGTCATGGCTTCCAGTGCGTATGCGAGGATCTGGAATGCTGCGTTGGAATAGATCGGGATGGACGCAGTGGGGACGACAGGGTGTCTCTTCAAGAAGCCGTTGAAGAATTCTAGACCGGTCAGCATTGCCATCTGCGGTCGACAAAAGACTTACGGCGACGATCACAAGGCATGCCTGGTGCACCACACGGAGGCATCTCGGCGCTCGAAAGCGAAGGAAGCCCCAAAGCATTCGGATCGGCCAAGAGAAAGACAAGATCAACGAAGCCATCTATGCCCTGATAAGTATGCCAGTTACACCCATTGGACTGGTCACTCACAATCTCGTGGTATCCCAGCTAGATGGCTCGCCAGCTCCCCGATTGTCACCTCGTTCCAGCGCACAGAATCAATCTCATTCCCGTGAGGCCTATTGCTCCATGCTCGAATCTCTGGGACATACTTGGCGACTGGCTCACGGAACACGGCATCACCGCGTTCGATGAGCATCAATAGGACCGTCCAGACCTTGGAGCCACTCCCGATGCGGAACACGGTATTCTCATCCACTGTCTGCACACCGACCGACGCGTTAACGTTCGGAGCGGTATAGTACGACTCGAACAAAGGCTCAGCGTCATATTTCGAAAAGACCTGGATCGCAAACGATGTGGTGTTGGGGTTATAGACACTATTGAGGGGCGAGGTTCCCGCTATAGCCGAGTCAAGGGCGGCAGAGATGTTGTTCTTCGCGGAAAGGAATGCGCTGCTCGTGGAGATTGCTCGTGCGGGTGGGAACACGGGTCCCAGGAGCGGACAATAATTTGATGGTGCCCCGAGGACTGAGGACAGAAGAGAAGCAAGCAATAGAGGCTGATACATGTTGACATGGAAGTTTCGCTGAGCCACAGGTGTCCAACAGCTCCCTTTTCTTTATTTGCAGGATTCGAAACAAGGGGCATCAAGGACCCCTCTTCCCGGTTATATAGCCGGATGAGGACATGGACATCTCCCTGCCATTGAGTCTCAGGCGTCCCGCTATATTCGCTTGGAGCCGATAGTCTACTTGGATGTGGCCTCGATTGATTGGTCACAAGGAGATGCCCTTTGGGAGTAAACATCAGTACCAAATTCTGGGAGATCCCTGATGCAAGGTCGAACAAAGACAGCGAGATGAGCAGCTGGTGCTCTAATGATACCACCCCCCTCTTTTTCGGGGTTCATGTCTCTGGGTGTGATTCGATGCCTTGATGTTTTGGAGTGTCTGGTGGAAGTTACGGCCAAGTGATACGTCTCGGAAGTCGCGTCCGTTCAGGGCCGGAGCCACTCAGCAGCTCTAATTTCCGTTCGGGCTGTCGTTTTCGACTCATCACGTTCAGTCCAGTTATGGCGTATAGCGACACAATGATATACTTTGTCTAGCGAAAGGATCCCAGAGAATTGGGACCGTGGTGATTGGATAAGTCGAACAGGCACGTGTTAGCGGCTGCAGCGCTAACGAATCTTATCAGTTGTACAATAGGTAATCATGACTGCAGCAATCAACTCTAAACCAAAACAATCAACCAAGCATGGCCCATTATTAGACGTAGGGCCAGATCCCAAGAGCCCTGCTCCCAGTGCAGCATCTTATCATGCGGAAATTCAGAGAGAGTCCCATGGTGGGCCCCAGCCGGCGCGCTGGAACCCAATGCCCACGTTGTCGGGGTATGAAATAGGCTTGTTGCCCTCAATTGGGCCCACAAGCGTGGATCAAGCATCACTGTGTCGGAAGACCTTTCATGCAGGGGTTATATGCTTGAACTTGAGCAACGGCATAGCGGTGAAAATTCTTGGTATCCAATCACCGGCCCGTGATTATCCTGAGCTGTCCACTAGGAACTGTTGCTCTTTTCTTTTGCCTAAAGTTCGATGCCATTGGACCTATGGCCCAATTGAAGACTTCGCGAGCGTCCTGTGGTTTTGTCTACTCACCAAGGAGCTAGAACCCCTTCAGCACTGGTTATTATTTTGGGGGTATTCGGCAATATGGGATAGCGAGTATCTGCGTCGTTTGTTGGCAGGGTTCCCTTTGCTATTCCTTGATCAAGGATGGTAAAAGGTGAGAAAATGGAGACAGTTAGGCCTCGTTTCTTAGAACGAAATGGTATGTTATCGATGGGATGAGTGCGGCTGGCTGATATCGTCCTGTTTATTTGCTTCGGGGGGGAATCTGAGTGGGTGTGCAACCAGGTCGTTGGTAGTTGGAAATGGAGTTTGTCTTCCGTGGGGTTCGGTAGTATCTAGCGACTATGTGAGCTGCATTGCTCGGTGGGAGGGGGCTTGGGATGGGCTGACACGATGGCATCTGGTGATGTCTGGAGGTCGCTGGGCTGATACCAAGAGGGTTGCTGCTTGTAGCAGGATTGTGCAATTCTGGAGTGGGAGTGGAGGTCAGGCGGATAGGCTTAGCGATTAATCGTGAGCTCAGGTTGAGAGGGTACAGTGGGAATGAGGCATTTCTTTCTAGAAAGGCCTCTACTCGTGCGGTGCCAGGTGAGTCTTTCTCTTTTGCAAATCAGACACAAATCAACGTACGACTATCCCAGCATGCGGGCCCTATTGAGTATAACAAGCTCATGGCCGTGTAATTCCTCCAAGAGCTTGCTGCTGTAGACCTCAAAACAGCTTCCGGACTCAACCTGTATAACCAGGAAGTGCCAATCGGCGGGGCCCGTGTGTATCCCCTGGCGGTGTTGACGGGCTTGAGTTTTGCCTCCGTTGAAGGATCAGGATATGTTGGGGTGGTGGGTACCTATGAATCGCAGCATGCCTCGTTTGTTCAGGATACGGCTGTCGGTGCTGGGCAACGATTGGGCAATGCGCTTAACGTAGAAACCACCATCGACATTAAGATTGCCATATAGTGAGCCGGCTGTAGGCCCGGAGTGATTAGAGCAAGATGCGTGTTGAGTGAGCAATGAGCGAGTGTACAAAAGCATGTATCGAGCAGTCACGTGTAGCTCTTATAAGCGGCGGCCTGTATCAGACAAGCGCACGGGATTAGCTTCCAAGTTGCAGCAAACCATTTCAAAACTACAACTGATTGTTGAAACACAATGGACTTGCCTTCCTCCGAGAATTCACATTCATCTATCGGCATTCCTCCCGGTCGGCGACGAGCTGGTAAATCAAGGTCCCGTACCGGATGTCGCACTTGTCGGTAAGTGAGACCATGGATCCCGGCCTGTCGCTCCACTGATGGGATCATCCACCAGAGCCCGGCGGCTCAAATGCGACGAAGCCCCCGGAGCATGCCAAAGATGTACCTCAACGGGGCGAGTCTGTGATGGATACGATGTGCAGCGACTCCCTCGTCCTCCACGTAGAAAGATAGCAACAGCCCCCCGAATCCCTGCCCTGGTGCCAACCGGCTTTCGCTTCGCGACTACGTCGGATGAGAACCGCTGCTTCTCATACTTCCAGCATCGTTCTATCTCCCACTTGGTTGCCTCGTTCGATGACCCCCTCTGGGAGAAACTCGTTCTGCAGATGAGCTACAATGAACCGGCCGTGTACCATGCGATCGTGGCGCTGGGCTCGATCCACCAAGACCTGGAGCAGCATGGCTTGCCCCTCCCTGGACAAACCCCGAACAGCACCTGGAGCCGCTTCGCAACGGAGCAGTCCCTCCGGTCCTCCTCCCTGCTCACCCAACGCCGGAGCTCGCAGGACCCCGCCTTGCGGCAGGTTATTCTCGTCTGCTGCTTGCTGTTCACTGTGACCGAGCTTCTCTGTGCGCGTCCCGACACGGCGAGCGTACACCTAGCGGGTGGGTTGAGGATCCTCCGGGAGCTCAAGGCACAACGGTGCGTACACTCCGAACAAAGCACCCTGGCGACGTACCTGCATCTACAGGGCCAGTCCTTATTCTTAGCGAGTGAGGGCCCTATTCTGAGGATCGACTATGAGATGATCTACGAGTGGGCGTATGAAAATTATATCTCCGGTTTCACGACATTCTCCGAGGTCCAGCGAGCATTCGGGCCCGTCTTCAACGCCAGCTGCGGCTTCCATGTGCGTTTCTGGAAGCAACAGCAAGCAATAAACTACACCGAACAGACATATGAGGCCAGCCTCGTCCCGCTGCGTGTACTGTCATGCTTGAATCGATTCCTGCAGGAACTCGAGGTCTTCTTGTTAACCGCGCCACCGCAGGCGTTGGGTGAGAAGGAGAGGCGCGGAGCGCAGTTGATGAAGGTCATCTGCCACGGACAGATCGTAAGTGTCAAGAGCTGTCTCTTGCGTAGCAACGGCCTCCCATTGGAGTCCCTCATGGAGGACTATGTGAATCTGCAGAGGATGCTGGATGAGACTTTGACACAGGTCCCATGCCGCCCCTTGATCAGTCTCCGGGCCGGCCTCACCCCAGTCTTTTTCCTCTTGGCCCAGTGCCCGGACTATGAGATTCGCTGGTGGGCCATTGATGGGTTGCAGACCTGGCCGCACTGTGGGGGCTTCTTTAATTCTAGGCAGATGGCTCAGATGGTGCTGGAAGGGATGAAGATAGAGTTGAGAGCGCTGCGGGAGACGCATCCGCAGGGTATGACTGGGAAAGTGTCTTTTGTGAGGGGAGCGGATGGCTCGTCGTTTGCCCGCATGTTGTATTCGAGGGGCGGTGGGGAATGTGTACGATGGTTGAGGCTGGATGGTTGAAGGAATATTGCGGAGTAGGGTTGGCGCATATCATTTGTAGCTGTAAGAATTGCTTAGAGAGCTTTCTAGATGACGTTGACGGCTAGAATCCGTTGGATAGATGAGAGGGGTGACTTGCAAGTGAGAGCCGCATTCGGTGTACAAAACGATGTGAGCGCTTTCATCTTTGCGTCTGGACATTACTTATGCTTATTGATTATACTTTCACTTCGAATTTGTCATCTGGCGTATATCCAAGAACGGTTTGGGAAGCCATCTCTTCCCACATGTTGACATCAGCCCGAAAATCCTTTCGGGCCTTCTGACCTTTCACTCAGAACAACTCTCCCGGGATCGGCTAAAGGTTGCTATTTTTACATCTGCTCGGAGAATTTGTGGGCAACAACAGATGCTCCCTCGGAAAATCTCGTGGTGGATGTCTGTCATACTACCCTACCTTCCTGCTGCTGGTAATCAGGTCGATGCATACTTGCAATCTGTCAAGAGGAGTGTCTGCTGTTTGCTTTCGGTTGTGGCTGGGTTTCTTGGCTGGGTTCCTGCAGGCTAGCGTAATGTGATGGAGAAGCCTCTTTGCCAGACGACTGCAGATTGAATGCCTTTGGGACTTCGGTATACTTCTCGGCGGTTAAGGCCATGCTCTGGTTGGACGGGATTGTGTTTCCATCCTCTGGTTCTTCTGCAGGGTGTATACAACCACCATGAAGAACCAGGTCTGTCGACTGATCATTCAGGGGGGGAAAGAAACCCTATGGAACGCAGGCTGAGGTTGCATGCATCCTTGTTCCTGACCCAGAAACGGTGAAACCACGGCGCTTATGGCGACCCTCCGAGAAAGTGGAAGGAAGGGTGACTGTGTGACGGTGGGTGGTCGTTACCGCAATCCCAACCTTCATTTCCACTCATCCACGGCACTGACTGTTGCCAACCTCCTTTTTCCGTCCATCAATTCCTCACTTCTCGGCAGCGGCAGCAGCAGCAGTACAACCTGTATCCCACAGAAACATTGCCTTGCTTGCCTCTACCTGCGACTCAACGCACGAAGATGGGTCAACAAGCCTCGGTCCCGCAACCCGGCACCCACATCCAAGTCATCGGAGCCGGCCTCTCACGCACCGGCACCGCCTCCTTCAGCGCCGCGTTGGAGATCCTGCTGGAGGGTCCCATCTACCATGGCGGCACTCAAACCCTGCTGGGTCCCCCGAGTGAGCTCAAATCATGGAAACAGATCCTTCGCAATTGGCTATCCGGCGACCACGCAACCACGCTGGCTCTCCTTCAGACCCGCACGGCCGGCTACGCAGCCATCACCGACGCCCCGGCGTCGCAGCTAGTCCCCGAGCTCCTTGAACTCTACCCAGACAGCAAGGTCATCTGCACCGTGCGCGATCCAGACGCTTGGGTGCGCAGCATCCAGCAAGTCAGCTCGATCGTGCGTCTATGGTTCCTGGGTGCCGTGCTGCTCCCGCTGCCGGGCATGCGCCACTTCATGGGCTACAACTGGCTCCTGCAGGCACAGTGGGATCGCATCTATCGCTCGCGCGACGTCGCCGGCATCTACCAGCAGCATCTCCAGTGGCTGCGCGAGGTCGTCCCGGCCGATCAACTGGTCCTTTTCGACGTGCGCGAGGGCTGGGAACCGCTGTGCCGCGCGCTGGGCAAGGAGGTGCCGGATATCCCGTTCCCACGCATCAATGACTCCAAGGCGGTGGATCGCATTGCTGAGTATCATATCCGGAGGGGATTGATGCGGTGGGCGGTGATATTTGCCCTGGTTGGCGTGAGTGTTTGGTGGTTTTGCTGAGAGAGGGCAGGGGGAGGGTAGGCTTTGCCTTGTACCGTACTATTGTACTTGCCCACACACACACCTAATGTTGCATTGTACTTTTAGTATGTATCAGCTAATAAATCGCTGCTGATACTCGGTCTGCGGACACATTTCAGGTCGAACTCTGCTATTGTCGTGCTGGCTGCTGTTCCATGCGTTCGTTCCATGGTTTGCTTCAGGTACACCCGTGAGCCCTGGGTTTGCGAGGTCTGGCACTCCAAAACATAGTAAATCCAGGGTCAAACTTTTCCATCGGCCGGGGAAAGCTCTGCTCGGAAAGCTTCTTTGCTGTCCTTTTATACTTCCTGGTTTCTTGTGTAGAGGGTTAAGTATAAGGCTGGATGTGGCTGCTGTGTGTGTGTGTGAGTCTCTTCATTGTAACCTCTCCGATTTCTGCTGTAATCCCTCTCGGCTGTTTGTATGTCATTCTTGCAACACTTTCTTTGTGTCAAAGATGAACAAGTATCGTCTTGCAAAGGTATGCTTCCAGCACCAGCTTCTCTATCCTATCAATTTTACCACTTGATCCAAGCTACACATGCATGACCGGGTCCAAATGGTAGTATACATACTGCGTAAACCTGGTTGGCAGTTTCTATTTTCTGTTTGGCCGATTCTCTGCTCTTCCAGTTCTCATGGCCCCAATTCGCCATGGATAGAATGGAATGTCTTGTCATTTTCCCTTCATCCTCCGCTCCATGCGAGTATTCTCGACACATCTTGACGTCTACACTCCCTATTAGAAGTCGTCCTCAAGTCCCCGTCCGCGACTCTCAGTCTTCTCTCCTCTACATCTTGTAGCTTTTCTTATCTCCTTTGGCTTTCTTGCTGTTTTGTGTGATTTTGTTTTTTCTTTCGGGCGATGCGCTTGCTTGCTTTTCTATCTAGTCTTGCTTTCTCTTTTTAGATATTTTTTCGAGTTTGTTTCTTTTCTCTGTTCTCTCTGCGTTCTGCGTTTCGTTTTGCGTTAGGTTTTCTGCGTTCTGTTCTGCGTTCTGTTTCCTACGTGCTTTCCAATTTTAGGGTTATTTCTTCTCTCTGCTTTTTCTGCGTTGCCTTCTGTGTTCTGCTTTCTGCTTTCTGCGTTGCTTTCTGCTTTCTGCTTTCTGCGTTCTGCGTTCTGCGTTCTCTGTATTCGATTTGGTCTTTGCTTTCTTGCTTGGCTTCGTTCTCTTGTTTGTTCTTTGCTGTTTCTTCTTGCTTTCTTCTTGCTTTCTTTTTTGTCGTCTTTTTCTCTTGTCCTCTGTTCAGTTGATTCTCTTCTCAGGCTCATGGTTGGGTGGCTGGGTTGGGCCTGGGATATAGACAGTTGTGTGCTGTCTTTTGTTTATTGATATAGCTTTCGCTTGGCAGGTCTCGCTTCCTCCACTTTGAAGAAATCAACTGACTCACCTTGCAGATAAGTTTCTTGTCAGGCCCTGGTTGGGTGGCAGGGACGGGCCTGGGACATCAGACATCCTGATGTCATTTGTTTCTTGTGGTGACACTACGAGTAAGTGATTCATAATCATTCAATTGAATGAAACCGACACGGGCTTACAGATACCGTTCCGGCGATTTGTTGGGTGGAGGGACTGATGTGGGCAATCTTCCGATATGCTTAGACTCCTATTCCATGTTGATAGCAAACATCCGAATTGAATGGGTAACCAATGAGGCAGTATATCTCTACAAGAGAAGATCACACCGTTGATCTCAAGAGATAGTACGTACAACAGCATCGAGGAATGTGCAGTCGTGGTGGGTGCTGAAAAAAATAACAAGATTAGTAGTTGCTGGATGTCCAGTACATACGACCACAGGGTGTGGAAAACAGGGCTTCCCGTCCGCTCAGCCGTACTTAAGCCACACGCCGGGAGGTTAGTAGTTGGGTGGGTGACCACCAGCGAATCCCTTCTGTTGTATGTTTTTTGTGACTTTGTTTGCCTACATCTCGGTATGCTGGCGCTAGTTCTGAGCTTCTTCTTCGCTTTTGTTATTGGGGTTTGATCGAGACACAGTCAAATTGATCGAGATGAATGCAGAGACCATTTCGACGGACATGTGGAGGCCTATGAGGGATGCCAAATGAGATTGATGGAGCCTTTGCGCGCCCGTGTTTTTAGTGGAAGTGGAGCGGGTTGTGAAGGGGTTTGTCGTCAAAGTAGAGTAGACGGCCAAATGCATGTAGCTCCAGGGCTCGCTCCAGATACGACTATTTCCGGAGATTCATGTACACATCATGGAGGTTGTGTAGCACGGCCGGGGCGCTCTACTTGGACTTCTGCTGCCAGTGTACCGCACAGACGGTTCTCAGCCAACATCCATAGGTGTCGGCGATCGGGCCCCAAGGCCTACGAAGGGAATGAAGGTGGAGACAAATGAAATATGCATCATAGATTTCTAAACTGCTTGCTGTATATAGTTGACAATGAACAAGATGATGACAGACAGGTCCTGCCTGCCCATCGCTGCTAACTAAAGTCCAAACACCTATTACTCCCACTCATACATATCCCATGCTCAAGTCAGTCACTGATCTCCCTTCTATAGCCCGAGCGAGCCCAATGGCTATGCATGTGTTTCTTGAGGATTGACCGTCAGCCGCCGAAGCAGGGTATCGAGGCGAATGAATTATGTGGAGGGGCCAGCTGCCGGTCTACTCCGGTTCGTTGGGGTTCATGATGATTGTCTATCAGATCTGAGAATGGTTAGCTCCGTGCCTCAACTGCAAGGTGCTGCTGGGTCAGAGCTACTTACCAAGGATGTAAACAGCATAAATTGTATGCAAGTCTGGTGGAAATATTCGCCCGCCTGCCATGGTATAACCTCTACCGTAGGTAGGCCTGATGCCGAAATAGTCTTTGCGAAGGTTTTGAGGATGTGCTCAATCTGTCCCTCGGAAACGATGAGGGAAGGCTTGGATCAGCATGGTAATGAATGGCATGTGCGGCCTTTTTTCAAAGGGTTCGAGGATGTGCTCAGTGTGTTTGTAGACGAAGATAGAGGATTGAAAACGGCATAGTGATGATGTGTGGCTTGAGATTCGTTCGACCTGAATGAGGAACTGTGAGCAGATGAGGAGGGGAGGAAGCTGGGGTCGTCCTGACCTTTGTAGTTGCCGCCAGCACTGCGCAAAGTGTGCGTTTCTTGTTGAGGCTGTTCCCATGATAATGGCCAGCGTCCCATGCCATCTTTCCGGAGGCATCTCCGATGTTTCTTCCCACAGCCTCTCCCTAATGATCAGGCATTCCCTCAAAGGCATCTCCGCAAAAGCATCTTCCCACAGGCAGGCATCTTCGCACAGGCATCTTCGCACAGGCATCTTCGCACAGGCATCTTCGCACAGGCATCTTCGCACAGGCATCTTCGCACAGGCATCTTCCCACAGGCATCTTCCCACAGATCTCTCCATCGACGTGTAGAAGCCACAGTTTGCTGTCCAAGCTTTTTCTTTTCTCTGTTTTTCTTTCTCTTTTTTTCATTTTTCATTTTTTTTTGTTTTTCATCTTCAGCAACCCTGGCCACCTTGGCCCTGGGGAGGCCCCAAGGCGACGGGGGGAGGGGGTGGCAGGTCTTGGAGCTCCTCCGTCCCCGGCTCCGCCTCGATTGGCACCGCACACCCACACTCCCCCCGCTCGGGGTCCCTCCCCACTGTGCCCTCGCGGCCTCCCGACCGCTGAAAGCGGGGCTTAAAACGGTCGTAGAGACCGACGAGGGTGGCCAAGATGGCCAGGGTGCCGAAGGTTAACCCGACTATATCGACTGCTGTTGGCATAATAAAAATAAAAGTTTGCTATCGAGTTATCTTGATAAGAATGTTTGGAGAGTTGTTGGAAGAATAATGTTGATTAATTGATAAAAGAAGAAGAACAGAAGAAGCAAGAGTTTTGTCGCCGTTTACGATATAATCCTACTGCAATGGGCTTTCAATCTACAATGGAAGGTGCGTATGAAAGGGGGAAAGAAGTACTACTAGTACTGTACTGAATGTATACGGGGGAAGGAGCTGAGGGAAGTGTATCATGGGAAGGAGACTCGCAGAGAGGAGGAGGTGGTTTGCATACTGTTACTGCTTTTGGTGAGAGGCCTCGCTGCCTCGCTCACTTACTTGGTTGGTAAGAGGTGCTTAGAAAGATATTCAAGGAAATACTCTTATAATTCGCGTATTGCATGCCTCTGTTGCACGGCCCTTCTCTGAAGGGGTTAACCAAGGGCAAACAGGACCTAGTATATCAACCGGTCAATCTCATCAACTCATCCGGAAGATAATGCCACCCGCAAGTCAGTGGTGGATAAACATCGTCATTGCCATAGCATGAAGGCGGGATTCACTAACCCCATCCAAGCGAAATCCCAAGTGGATCTGCGACGAGGCCTCGAGTGCGGCGGCCTCGAAGGTTCTCGAGTGTACAGCCCAATTCTCAAATGTACCCGGTCTTTATTCTTAGCCTGCTGCTGGGTTGAATTATCGAGACGACGACGATGGTATTTGGCTTTGTTCTTCTTGTGTCTGAGGGCCTCTTGGATTAGACGGAACTTGTCTCGGCTAGGAGGGTAGGTCTTGACGACCTCGGGTTTTGTGGCGCAGAGATGACCAGCATGGCCATCCTTCTTCATCTTGGTCCGAAAGTGGAGTTTCAAGCATGTCTCGCAGAACGCCCACTTGTGGTTCTGGATTTGGCCGAGAAGGATAGTGCGGGGGGCTACTATCGATTGTTGGTTGCGACTGATGGTAGCAGTAGAATTATCGCTAGCTGATCGTTGAGGAAGTCGAAGTCGGGGATCTTGGATAATGGGCTTGTGGAGTTGATAAAGCTCATGGCATGTTAAGATCAGACATGCTTGGGATGGAAGAGGTAGGAGCCCCAGTATGAGCTTCAAGATGTGAGGAGGGAGACGAATGAGGCTGTTGTTTGCTGCTGCTGCTGATTCTGGTACTTTGGAGGATTTCCAGCGGGTGCTGCGATGGCGGATGGCGGTTTGAAGCTTTTGGATGACTTGGTGCTTCATGATGGATGGAGTATGATGAAGGTGTCAAAGTAAAGAGATTGGTTTGGTGAAGTTGAGAATTGAAATGTGGAGCAGTGAAGATGACACCGAAGTGAGGAGGCTTTTATTGAGTTGAGTAATCTGGTCTGAGGACAGTATGGATTGCAATACATAAGATAGAATGAAAGCTTCAGTGTGAGTCAGGAGGTTGAGGTAGTTCGATGTCATGGTGATGGAGGCATGCGGAATACTCAATTTTGCCCGGCACGCCGGCAACATTGCATCATATCTCTGTTGGGAACAACCTGAATAGATACCTCCTTGGAGAACCTAATGCACCGGTCTTTTGTCGTGAATTGTATCTCCTTCTATGTCTTTTGAAGTCCATCTGTGCTGGCTATTCTACGCACCACCAAAGACAACAGAAGATTAGAGAGGTACACCCTGTACTCGAACATCCCCTTTCAACTCATACTTCGCTCTGTCACTATAGTGACTCCTATTGAATCATCCCAGCAATCATCATCATCATCATTATCAGCTCCGGACTCATCATCCGCTGGTGATTGGTAAGCTGACCATTACCCCGGAACTCAGTTCCTGAACCAACAATTCTAGACAAGCCCACATGTAAGAAGAGGCATGCTTACGAAGTAAAGCCTGTGTAAACAATAGACTTGATCCTAAAGACGAGCCTGGGCTTGACCAAAGCCGAAGATCGTAATTAAGCTATAAGTATAATGTTTCCTCTAAACCAGCCACAGCATGAGCAGGTATACAGAAACTATCTTGAAACTAAACTAGCACAGGGCTGCGCGCCTACGCGCGTGTCGCATTCATGTATCATATAATCATAAGCATACCGAACCAGTAGTATCCCATAGACTCGATATAACAATCATTGAAAAGAGGCACCAGGCCCCGAGCACCACAGTAGACTACTACTAGTGTCTTCCATCACAAAGCATAAACAAGATCATGGTTCTCCCAATCCGTCAGATCCATCCACCTGAGACTCAGTATTAGCCAATCGAGTAAGATAAAAGCAAGAAAAGCGCAGATGGAAAGCTCACTCCTGATTCTCCAGCCGTGTATACTCTGGACTAGCGCGAACGCGAGCCTTCTTCTCGTTCTGCTGCCGGTACCACCACCAGATTAATACCAGGATCAGCAGCGATACCCCATAGCATACAATGATGGTGATTTCAGCAGGGACGTAGCGGGGCGCATCCTGGGGACGGAAGACTTGGGGTCCTTTTTATCGTGAACGGGAGTGAATTAGTTATCAGGTCCATAGAAAGAGAAAGCCAGACGGAGAGCGAAAGGAGATGGTTCTTTGAATTTCCATGCTGGTAGTCGACAAGGGCAAGCAAGAACATACCAACAATATTGCCTGCACAATAGCCGATCAAGTAGATCGCTGCGACGGTGGTCTTCTTCGTGTAGCCCGCCACGTTGGAGGAGATCATGGCCAAGAGAGCGACGAAGGAGGTGGCGCTGGCTTGGGTCATGTAGTAGCCGATCAGCCGGCCGACGTTGTTGGATAGCGGTAGGGCAACTATCAGGACCATGCCGATAATGCCGGAGAGGAGACCCCCTGCGCTGCAGAGGAGCCGTTGGTTGGTGTATTGGCCAAGAAAGCCGCTGCCGAGGAGGGAGAGAATTTCAACGGCGCCGCCGGGAGTGCCGTAGAGGAGGGATTGTTCGGGGGTGTAGCCAAAAGAGGTTATCTAGCAGTGTTGGTTAGAGGCGGGGGATGCGGTTGAGATTGTGAGGGGAGTTGGAAGCGGAGCGGTAGTGGAAAGAGTGACGTACCAGCTGGCTGAAGAAATTAGTGATTCCTCCGTTCGGAATGTCTGCAATGAGAGCGTAGAAGAAGAAAGCCCAGGTCATCGGATCAATTAAGGCCTCCTTCACTTGATGGAGCTTGAAGTGCTTGTTTCCAATGCCCTGTTGATTGACGCGGACGCGGGCCACGGCCAGAATGCGGTCATCCTTGGTGAGCCAGCGGGCGTTGAGCTGACTGTCAGGAACAACCCAGTAGAAAATGACCCCAAGAACGACGGTCAGGAGGCCTGTGACCAGGAATACAATCTTCCAGGGGGCGATGGCGGAGCCGTGTTTCTCAGTCCCGACGGCAATGCCGTAGGCAACGAGGCCGCCCAGGATTTGCGCAAACCCGTTAAAGCTGAACCAGATGTTGACGCGGCTTCCTTGTTCAGATTTGGTGTACCACTGTGCGACGAGTTTGGTCAGATGTGTACTGTGGGGAGAACGTCTGAATACGAGGATAAATCACCTGCGAGGTTAACAGGGCAAAGCCTGGGGTGACGGAGGCCTCGAAGACGCCTAGGAAGAAACTGGATGCAAGTTAGCGAAAAGGAACAAGCCAGAGGAGGTATTTATTACCGAATAGCGACGGCGCCAGAGAAGTTGGACACAGCAGCAAAGCAGCACAAGATGGCTCCCCAGATAATGATGCACACTGCGGAATACTTCCCTAAGGGAAGTCTTTGTAGCAGTCTATTGGTTGGATATTCCCACGCCAGGTAGCCTGATGAAGCGGTTTATTAGTCGCAATGTTGCAGATCAACTCATAACACCACCTACCGAAGTAAAATAAACTGCCTAGCCATTGGTAGTCGTCGCCTTTCAGACCAATGTCGGTCTTGATCCCCATAATACTGGCGTAGGATAAGGTTGTTTCTAGATACGTCAACAATCCGCCGATGGTGATACGATGTAAAGAACTCACTGTCTAGGAAGTTCATCCCATAGACGAAGCACATGACTGGCATAATATGCCAGTCGATCCTGCGCAACAGTCGCTTGTTTGTCGCCTCATCGAGCTCGATGACCTCTCCTTGAAGGTTCTGAAAGGCGGCCAGCGCCTCGTCCGCATCTTGCGCATGTTGGAGAAGAACCGGGTCGACGGCCTTGGTGTTGTCTTTCTTCTCATCTACCATTGTATGCGAAGGGGATTTCTCGTCTACCATATTGTTACGAAGGAAACAAATAAGGAGAACGAAAGAATGTGTCGAGGGGAAAGGAGATGTACAGGGATGAAGGGCGGGGTGCGTATGACGAAGGGAAGCAAGGGTAGATGCGGAGAATAAACTGGACAGACCTTATGGTCTTTATGACTGTTCCTTGAATGCCATGCTGCGGCCGGATCAGCAGTGTAACCGTAACTGGCTTCCTGTGAGGAGATGGGGTGCATGAGCAAGTCTCATAGTAGTCTCATGGCCGGAGATAAGCCGCTAGTTCAGTTGTTTGTTATCGGGTTTATCTGGGGTAGACGGCTTATCGATCAAATCAGGCGGTTTGGATCCCCGCAGGCTGCATGCAGTAGTGTGAGTACTCAAGAGTAGTGGCATCCAGTTAGATAAGAATGAGGGGAAGATTGCCACGGCCGGTTGACAGGTTGGAGAAGGGGTCAAGCAGGATGTTGAGGTCGAAGAGCAAACTGATCACTATCCATTGGAGGGAATAACCGAGTGACTCGAGGTTGGAAGCAGTGCTCCTCAACCTTGCTCAGAATCAAGGATGGTGACAAAGAACGAATCATGCTGGAGCTTATCGGGCGATGGACGTCATGAGGAGAAGAGGCGAGGGAGGAGGTTGAGGTGGAGAAATGAAGAGAGAAAGTCTCTCCAAAGTCTTGGAGTGCGGAACCGTCACGCCTCTTTTCCGCTTCGGATTCCAGTTCTGAATGCCGACACTTTGCATTGTCCATCTCTTGTCGTCTCCATCGGCAGATAACAGTCATGACAACTGGAAAGTACAGCCAGAGGAATTGGTCCATTGACAAATGTCTGGATGCGGCCTATCCACTGGCATTGGAGCTCAGATAATGCTCAGGCCATCTATATTCTTACCTCAACTGTGTAAGGGTAGATCCTCCACACAAGAAACTTGGACCGGAGTACATCATGCTGAATCAATCATTTGAAGAGGATTGACTCGAGCATCGCTTATCTACTTCAACATTCCCTATTAGGCTATCATCTCCCTTCTTATCAGATACCAAGGCCTAGAGCTGGACTGCCGAAGGCGGCTTCCTCGGCATCTATCTTCCCTGCAGGATCAATATCCCTCACCAACATCCGAGCTCAGATGCTTATGCAAATTAGTCGTAACATGGCATTATGCTGCTAGTTCTGTACATTCATCTACCATCACCCGGTACTAGTTACCTCCCACACGGGCCTGGTACGCCTCCCAGCCCTCCTTCTGGTATTGCTGCGCCGCCTGCACCGGGTCCGCGGCGGCATAGATACCACGACCGGCGATAATGAAATCGGCACCGCGACCGATCGCCGACGCGGGGGTCTGGTACTGCTGGCCGAGCTTGTCGCCCTTAGAGGAGATGTTGACGCCCGTAGTGAAGACCACAAAGTCCTCCTCGTCGGACGGCGAGCTGGCCTCGGAGGCGACTTCACCCAGCGACCGCGTCGACACGAAACCCATCACGAAGTTCTTGTACTTGCGCGCGTAGTCCACCGACGAGGTGGTGTACTGGCCCGTCGCCAGGGACCCCTTGGAGGTCATCTCGGCCAGAATCAGCAGGCCGCGCTCGGGGCCGTACTCGAAGTCCGGCGCCGAGGCGGTCTGGGCCAGCGCCTCGACGATACCCTCGCCCGGCAGGATGCTACAGTTGATGATGTGGGCCCACTCCGAGATGCGGAGTGTGCCCTTGTGGTACTGCTTCTGGACGGTGTTGCCGATGTCGATGAACTTGCGGTCCTCGAAGATGAGGAAGTTGTGCTTCTCGGCCAGGGCCTTGAGGCCCTCAATGGTCTCGTTGCTGAAGTCGGAGAGGATGTCGATGTGCGTCTTGATCACGGCAATGTAGGGGCCCAGGCCTATATTCCATGGTCTAAGTTAATCCTGTCCGGCGTAAGGAAAGTCAAGTTTCGGCGGGCCTACGGTCAGCAAGGTCCAGGAGATCCTTGGTCGTGGTCACGTCCGCGGATACGGTCACATTGGTCTTCTTGGCCTCGGCGATCTCGAACAGGCGCTTGGCCAGAGGGTTGGGGTGCTTGCTCGCACGAGCACTGTAGGTCAATTGCGATTTGGAAGACATGGCGGGACAATTGCGGGGTGATGGCGGATGAGGATCGTACGATGTTGAGTGGGATTAGGAGGTTTTGCGTCGAGTTTGACTGATAAGGAGCGTACTACTTTGTGCAGAAGTCTCAATGATAAGATCTATCAGACAACTCAGTCCAATGGAGGGGTCTAGATGAGGGAAAGACCTGCCGGCAGAAAATCTGATAGGCGATAAAATCATAGAAGATTCCCCTCTATCCCGCATCAGCCACATCGGCCTTAGATTGCTCCACCTCCGGGCGTGGGGTCAGCCACAGCCACAGTGTCCAATGCCGAGGCTGCTGCCAGAACCAGAGCATCAATCCCCGCCTAGTTTCAATATTGGCCATATCTGCGATTAGCCGGATATATTGCGATGCTGGGCTTCCCCTTCGTGGTTACACTGCTAGTCGCCGACAGACGTCATTTGCAATAGGTCTCCCACCCTTGCTTACAAGCCGCAATCTCCAGCTACCAGTCCCCTCTACGGCGCAGCCATCTTCACCCAATGTCTCAATGACGAAATCAACCACATATAACATACAAGCTAATAATCTTCCTCATAGACGCGTAGTAACTAGCAAGAGCGACAGCCGAACGCCCTCTTCCGTCCAGCCCATAATCCCTTACAACAACTCCCTGGCAACCCCAAACACCGTCAACCCCCACAGCGCACCCTGCACAAGCCAGAACAACCCACCTCGTAACCGGCCCTTACCCTCCGGCTTACCCGAGTACACGTACCCGTGCAAGAACACGACGCGCAAGACCACCCACGCGGCGCCCAGCCCAGCGGCCAGCTGCGGGTACTTGAGTCCGGCAACCAACGTGAAGAGCATAGTCTGGGAGGAGTTCTCGAGGAAGTTTGCGTGGGCACGCTGGGCGCAGTTGAACTGCTCGGCCTTGGGCTGTATAGAACGTAGAGATCGATCGTCAGTGATCTCGTTATTTCATGGTCCACCTGACCAGTGGGTGGGTGACTGGGAGCAACGTGGAGAAAAAACTCACATCAGCCTTGCATTGCTCGACGGTCGCGTAGGTGTGAGGGTAGGAAATCTGGGCCTTCTTTCTGATGCTAGTGGTCACGACGCCGTGGACGAAGCCGAGGACGGGGATAGCGCCCAGTGCGACGGCGATGACGGCGCTGTTGGAACGGGAAGTCAATTAGTTTAGCTGCTATGCTCGACGGCGGGTTTGGGTCAATTATATGTAGGCGAGGTGTTATTGGACTTACCCGTAGCCTTCAGGAACAGTCAGGGAGAGCATGATGAGTATTCAAGTAGATAGATTGTATTTGTTTGGCTGGAGATGGTGCAATAGTTGATAAGGGTGATGCTGTGGCTAATGTAGCCAGATATATGGTGACTTTGTACGGATCCAACCGGATACGGATCTGAGCTTTCCCCGCGGACCTCCGTGTAGCCGGGGTTCCGAGCTGGATTCCCTCAACCACTTCTTAGTCAACTCTCTGCGTTTTGCTGCCTGTTGCTCGGTAAGCAGAGAAATTGGTGTTTCTAGGGGATTCGCTTCAGGTTCGGATTGACGTGTCACTTTCTTGTTTCTTGCTATTGATTATGATCATTGAAAATGCAGAGGCACTAAAGCTTTTCCCAGCCCGTTTACATCTCTCGAAGAAAAAGCGACATATATGATTTAAACCATTCTCTATGCCCCCATTTTGCTGACACTACCATATTTGGCTTGCCAGGCAAAGAAGTATAATAGAGCTCCCAGAGGCTGACCGACCAGGCAGAAACTGACCCAGAAGATCGAGTTTCCGATCACCCTGCCTGACGGATCCTTGATCTTTTCTAATGGGGCCGTGATAGCGATCAACGGCAGTTGGAACATCATTCCCGCAAATGCGACACCTGCACCTGTCAGAACTTCACAACATCCGAATTGCAGATTGTCTTACTCACCGATCATGTTATGTGTCGGAATGCCAACCAACATTTCGTGGAGAACCGCAGAGACCAGAAACACGACAGTGCTTGCCGCGAGCGGACTCCATCCTCGGCCAACCAGTGGCGAGAAGACGTGTCGCTTCATGAAAAGATATACCGGCCGGTTCCACGAGCGCCAGTACCCTCCAAGGCTGGAACTATTCCACCAGTCGGTGTAGAACTCGCGGTCTCCGAAGCGCAAGATTTCGGCGAGTGCGTTCAGCAGCGACTGAAATACTGCAAAGAAGCCGGCCAGCCAGATCACAAGGGAGATAGTGGACAGCTTCATTACTCGTTCCAGGATAGACGCAACATCCATCACGGCGATCTTGTCAATGGAGTTTCGGAGAACCGGTGCCGCATACTGGGCGGAGAGAAGCCAGATGAATACAGTAAGACAAACGAACTCGAACAAACGCTTCCCTACAAACGACCACCGTATGTGTGATGACCTTGGGTAAACAGGCTGGTAAACCAGGGTAGGTGCCAACCAAAAGTAAATCAGATTCCCCAGTGTGATGTTGCGGGGATAAGGACAGGACGAGTAGATCTCAGGGAGCGCCGACTCCATGGAGGGGTTGAGCATTGCCTCGCGCAAGTCGCGATTGGTAAATGCGTATGAGCAGATCTTGAACGAGACGATGAGGGCCTGCAGTTCACACAGGGTACCAATTCCAGGGTGGTGGATGTAGAAGTATACTATAAAACTAGTGACCCCGAGACTCAACAAAGTGTTGACGCAATGAAAGAAGGCAGAGAGCCACCAGGTCAGCCGGAAGGTCCGCTGATCGCGCTCCGCGGCTTCAGGAGAGCCATCCTTCTTTCTTTGACCAACGACCTGCTTGGCCCGCTTCGATGCACTCAATTCGATGAGATAGGAGATAAAAAGGTGGTACGGAACGAGAGCGAAGAGGATCGATCCTAACACAACATCCTGTTTGCGGTAGTCATGACATCTGATGCAGATGAGAACGCCATACTATCCGGCTCCATTAGCCTCGGCATCCGCAATGCCCTCACAGGACGGAGGAGCTTACTTTCATAAAGTTCTCAATAATGAGCCGAAGATTCATCGCCACTAATTCGGGGGAAGAATATGAGCCTTTGGCATGAGCGCATCTAGCAAGGTCGCATCAATCTCACCTAGGACAATTACCATCAGGTTGCGAAAGCCGAGAAAGCTCGCCGTAACATTAGGTTCACGCGTGAGACTCGAATGCCGCACCCTGGCGTGATATGCTGCCACATGTCGATATTTGCTCCTCTTCGTCTCCTGTTTAATGCCAATTGTGCCCTTTGCGCCATTTGCACCACTTGTAGATAGCCTTCCATTCATAGTTGCGGACGACGGGATAGTATCGCCACTGCCGGTGCTCACTGCACCTGTCGCGGCGGAGGGATCTTGCATGGTTGAAATAGCTTCGAGACGTTCAAAGCCCTAGCCAATCCAGTAAGCTCACATTCCAGCCTGATTGGTAGATGACAGCAAGTCTGGAAAGGTGTGGGTTGTTGAACAAAGAATTTGTCCGATTCCAAGGCAATTGCGGAGGTACAGAGCGGAATGCAGGATGAGGGATCCCACCTGATCTTAGACACTCAGAAATCATGACAGAATGCGCCGGAGGGAGAGGGAGAATGGGGATTAATTATAGAATAGTGGGGGGGGGGGGGGGGGAGCAAAAGGGACCCTAATCTATGGAATCATGGAAGGACCCAGAGCAGGGCAGCGGGGTTTGAATTAATGCGAAGAGACCGTTACTTTAGCTGCTTAATTCTGACAGGCAACGTGCAACTTTCTGGGCTGTTTAGGGAAGGAGACCGGGGTTCCCGAGGCCGACCCGAGTCCGAGGTCAACCTGGAAGGTTGCCTGCCCTGCCAGTTGATGTCCGCCCGGTCCTTTCACTTCCCAGAGAAAACGAATTGCCCGGAATTTGGCCAGTTGCCAATTAACCCAGTAGTTGCCCGCTCCCTCTTCACCCCCGACCAATAATACTTTCTGCCGCGCCGTCGCCGCCCCCTCCCCAAAGTTAGTTAGTTCATTGATTCATTCATCTGCATTATTGCTCCAATTCCAAGAACAACTTAACCGCCAAATCCTTCCCTCCAAACAATCAATCATACTACTGCTGCTGTTGCTGCTGCTGCATGCAACGACATGTTGGGACTGTACTAGCTGGGATCTTACCTACTTGGTTGAGGTCTGGCTAGCTGTGCGCGTCTTCGGATTCGTCGTCCTTCTAGCTCCCCTGTCAATGCTTGCGACTGTCTCGCCCATCTTTCCGTCATCCTCTTTCCTTGCCTCTAACCCCAACATCTACTTAGCTCCAATTATTTTATATTCACCACTGCGTTGCGATGGCTTACTACGATGACTCTGCGGGCGACGCCCAGCCCTTCGGAAGACCTCCCAAATCCTATGAAGGTGGCATCGTAGGACCGCGACGACCAAGTACGTTTTGCTTTTCTCGTTGTTTGCCGTGTCGGAGATGCCGTTAACCGCCCGCCCAATTTTAGGACTGGTGACCGACTATGGCTCATCGCTAATACATTGGATGCGCACGCGACAACCGCGATACAAAGGAGGTCATCGCATGGAGGTCGAAAGACCCAGTGCGAGCTATGTTGTCGATGTGAGTCGTGACATGCCAACCGATGCTACATCAGCCAACTAACGAGGTTGTCGTTTCTTTGTTCCCCAGATGCTACCACCTCTCGCCCGAGTCCACAAACCTGTCGACACAATCCCGGTTCGACACTTGCACCAATCGATTGGAAAGTCGAAGAAGCCGATCACAGTCGTAAGATGGACACCCGAAGGAAGGCGTTTGTTGACTGGTGGACATACGGGAGAGTTTATGTTGTGGAACGGAACCGCTTTCAATTTCGAAACGGTCATGGACGTGCGTGTCGCCGAGTCCGAAAAATTCGCCGTTGACGATTTCGGAGTTTACTGATGGGATTCACAGGCACACTACGATCAACTACAAGCGGGCGTCACCTCGTTGGCATGGTCTCACAGTCATGACTGGTTGATCTCGGGTGGACAGAAGGGTGACGTGAAATATTGGCGGCCCAATTTCAACAACGTCGAGACGATCGATGATGCACACCATGACGCCGTACGAGATCTAGCGTGGTCTCCTAGCGATACCAAATTCCTTTCGGCATCCGACGACACCACTCTGAAGATTTTCGATTTCACCGCCCGGACTTGCGATACAGTCTTGACGGGGCACAACTGGGATGTCAAGTCATGCGATTGGCACCCGACAAAGGGACTTCTGGTTTCCGGTTCCAAAGACCACCAGGTCAAGTTCTGGGATCCTCGGACGGCAAGATGCTTGACGACCCTCCATAGCCACAAAAACACCGTCACCACCACACGGTTCTCGCGCGTAAATAGCAACCTGCTTGCCACTTCCTCCCGCGACCAGACGGCCAGAGTCTTTGACCTGCGGATGATGCGGGATATCTGCATCTTGCGGGGTCATGAAAAGCCAATCTCCTCTCTTACGTGGCATCCTATTCACAGCTCCCTGATATCCACCGGTAGCGAAGACGGATCGTTGTACCATTACCTACTCGACGAGCCCAATCTGCCATCGGGACAGATTCCTACGATCGCTCCATACGACAGCCCTGATCCGGCAAACACGCCTGCCCAAGTTATATACCCGGCTCATCGGGTACAGTACGCGCATGGAGCCACCATCTGGTCGCTCGATTGGCACCCTCTGGGTCATATTCTTGCTTCGGGATCAAAAGATAATTTCACCCGGTTCTGGTCTCGGGCTAGGCCTGGAGAAACTAGTTACATGAAAGACAGGTTTCATATCGGAGAAGAGGCGGCGGAGGCTCAAGGAACATGGAGTCGCGGATTTGGCAGACGCCAAATGCGTGAAGAGGAGGAACAAGAGTTACAGGATGAAGCCGAGGGCCTGATTGATCAGAAGAAATCTTCCGGGCCCGGCCTTCCTGGAATCCAGGCGCAACCCGGCGGTGCGCCCCAGCAGGACGGGTTTGGCTCTTTGTTGCCGGGTATCGGTGCTCCTCAGCCCCTACCACAACCCGGATATCCTGCATCCATGCCTCCAATGGACCCTACCCGCCTAGCGGCATACCTATCTACCCAGCCACCGCCCCAGCCGAACAATTTCCCCTCAACAACTGGCTTCGCCGGTTACCCAATGCACCCCGCCATGTCAGGACCTCCGCCATCGAATGCCGATCTTGCGGAGCTTCAGAAGCAGCTCTTCTCCCAAGGTATCTCCATACCACCCAACTTCCCTCCACTAAATCCTGGTGGCATGCCTGGAGGTCTGCCCGGACTGGGTGGGGCCGGTGTACCCGACAATGGGTACGGGAGATAAATCTTCGGAGTTTGTAAATTTGTGTTGTTGCCTAGAGCCTCGGCGTCATAGGCTGTATTCTAGTTGGTGACCCGGACACTTGTTGCGCAAAGGTCCTAGTCTGTGATCCTTGAAGAAAAGGATGGACTCGGATACATAACCCGGCATAACTGCATATCCGGAATGCATATCCTACAAAGGATTCGTGGTGGGTTTGTACTTGATGAATGGCATGAACGATTAGTTTACCCTCGATTTGTTCTCTTCATAGACCGCCTGGCATCGGGAAACTCGATAATATGAGGACCAAGACATTGATACCACCCCATAGAAGGGGGATCCACGTGGACATTCTGAAGTTTCCTGCCTCGTAGACAGCGCCGACACTGCTCGGTTCTTAGTATTTGCTTTCCGTCTGTAAATGATAAGGATCCCTATACTCACACCAGACCGACGATACTTCCGGCTAGAAGCGCTTCTATCCCCCCAATCGCCAGGTAGAATGCGGGTACAGCTAGACAAGCTTTCCAGCTCCGACATTGCATCGCTACCGCCCACGCTGCTACTAACAAATGGCTTCCCCCATAGAAGATAAAGGTCCAATAGAAAGTGAATCGCCAGATGTCTTTTGTGTAATATAGATAACTAGCCCTGGACTCGCTCGTCGGTAGAAGCTCGTAGAGAGACGGGAACGGCGGTGTCTGGTAGTTAATCGGCACACGGTTGTTGGCCATGTGAGCGCAACACAGACGAGCTTGCTTTCGCAAGTCAAGGGGCTTGAATAAAGATATTAGCCAAGTGGTGAAACCATAATACTCGGCCCGAACGTTGACGTTATGACACCGGAATCAGGAGAAAATAAGATTGGAGACTGATAAGATCCGCATGGCGACGGCTTCGGAGCTTGTTTGCACTGTTTGCTGCATTGCCCACTGTTAACCTCGGCAGGTGATCTGGGGTTGGGTTCTCCGCGGTAACAACGCCGCGGGCGTGCAAGCCGCCGTCTTATCTCTCTCCCTCGCTTCAAGGACGTCTCTCATTGCAGCCCATGTCCCATTTGTTGGACACATTTCCAATATCCAGCTCTCGAGATGGCAACCGAGCGCTCCTTGGGTGCTCTTCTGCGATCGCTGCAAACCTCGTCTGATCTCCATGATGTTCTTGCGTAAGTTCAGCACGCATCCGGATCCGGCCCGTGACAACCACTCACTGCGTTATCTGTCAGCTTGCTTCCGACGGCTACGAGCCTGTTATACGTGCTCGGCAATCCGTTGAATATCACGCTTCTTGCGTCCCAGCTGCTGGCAGCCCCGGCTTTATGGGATAGTTCGGTCGACCTTCTTGCATGTCGAAAGATCCTCAGCGTCTTCAATACGGCCGCTATTGCACTGCTACAGAGTGAAGAATCGGAGGACCCCAGGATACCGTACGCTAAACCTCGGAAAATTGAGCGGGAAGACTGGGTCAAAGCAGTGGTTAACGGAGCAGACGACAAGTCTCCCCGATGGCGACACGTCATTCTCATTGGTGGAGTTCTACTGGGGTTCGAAGGGCAAAACAGACAGGGCTTACCATCGCGGGTCCGGAGAAAGCTTGAGTCGGCCCTTGTGACGGCAGCCCAACTTGCTCTAGAGGAGCCGGATCTCCAGAATGAGATCGATGGTCGGTGCGTCACCATGGTACTGAACTACACCTTCGAGCTCATATCCGACCATGAGAAGAGCAGGCTGAACTACGACTGCCTACTCCCAGTCATGGTCAATGCCACTTTTGTATCGCCGGAGGGTCTTGAAGGAGGGTATTTCCTTGGGACTGTGGACAAGGACATTGTTGAGGCGCCAGGAAAACGGTTCCAGTGGTCCCCGCAGTCGGACACTTTTCTGCGCGTAACGGCCATCTCGTCCAGTCCGCTTGTGTCCGCCTTGGGTCCTCTGTCTCGATTGATTGCTCACGCGATCGAGAATGTTCGCGATCCAGGACTGGTAGCACGGTCCTTGGATCAAATTACGGACTTTGTGCGGACCTTGATGGTTCAATGGCGTCAGAACAAGCTATCGGAAGTCGACCGGGCTGAAGAGGCGGAATTCCTGGATCCCGAGTCCTTGGGAAGCACAATCCCGGGGCTGTGGAAACTTCTCCGCAATTGTCTGTATTCAATTGTGATTGTTCTTCGGGCTGTTGTCGGGAGGATTCTCAATGACCCTATACTGGCTGCGCATCGAAGTGAGTTACTCGGTTGAAGTACCGTGTAGGAACCCTTTACTAACTCTATATAGGTGCACCGTTCCTGTCCATGCAAGCTCTACACATACTCCGAAACCTGTACTTTATCTCGTCGCGCATTGGTCAGAATGCGTCCTCGCAGCACGTGTTCGTGACCCTAGCTGCAGTGGATATACTCGCGCAGTATCCCGACTTGGCCGAGAATTTCCTGCGAAGCATCAAGCCCAGTGAGCTTGGTCAGATCCCCGCTCACCCCATTGAGAGATGCTTAGATCTCTTCTTCCTGAACACAGCCGAGCTGTTCACACCCGTCTTATCTCCCACTTTCAGCGAAGAAGTGCTTATCGCTGCGGCTACGCCTTATCTCCCAGCCGGCGGCAACAACCATCTTCTTGAGATCTTCGAGGCCGCTCACAGTCTCGTCCTGGCTGTGTTCGCCATTCCCGCCAACGCACTCATTGCAGCCAAACACCTACCTTTCTACGTCGAGAACCTTTTTGCCGTAAGCCTGTCTTTGCAATGTTTGGGATATGTTAGACTAACCGTCCATAGGTGTTTCCCGCCAATCTCTCCGCCCGTCAATTCCGACTTGCGTTCAAAACTGTCATCCAAGTCACGGCGCCGCCGTCCCCGATTGCTAACACGCAGCGACTGTTCCCCTCTGTCCTCCTCGAGGTCCTCTACAACCGGGCCCTGCACGCCACCTCGGACGAACTCCTCCCGCAGGCAGCCCCCGGCGGCCAGGAAGACTCCGGCCTGAGCATTCCGCCCCCCGTCACCGAGCAGGCGGCGCTCACGCTGGCCCTGATTGACAGCCTCTGCTTTCTGCATGTGGACGAGCTAGAAGACTGGCTGCCACTCACCGCGCAGCTGCTGACCGCGATCCGCGCGCCGGCCATGCACAACCTCTGCGTGGAGCGGTTTTGGGAGGCATTGAGCAACGGCGAGATGGACGTGGAGCGCGCGCATTACTGCGTCACCTGGTGGAGTACCCGAGGCGGGCGGGAGATGGTGCTCTACGGGGCCGATGCTGATACTGCGGCTGCTGCCGAGGCAGAGGGGGAAGCAGTCGAAGGGGCATTCATGAGCGGCGCGCTAGGAAGCGTCGCGCGCGAGAGTAAACTTTGAGCTATCTGTCGCATTTGTGTGTGCTCGTTTGTGTGTACATAAGGAGGATGGATGATGAGGTTTGATTATGGTCAGCGCGCGGCGTCCGGAGTGTTTGTTTTGCTTGGTTGATTTGATACCACTCGGCGACTGTTGATACATTTATTGAATTTGGCTTATGTGCGAAAAATATATTGTATAAAATTGTACGTATTAGACAATGTAAAAGAAAACGAACCAAGGCACCAACCCAACTCCTGGAAATATCTACCATAAACTATCCACATATACAACTGGTAGCAGTCTTCATGCCCAGAATTTTTTTTGGGAGAGGGGGAAGGCGTCAGCTTCAGACAAAAGGAATCCCCACCCAGCTCCTCTTCCTGTACTCGCGATACTGGTCTCCGAAGAAAGCACAGAGGTAATTCTCCTCCCCTGTTTCAGGGTGAAAGTTAGCAAGTCAAGCTCAGCCCCTCCAAGGAATGATATTTAGGACAAGGGATATGTTGATGGTAGAGGGGAAACGTACTCCGCACGCGCAACCTGAAGAACCGCCACAGCACGAGCGCATAGCCCACCAGACAGGCGACATTGCCCAGCACCAGCTGCGTGCCGATACCCCACCAGAAAAACCCGAAGTACGACGGGTGGCGCAGCACGCGGTAGATCCCCGTGGTGACGAGGCGGTGGTCATCGCGCCGCGACACCTGCACGGTGTGATTGAAGTTACTGCCTGCCTGGGCCATGGCGACGGAGCGGGTGGTTTGGCCCACGATCATGAGGACGAGGCCGAGAAGGATCGCGGGGTTGATTTCGGTTGTGAGCGGCGCCGGCGCCCATCTTGGTGTACTTGCTGCTGCTGGGGCCGCCGCCGGCCAGGGGAGGTAGTAGGTGCGCGGGGTCGTGTGCGGGAAGACCGTGTAGGTGATCAGGCATTCCAGCAGGGCTGAGCCGTGCGCGACGTTGTAGGCCCATCCGTTTGAGCTGAGTAGGAAGGCGGACACCGTTGCGAACCGCGGGTTGTGGGCTGCTGTCGTGTAGTATTCTAGGAAGTGGAAGAGGCTGAGGCTGCCTAGGAAGAACGGGAGGCGCCAGAGCGGGGTCTGTGTGATTACCAGGAGGTGTAGGGTGAGAGTTGTTGTCAGGCCCAGTGTTGTGCCTAGTATGAACGCGCGGAGGGAGATCCCCGATAGCGATTTCTCGCCGTTGGGCAGGTTGGAGGGGTCGAGCGGCGGCGAGGCCGGGCGTGGGGATGGCGTCGATGAGTGCGATGAGGAGTGTGACGGTTGGTATGCGCGGTATTGTGTTGTTAGAGGGGCGGTGGGTGTTGTGGGTGCTGGTTCTGAGGTAGGAGTGGTCATTTTGGGCGGTTGGTTCTGGTATTGGGTGTTTTAGTGGTGGTGGTGATGATGGTGGTGAAGGTGGTGGTGAGGCATTGCTTAGGGGATGCGGGTGGTGCGTGGGTTTTGTTCTGGTTGCGCTAGGGTCAGAGCATGGTCTGGATGAAACCAAGGCCTGAGACTGAAAGAGCCGAGCGGACAGAGAACAATCGCAGCGCGCGCGCAGGACAACAATGCCTGGAAGCTGTTCGTGTAGCTGTGTTGATGCTTTGCTGCTTTACCTCCGCTGTACCATGGTGTTTGCCCGCTGACCTGACATAAGCGTGTCTCCTACGGGCGATGATTGGTCAGGGGCCCTGCTCCGTTACTGCGCGGCCGTTTTATACTTCGGACTCTCTGCGAACGTTCTTTGTATTCGGTTCTCTCTTGAATGCATACGAGACGCGTCCTTGGAGATACCAGGTATACGTCATTCTCTCATGGGTCTGAGGTGAGTAGCCTTGCGAGTCGTTTATGTGAACTGTCACAGCCGTGTGGCTGCCCTGGACCGAGAAACTCGATCAGAATTCCTGCATATACTACACGTCAATGGGCTACGTACTAACCTCTTTTCAAGATAGTAATGTGTCCGCCACTCCTGTATGATGAGCCCAAGCTTGTCATCCTTCAGTCTGATTACAATGAGTGTCTATGGCTCTACAAAAAGGGCGGCGACCGAAATGTTCTCGTACATACTCCTGGATCGTGGTGCTAGCAATGATTGGCAGGCGATCACCCCGAAATGATCAAGTACAGATAGAGATGGAACTCTGTCTATGTATTTGATCATGCAAAGGACCCAAAAAAGACTGCCATATACCGAAAGTGGAACATCTTTCCTGCATCTATCAATTTCGTGGTGCCCTAGGAACATCCAGGACTGTCAGCATTGCGCAAAAAATCTTATTTCTTGCAAGATTTCCCATCATCATCGTTCCACGATCAAGTCTATGATCAAGCGCCACAGCAGACAGGGTTATATGACATCAAAGATAGTCACTGCTTGTCATCAAGCGCTTTCTCCCTTAAATCAGTATATATATAGCCCTCTCGAACGCGATAGACATGACCATGAGAACGTCCCGGAGCGTCTCTTTTCTATTCAAGCGTTTATCCATGTCTGCCACAATGATACAAGCGCCTCTATCGCCCAGCATCGGGCATATGCTCACTAAACCCATCTTTCCACCCTCCAGCCCTTCCAGATCAACGGAGGTAACAAGAGGGTACACGCGACTATCAGCGATGCCATTGGGAGGCAACGAGCAAGCAGACTACTTTTCTGAGAGATGTGAGTCAACGCAGGACGGAGATACAGGCCATATGTCTGTCTCCGACCTCATTTCTGCGCGGATCCGATGCCAACGCGCCTGCCGCCGCTTCAATGATGCGGGAGAAGCGTCTCGACGGCAGCGGCTGGAGATGTGGAAAGAGTGAGTACCGAAACCCAACCAGATACATCCTGCTTCCGATTGGATGATCGGCTCTACATCGCCGCAAGCTATGCTGATTGCATCAGAATTCTGGGCGACAATACCCCTCTCCCTCCGCCCAAAGAGGATCCCCTTGAGGACGATATCCAGCTAGAACGTTACCCTTGGGTTGAGCCTCCGTTTCGGGTTGATTATGGACACAACCTGAAAGTGGGCGAGGGCACGTTCATCAACTTCGATGCCGTCATTATCGACACCGGTCCGGTAACCATTGGGGCGCGCACGTTGATCGGCCCCCGAGTCAATCTGTTCAGCGGCACACATCCTTTAGATCCAGTCGAGCGGGACGGCTTTAAGGGTCCTCAGATCGCGAACGAGATCCATATTGGAGATGATTGCTGGCTGGCAGGAAATGTGACGGTGTTGCCCGGAGTGACCATTGGCAACGGAGCGGTCATCGGAGCCGGTAGCGTGGTTAACAAGGTAAGCCTTAACGGAGCGCTGAACCATGCGGCAGACAGTGTTGATCAAAGCCGATCGTAGGACGTGCCTGCTTTTCACTTGGCTGTGGGAAATCCAGTGAGAGTGATCCGCAAGATCGAGACCGCTATGGCAGGGTAAACCCTCCCACGCGGGATCAAGGAGTAAGGAGTTTCTGACTGGGTCATGGATTAGACTGTGAATCGTTCTTATGTTATAATTTCAGTTTAAGATGTGATATATTCATTTTGACAACCGTCAATGCCAAGAATTTAGCAGGGACATCGTAATCGGAGACTCGCCACGAACATTGATTATTAGCACGAGCATCCTTGTTGGTTGGTTGGCGGGGATATGATACGTTTTGCAGAGATCGACGATCGACGGTGCCCAGTGTGTGGTGGGGACCGCCAGAACGGTCTTTCTCCGGGGCCATGCATCATGAGAAGCAATAGCTCACAGTTGGGAACTGAAGCTACCCCGCGCTAAGGTCAAAGAGTCAATCAAGTGGAGTATTGTACCTATGGCCGGGCTCATTTAAGCTTCAACGGATGCTTTTTAGCTGTACCTGAGCTGGGTCAGTGTTGGGCCCCAACTGCATCGTCCCGGGCTGGAATGTAATCGTCCTTAGACTAGATAGTAGGTACTAGCTACAGTACATTCTCCGAGCTCCACCGGTGGAAGCGGTTAATAATAAGTCAAGTAAATTCAGCGGTATTTTGTTGGATATACTCTGGTCTATAGAAAAAGTGGTTAAGATCAAGATAACTTATATAAATATCTAATCTATTTAAAGAACTTCAGATTACTATATACTAGAGATACTAGACGAAAGTCATTGAAAACGAGGTTCTCAGCTTGTAAGATTGTTGATTATACATATGTCTAAGATAGTGGTTGTGTATGTATGACGCTAGGGTCTGAGAGGTGTTATACTTATAGACTGTGGCTGTATATAAGGCTTGGAGACAGTTGTAGATTATCTGGCCACGGAGGGTATTACTCACCGAACTTGCTCTCTGCATGACACATTTCACTCAACAGTTGATGATTTCAGCTCCAGATATTCTAGTCCTTTTGTCACCACCAATTCTCACTATCATCGCTGTCCCCAGTATCTAGATTGACTGGCGTATGCCTAGCACAAGGGCGGATTGACTCAATTCATGCGGTACTCCTCCAGTAAATTGCCACGCATTCCTTGTCATCCTGGTTATGTGTATCCTTAAAATCGGATAATATTGTCTGCAAATCTGCAAAAACCCTCCTGGGCCAGGTCAGGAACTGGAAATGCCTGGATGATTAACTCATAGCGGGAAATGGGGAATAAAACTGTCAACTGGCGGAAGTCCAGATTCCCCTCTCCTGCGGCTCCACCGCAACAACGTCAGAGCTGCGGCTGCTGCTCCTCTTCCGCTTTTCTCTCCCTCTGTCATCCATCAATTAATTCACTATCGCGTTTCCCTTACCTGCTCGGTCTTATTCTACCTACACATCCACAATCCCCCCCCCCCTCTCTCTCCCCTCCCTTTCTCTTTCTCATCTTTTTTCTCCTCTCTTCTTCTTACTTCCCACATTAAAGGAAGACTGACTTGAAAAGAAGGACCGCATCCAACCCCTTGTGGCGTGAATAGGTGAAGTGAACCGACTTAGCAGCACGCTACTTAACTGATAGCTGCCTGCTTCCCATCTCCCTCCCCTCCATTCAAAGAACAAAGTTGGTTCCTCATCCTATCTATTCCGCTTCTCTCAACTCTGCACCCAAGAAGTTCAATCTTGTCTTTCACTTAACTTTCCTAGCCGTCCTTCCCTACTGATACATTAAGCTTCTTCAGTCACCATTTATTTCTTATCAGCATCTTTACCTTCCCTTAGTCCCACATCGCTTTCCGACCCTGGTCGATCCAGTTCACCAACCCCCTCCAACCCCCTCCTCTCATTTCCCTTTCACTGGGCTAAAAAAATGCTATGGCAGCTGCCCCGCTAGAGAGCTCTAGCACCCCGCCCGACACTACCTCAACCGATTCGACGCGTCCCTTCGGTGATTCCATGGAAGATAGCGAACCTCAATCTACACGAAAACGTCCCCGTCTCGACAGTGGAAGCGGAGCGTGTGAGTCTCTAATTGTCTCCAACGACACTTCCGCCTCTCGAACTCCCAAACATATCACCGATGCTCCTGCCACTTTGGGCGAGGAAGCTTCCCCGTCGTCTCGTCCGGCCAGTCGAGTGACTATCAACGTGAAGTCTCCCATCTCCGACAACATGGCTTCCGCTCCCAGCGATTCTCCCACAAAGCAGCCCACTGGCGGGGCCGGTGCCGACGCTCCCACGGCGATCTCACTTTCGTCCTCGCCTGCGCAAAGTCCGGAGATTGAGGTGGCAGACCTGGAAGATATGGATCAGGATCCCAACACGTCCAGCTGGAAGCCGCTGGGGGAGGCACTGCGAGAATCAGCAACCCCGGAGGTTGTACAGCTACATGACCCTTTGTCTTTGATAGACACATTTCCTAAGCTCCGTCCGGGAACAGAGTCGCGCGAGAGCATGGAGGAAATTAGCCTGGCCCTTGAGAAAGGTACAGCCCAGTCTACGCTTGAGTGAGAAGAATCCGAGCTAAATTTTACCGCAGGCTCGGAGCTCGATACTACAATCTTCACCGCTGTGAAGAACTGGCTAGACGATGTTGTGAACAACCTCACTCAAGTCACGTATGCGGTCTTCGCAGAGGACCGCGACGCTTGGGAAGAAGTACCCAATATGGTGGATGGCTTGTTACGCCGGAAGTGAGTGGACTTTCCATCCCACCCCCTCAAGCTTCTTTCGAGATCGCAAAATACAGTCTCAAGTGGACACTAACGCCTTGGCAGTCACATGCTTGCGCCGGAGCAGGGGGAACCCCTATGGACTTGTCTGGAAGAATTCTTTATCAACTATGCCCAGCTGGCCGTCCACATCATTCGCCTGGATACCATGCTTCTGCGCCAGACAGTCAAGGATCCGGATGTACAGCCATCAGAACTGTTATCAAGGGCCTATCTTCCGTCGCTAGGATGGATACTGCAACTTAATCCTATCCCTTTCTTCACTGCTATGGAGAAGTCCTATGGCATCGAGGTTCCTAATTTGATTACTCGTATCAACGATAAGCTCGCCTCGCCTCCAATTGACATCGTCAAGCCACTGTCTGAATTTGCGGCTTGCCTTACGAGCTTGGTAACCCAGTGGCCGCAATTCTCGCAGGCCTTGCTCTCAGTGGTCACGATCGCGCATAACCTAGTAGACTCAGGCAATGAGCGACGCAGGCACTGCATTGACGAGGACCTGATCAATTCTCCCGTTTACAGTCGTACCCTGAAGTCGGTCTATCCCTTGATCCGTGCCCTTGACGACAGCTATCAATTTCACATCACAAAAAAGTCTCCTTGGGTGTCCGGCGAGATAAGTGAGCAGATGCTCCGTTGTCTCTCTCGCACATACCTCAACTTCTGTCACTGGAGTCCAGAATGGTCGGATCAAATCGCGAAGGATCTTGCCATAGAGATCCCGCCTGATCTTCCATTTGAAGGCCGGGCTTCCATTGTTCATCATGGTTGGAAGTTCGCCGTACTGAAAAAGCATATCATGGACGGTCGCATGGAGCTCCGGGTGCACGGCATGGAGACGATGCAGTCCGACCTTGTCGCGTTCTATCGACTGCATATCCAGCGTGATCCCGGTGGTATTAATCACCCGCTCGTACAATACCTGGTCAATTTCCTGAGGCAGAACCATATCGTTGAATACATCGTTGGCATCGATTCGCATCCGCAGCTGATTAGCAGAAGTGTGAACATTATCGGCTTTTTGGTGGTCACGTCCACATATACTGACGCTGATACTGACACGATATGGCAGACGGTAACAGAGAGCCGCGATTCGCGAGCGGTGTCGGAAGTCCTGGCTATGCTGTCCAGAACTTTTCACTTGCACCTGTGTACATCGCCTGCATTACTTTACCTATGCTCAAAATTGCTGGAGCTCCCCTTGGTCCGCTTCGATGCTCGAATGATCGAATTCTGTGACCAATTGCTCTACCAAGTGCGCGAGAAACACAATGAACGGTACCGTCAAGAGCTTTCAGTACATGTGGATGCTATCCCCCTACGCCTCTGTGTGCGCCTTATTCGTGAGAGTGCTGCCACCAATGAATTATCCGTGGACCACAAAGCCCACCTGCAGAAGTTTGCGGCCACGCAACTCAGTGCTTTCATGGACATTGGTCTAAGCGAGTCTGACAAGATGGAGACCTACGAGCTTTGCGTTCAAGATATAGCCGACATGAACAACTTCACTGCTGGAAGCATTCAAGCCTTAAATGCTCTTCTTACGAATAATGATAGTCAAAGTGTCCGAAAGCTTGCCGAGGAATTCGATTTGACTCGGTTGGTGGTGATTGAACTCGCGAAAACCGTGAACGACAACCAAATCGATTTCGCGGATACTTTCTCGTGGAATGGATTTCTCTCACGAATCCAGCTGCTAGCTCGCATCATTGATGGTGTTCCCGAATACATAACAGCAGATCTCAGCGATATCCTGTGGCGTAAGGTCTTCATATCGAAATTACTCGTGCAGCAAGGTAGACGAGCCCTCTGGGACAAGCTATGTGCTCTCACTCGATGTTCTACACGTGCAAATCCCTTCATCGAACGATGCCTCACAGAGTATCTACCTAAGCTCTCCCCTAATGAAGACTATTCACCAGAGGTTCTGTTCTTCGCGAAACATGCCATCAACTACGAAATCCGCTTTCATCCTCCCCCAATCGCTGGCGAGAATGAAGTCGTGGTCATCCCGGGAATGGACCGAATTTGGAATATGATTCTCACCGCACCGCCTGGTACCATCGAAACAGATGCAACCAGCTTCGCCATAGAAGTATATCTTGACCATAGTGTGATTAATCGCTCACCGCGTTCGGCCGTTGAAGCAACTCATATTGCGCTGGTTGATCGCTGCGTTGACCAGCTAAAAACTGCTGCATCTAACTTGCACCCTTCGAATGCAGCTTGTGACGGATCCACGGAGGCGATGACAACCGTTGCATCTGAGTCCAAAGTCCATCCGGAAGAGCTACGGTTTAGCCGCTCGTTGCTCGTTCTGCGCCAATTCCTTCAGGGCTTGCGAAGCCGCCCGCAGTACAGTCCACCTCAGAACTCGACATCTCTCGACCTGCCAGCTAGCCCCGTGAATGGCGAGCTGATCAATATTCGTTATCAAGCATTCAACGGTGGCACACAAACCAAGGTGAACTCATTGCAGATTGGTGATCTCTCAACCGCTGCGGAGCTCGTGGATACTCTCGTCCGCGTCACTGGGTTTACCAAGCTGAACACTATATTTGGCGGCCAACGAATCGATCTTCTCGAGAAACCCAATACCACTTTACGGGATTTGAAGCTTCGAACCGGCCTCCTTATCGTCCGGCGAGACCCAGAAAGTCGAGAAGTTGCACTTCCCGGAAGACGCCAGTCTTTGACTTCGGTAGACTCAGAGGTGCTCAAGCATTTCGATGATCTCTACGACCTTCTGGGAATAGAGGAGCATCTAGCGCGAGAGGTAGGTGGCTTGCTTGGTACACAGCTAGCATCGGCTCCCGCTAATATCAACTTTACAGATTTATGATTTCCTCATTGTATTTCCGCCACAGGAAAGAGTTGTACAGTTGGTTAAGTCTACCGAGAGCACCGAAGATGACATGTTTCCCATGGACAAGCCCTACAATTTTCTATATTCAGTCCATGCGCTTTCCGTATGTCTGCGCGAAGAGGCTTTGGAGGTAAGAAATGGTATTGTTTCTCCTTTTCCTCTTTTATAATGTTAATGGTGTTCGACAGTCATCCCCGAATCAAGACTTTGTGTCTCATAGCATCAAGGTTCTGGTTTCTGCCTTGATACGTCCTGCGATGTCGGTCGCCTTCGAAGAAAGTGCTACAAAGCTCATGTTCGCTACGCATCTCATCGAATGTCTTCTCTACGCTCTCTTGGTGCGACCGGCTCGGACGGCTGATGCACCCTTGATCTCAGATGCACCTGCCTTATCCAAGAAACTCCTCGAATGCATAGACATTGCACGAAAACAACCTCCTCAAATTTCGGAACCTAGTCTCTTCAAGTTGATATGCCACTCCTTCGCCATTCTCACTGAAGGCTCTGTACGCGATTTCAACTTCTGGAGCGCAGTCAAGCAATGCACACAGTTTGATACGCTCCTGGTTTCGCTCTTGCTGGACGAGTACCGTCAGCCGATTCGGAAGGGCATTGCAGAGAATATAGCTGTTGTCTGTAGCCCCTCGATGCTGCTGAAGAAGCAAGCGAAACCTGCTCGCACCGAACTTGCAGAGTCAAGCGACACTTCGGACTTTGAGAATCCTGTCCGTTTGGACATCCTGGCCACAATCTGGGATGCTTTCACCAAGATTTTCCCGAGGACGCTGGATCACGCCTCTCGTTCACATGAGTTCTTTGAAGTTGCCTATTTGATTTTCCGTTCCGTTGCCGAGAAGTCGCCACAGGATCTGGTGTTCAGCCAGTATCTCAAGCAATGGAGCCAGATCATGCTACTCCACAAGACAGAAGAGTTTGTTGGTCGCGAGCTCATAGACGACCTAATCCTAGGCTTCTGCCGCCTGTTGAAAGCATGCCTCGATCTAGCAAACAACACGGAGACCGCAATAGATACCTTCAATCTTGCAGAGGAGCTCTTCGACAAGTACCTCTTTCCTGACCTATCGATGCCATCGGATGACCGTATTGTTCCGCAGATCCCTGTCATGCACACACAAACCCGCCAGGAACTGTATTCAATCCTTGGCCAGCTCTGCGAGATTGACCACAATTATGCTAAACTGGTGAATCGTGTCCTGGATGTCATCCCGCAGGATTACACGTACTCCGCTTCATGGTGCTTTGATCGCTTCAAGCTGATTCGCTCGCCGGAGGGCTACGCAGGACTTAAGAACTTGTCCAATACTTGCTACTTGAACTCTCTTCTAACTCAACTTTTCATGAATGTTGATTTCCGTGACTTCATGATGCGACTTGAGCTCGAGGATCCAGACACGTCGCAAAACTTGCTTGACGAAACGAGGAAACTGTTCGCATATATGCAGGAGACATGGCAAAAAAGCGTCGACTCACAGGCGTTTGTTGATACCATCCGCACCTACGACAACGAAGCGATCGATGTCACCGTTCAGATGGATGTCGATGAATTCTACAACCTTTTGTTTGATCGATGGGAGGCTCAAATCCCGCGCCCAGAGGATAAGAAGAAATTTCGCTCATTTTACGGCGGACAACTCGTGCAGCAAATCAAATCCAAGGAATGTCCCCATATTTCAGAACGTCTGGAGCCGTTCTCGGCCATCCAATGCGAGATCAAGGGCAAAGAAAGTCTTGAGGAGAGCCTACAGGCCTATGTCGAAGGGGAAATCATGCAAGGAGATAACAAGTATTCATGCACGTCCTGCGGTCGTCATGTCGATGCAGTCAAAAGAGCTTGTCTGAAAGACGTACCCGACAATCTCATCTTTCATCTAAAGCGCTTTGATTTCGACATGTTTACAATGATGCGAAGCAAAATCAACGATGAGTTCAAATTTCCCGAGTGTATCGACATGAGTCCTTACAACGTCGAATATCTTGCCGACCAGAGCACACCTATACAAGAGGACATGTTCGAGTTGGTGGGAGTGCTAGTACACAGTGGCACTGCTGAGTCCGGGCATTACTATTCATTCATCCGTGAAAGGCCCACTGCCGATACCAGAGGTTCCTGGGTTGAATTTAATGATTCGGATGTCAGCCACTTTGACCACGGCAAGATCCCAGATCAATGCTTTGGCGGTGTCAACGACTCCCTTGGCTCCTCTTCAATGGGCCAAGTGCGGTTTAACAAGGCTTGGAACGCTTACATGCTGTTTTATCAACGCGTTTCAAGTATGGAGTCAGCAAGAAATGCCTACAAGCCTACAAGACCTCACCATCCAGTGCAAGTCCACGTGCCGACCCCTCTCGCAAATCACATCGTCATGGAGAACGAACTATTCGTACGGACGTACTGTCTGTTGGATCCCTGTCACTCTTTATTCGTTCGGTTTATGCTATCTCTGCTCCAGGACTCCAAAGATCCTGCTTGTGAAGAGAGGTTGAAGTTGGACAGGCATGTGATTACTATTGCTTTGGATACCTTTGAACAACTGCTCTCCCGGACTAGAGAGCTCTCTCATCTCGATACATTTGTAGCCGAGATTTTGAGGGTCATCGATGAGGTTCCTAGAGCCGCTTACAGGGTCATGCAGTGGCTCACTGACCACCCATCGGCAGTCCGAAATTTGCTCCTGAAAAGCCCCCATGTTGCTGTTCGTAACAGCTGGGTAAGGATTATCATCTGTGCGCTTGCAAAGCTCCAAGAGCTTCACCGGAAAGCCGACAATTCCAGCAAAGAGCAGGAGAGGTGGCTGAATCGATACTTGGATGCGTTCGAATCTTTGGTGAACACCCTGGATGACCTCTGGGCTATGCTTCATACGGTGTGCAGGTCGTGGGATGACTACTTCGAGCTCCTGCTACTACTTGTTGGCTTTGGAGGTGACGAGGCTGGGTTGGTTCTTAACAGCGGGTTCTTGCAGAAATGCCTGGAGCTTGTGTGGCTTGACCACGAGGATCTAAAGCGACTTCGACGTCAATATGTGGCATACTGGAAGCTGTTAGAGAAAGGCCGAAGGTTTTCGCATCGGAAGATGACAGATCTTCTGGCGGCGCTATTGGCACACGTTAACCTCGCCGCGCCGCCAAGTGCAGATGATAGACGGCGGATTTTGTCAGATGGCCGGTACTCTCTCACTGCCGTAGAGAGTGGGCTCATCTGGTCAACGGGCATGAAACAGGAGTTACTGGTGTTGCAGAAGATTCTTCAGCAGTACAGCAGCCCACAAGCTTGCAAAAGAATTGTTGGTTTGTTTGTCGATGCGGAACCCGATGCAGGTCTTCTGAATCCCATCTGCAAAACGCTGGAGGAAGGTCTGAGGCTCTCGCCTGCTGAAAATTGCATTCCTTACTTGGAGGCAACTTTGATTTTCTGTCGCCAGGGGCCCGACAAAGACCGCATTGCTGGACTAATTGAGTTTGTGGCGAAAGGAATCGAGACAATCGGCAATAGCGGAGGGCAAGAGCATCTGAACTTCTTCACAGGTGTCATGGCCAGCAAAAACGAGCGCATCGGGCTCAATGAGGCTTGGTTCTTGACGCAGCTCATAGATAAGATTCCCGATTGGGCTCCTACTTTGCTCATTTACCCCGAGAGAGCCGTGAGGACTATGACCTTAGAAGTTCTCCGCCAGATCCTGTTCAGTGGTCAAGAAGAGATTGACGAAAATTGGGAACCACGTCAGAGGGAAGTCGCTAAAGAGCTGGTGCACGTGAGCGTCGAGAGGCTGCGCAAACTCTGCTACAATCCTTCCAACACTGGTGTTGTTGACACCAAAGTTCTGGAATGCATTCGGACCGTTATCGATCACTGCCTTACCACCTACTTCGATGCCAGTGACGAAGACCAGGAAGTAGTCCTTCAGACACATGGTATGTCAAAACACAGGGCATGAAAAATATCTACATCACGCTAACACAGACTCTAGAATTCCTTGCAACGATGGAGGAGTTCATAGCGGACCTGCCTGAGGAGGTAGCTTCCGGTCAGTAGCCTTTTTCTTTTCCCTCCGTGTCATCATCTAACGCCGGTAACGCTCAGAATCTGATGCATTTTCTGCAGAAGAATGGGAAGACAACTCCGTCATGGCGAGCGACTCAGAGATGGGGCCGGTAGCCTCTCCCTGAGTCTACTGTTGCGAACTTCTTCCGCCAAAAAGAATTTGTGTACCACATATGAGAGACGAATTTACGATAAACCTTCTTTTGTGTGCTTGTGCCCCATGCATCTACGGCGTTCCCTCACCTGAGCTTGGCTCTTTTAGACCTGGGCGTTTTCTACCATTCTGGCTAATGTTGCTTCGGCGGTGGTTGGGCGGGTGTTTTGTTGTCAACGGTCTGCTGGATTTAGCCCTTTAACTAGCAGGAGTTCTCTCTCTCTCTCTTTCTCTCTCGCTCTCTTTGTCTGTTGTCTGAGTAATGCCTATGCTCAGTGTGGTTTTCTGTGATTTGTCCTCTACTACTTACCGGACCCGGGGACGGGGCGCAATTCAAGGTTATGACGGCGATCTCTTAGTGGACTTCGGGTTTAAGATGATACCAATATTGCAAGTTCATTTGGAGCGTATCTACCATAGTCGAAGGCAATTGAACCCGAAGCGGAGTTCCATTTTCAAGTTGGGAGCTTCGTAGAATACAGTGCAGTGTTGGGCTGCGTATCATCGTCATATCGATGTATCATACAGCAGTACACCCAAAAAGGTTTTTTTCTTTCACAGGCAGGAAACAGAGCAAGAGGCCATCCTAAGCGAAGCAGCGATAAAGCCAATAAGTGAAGAGATCGTGTCTACAGCTGGATACTCATCAATGCAAGATCTCTAGTTAGTTCGAGGATAATATCTCATCAGCTCATGAGTCAATCAGTCATCTCCCTCCTCCCCCCCCCTCTCTCCTGGACCTCTCCCCCCTCCAATCGAATTCTCTTTGTTTGTTCTTTCTGTTCCATAACCGGCGGGCGCCAGCACCCGCGGCGGAAAGAATTAAGCATAGACCTGGTAGTGAATCGAAGTCTACAAGCAACGAAGAAAAGACCAACACAACCTCAACCACGACCACCACCACCAGCGAAACCACTCAAGAAACGGCCAGAAAAATCGATCACACATCCTCAAACTCCTCGTCGTCCTCGTCCTCGTCGGATTCCTCTTTCTTGATCTCGGGCTCGGTCTTGATCTTCTTAGCTGCGGGGCCACCGACGCCGCCGCCGTCATCCGTGGCCGGCGAAGCCACTGTGGTTGTCTGAGTGGTACTGGCGAAGCTTGAGTCGGTGTCGAGCTCACGCTTGATTCCTTGTGATATCGTTGTCGTTGTATTGGAGTTCATGGGCGCGCTCGTGGGGCCCCCGGCGGGGAAACTGGCACCTGCGCCGCTACCGCTCAAGGCTGGCGAGGAGGCGGCGGCTGTATCGCTTGCGGATACGCCTCCGACGTCTTCGAATTCCTCGTCGAACTCATCGTCGTCGTCGTCATCGTCATCGTCATCGTCGGCACTGCTGGCATCTTGCTGGGCTTGGAGGGCCTTCTCGCGCTCCATCTCGGCGTAGTAGGCGGCGACCTTGTCGTCGAGGCCATCGAGGTCGGATTTGCGGTCGCCATCGGCGTCCTCGTCCTTGATGAAGGGTTTGACGTCTTCCTCGGACTTGATCAGCGGACCGCCCCGGGCCGACGGCAGGTTGCCGGCGGCGGTGGAGACGGTGGAGTGGGTGTGCCAGACGGGGAGGGCGTTCTGCTTCTCGACGGCGGCCTTGCGGGCGGCCTCTGCGGCCTGCTCGGCGGCGCTCTTCTCCTCGGAGGAAGTGAGGGAGATCTCGAGGGCGGCGGTGTCGGTCTTGGTGTTGCCGCGGACGGACTCCGGGTGGAGCTTGGAGGGGACGACGACGGCGGCGCGCGTGGGGTTGATCTGCTGGTTGCGCACGACGTCGACCTTGTGGTCCCAGGCGGTGTCGAAGTCGTTGGGCGGCACCTCCACCGAGTCGATCTGCTTCAGCAGCTTCAGCATCGGCTCCAGCTGGTTCATCAGCTTGCTGTTCTTCTCGTGGCCCGTCCGGTCGATCCCCTCGCTGCCCTTCACGTCCTCGCTGCGCTCCAGGATCGCCCCGCAATTCTGGCACTCAAACCCTTCCTCCGAGTACAGGCTCAGCACGTCCAGCTCCGTCCACTCCGCCCCGCACCGCACGCACACGTACTCCTTCCGCTCCTCCGACGGCGTGTACTGCGCCTTGATCGTCGCCGTCAGCTTCGACACCCTGTACTTGATCGCGTCCACCACCGGGTGCAGCGGGATGTAGTAGTATTCCCGGTTCACCGGCCTCGTCGATCCGTCGCGGATTTCCGCCCGTGTGCTCCTGCAATTCGTTGCGTTAGATTTCTGATATGCTTGCGAGAAGGGTGATGAAGGGTATGATAGTGGGGTTGCTGTATGCGCTTGTTTGGGGTCCATAATGGTAGGGTGCTATATAGATCGAAAAAAAAAAAACGTACACTGAAATCAGGCGGTCCTCGCGCAACTTGGCGCATAGCTTGCGGAGATCTTTCTGCTGCATGCCCAACAGGAAAGCGAGGTCTTCTGCGTGGAGACTGTTGGGGGGTAAAACTCCCAGTCAGCACTGACTCAAGTGAACGACAGGTTGTATTGTGTAGCGTACACCGAGTGGATAAAGAGCGCATCGACGACGAGGATGTGGCGGGTCTCGTAGAAGGCGCGGACCACGCTCCGGATAAGGGTGTTGGCGAGATCCATGGTGTAGTTGTCGGCGGGAAGGAGGAGAGGTTCGTGCAGGTGCTTCGCGAGGAGAGGTCGCGCGTGGATCGTCGGTGAGGATGTAGGGGTTGTTGGCGCAAAAGGCTGAGGTTGAGGATAATCCGAGCTTAAGCGGCGGCGGCGGCGGCGGGCGGTTAGAAAGGTCGTTTAGATCGCGATGGGCATGCGTTCTTTCTGCGGGGAAGCGACTGGAGAGTGGAGATGCGCAATAGATACTGCAGCAGTAGAGGCCGATACAGCCGGGAAAAATAGAAAAAAGAGGGTGTGTCAAAGATAAGCGAGGGGATGAACAACGGAGTCGAAGAAGTGAAGGAAGAATGAACTTGAGAATGAAAGCATGACTGACTGACTGAATGAATCAAACGGAGGTTGGAGGTCTGAGTGACACCTCAGGCATCCCACACACAGACTAAGCTCGAAGCAGTCTAGACCCCGTCCGGATAAGCCGCCGAAGTCGAAAGCCGCCCCAAAAAATCACCGGACCGCAAGAACCCGCCCCGCGAGCGAAAATGCTCCCTCCCACCATTCGACGTCACGCTTCAATTGCGTTTCCCAAGTCGTCAAGTAGTCTATCTTTCTACTACCCGCTTGCTTCGTCCCCTCGCTTGACGACGGCGGCTGTTGCTCCACGCCTCCGCCACCAATCCCCCACCCACCAGCAATCCGTCCGCTGCCTCACTCTCAAATACATCAGGAGCATCCGCCGGTTGCGAGAATGGACAATCACGACGGAAGATCTGCGCAAGGATCCGGCGACTCTGGCGGAAATCGTAAGAAGCGGAATCTGGGCCGCTCCGAATGGAGGTATGTCTGCTTTTTAGGACCTAAGATTTTGGGCGGGGAGATTTGATTGTCCAAACTGACTCTTGGACTACCGCAAGCAAGTCGCCAAACGATAGATAAACGCGCTCGCAACGAGGAGGAACAAGAGGCCAAGCGGCAGAAGGTTGAGAATGGCGAGGAGGTCCAGACGCCCGTCTACGCGACGCAGTTCTCGCAGGAGGATATCGAGAATGAGCAACGGCGACCGAAGAAGAAGGTCGCGGTGCTGATGGGATATTCTGGCACGGGGTACAAGGGCATGCAACTGTAAGGAATTTCTATCTGCCTGGTTCAATTTATATGTGGAGGAGCCGGTGCTGGGGCTGGGGCTGATGCAGTTTCGGGTTCTGACAGGAGCACCACGGAAAAGACCATCGAGGGCGAACTGTTCACGGCGCTGGTGGCGGCGGGCGCGATCTCCAAGGCCAACGCCACGGATCCCAAGAAGTCGTCGCTGGTGCGATGCGCGCGCACCGATAAGGGCGTGCACGCCGCCGGCAACATCGTCTCACTGAAACTGATCGTCGAGGATGCCGACATCATCCAGAAGATCAACGAGAAACTGAGCCCGCAGATCCGCGTCTGGGATATCCTCGTCACCAACAAGTCGTTCAGCAGCTACCAGCTGTGCGACTCGCGCATCTACGAATACCTCATCCCCACGCACTGCTTCCTGCCGCCGCACCCGGGCACCTACCTCGGCAAGAAACTGGTCGAGTTCGCCGAGCAAGAAGGCGACATGGAGGGCTACCGGGCGCGCCAGGAGGAAGTGGCCGGGTTCTGGGAGGAGACCGACGACAAGATCATCCGGCCGATTCTCGAGAACACGCCGGAGGAGATCCGCAAGCTGGTCGAGCAAGCGCTTCACATGAACGACGAGCAGGAGCAACAACATCACGAACAGGCGCCCGCCACCGAATCCTCCAACACCACCACCACACCTCCCCAAGAAGAACAGCCCACCTCCACAGACGGCTCCGAGGAAGCGCGCCGCCAACAAATCATCAGCACGGTGAAAACCATCAAAGCAGCCTACCAAAAAGCGAAGCGCGCCTACCGAATCTCGCCGGCGCGGCTCGCGCGCGTCCAAGACGCACTTTCGCAATACGTCGGCACGCACAACTTCTGGAACTACACGATCCAAAAGACGCACAAGGACCCGTCGTCGAAACGACACATCAAATCCTTCGCGATCTCCAACAACGGCGAGCCGCTGCTGATCAACGGCACGGAGTGGCTCAGCCTGAAGGTGCACGGGCAGAGCTTCATGATGCACCAGATCCGCAAGATGGTCGCCATGGCGGCGATGACGGTGCGCGCGGGCTGCGATCCCGCCGTGCGCATCCCCGAATCCTACGGCCCCGCCAAGATCGCCATCCCCAAGGCCCCCGGCCTGGGCCTGCTGCTCGAACGGCCCGTCTTCGACGTCTACAATAAGAAGGCCCTCGAAACCGGCAAGCAGCCTATCAACTTCGATAACTACAAGGCTACCATCGATGAGTTCAAGCAGCGCGAGATCTATGATCGTATCTTCCGTGAGGAGGAGGAGAGTAATGCGTAAGTAGCCCCCTCTTCCCAAAAGAACCTAAAGGGGACGCCCATCCATGAATTTCGAACTAACGAATAACATAAAAAAAAAAAAAAACAGTTTCGCCGCCTTCTTCGGTCACCTAGATCACTACTCCTCCGAGGAATTCCTCTACGTCACCTCCGGCGGTATCCCGGCCGCCAAGATCGCTCCTGTCCCCGGCGCCGCGACGACCGAGGAAGCTGGCGGCGCTGCCGCCGCGAAGAAGTCGCAGAAGGATGCCCTGGCGGAGATCGAGGATGAGTCAGAGGATGAGAGCGCCGCGACGAAGGCCAATATTGATCAGAGTGGTTGATTTTCTTTCAACGCATACCCCTTAGAAACTTCCGGTTGAGGCACTACTTACCTATGTGATTAGGGAGGTAAAAGAAAAGTTGATTGTGTATAGTAGAATACACACTCAGTAAACATGGGAAATGTCTTTTTCATCTATAACCTGGTTATTTGTAGTCGTTCTTTTGTGTAGTTTCCATGGTAGGTAAATGGTATATGTAGTGGGGTGCTAGTTTGGAGGGAATGAATAGTGTTGTGGTTGAGGTAGGGATTTTTATATGAAATACTTCATTTTGGCTTTAGTTCTCGATGATGGATGCTAGCCCAGTCACATGGTGCACACGGGGCTGAAGCCCGAAATCGAATCTCTTGTGAAATTGGGCTTAAAGATATATATAGCTCACATAGTACGATGGCGTCCCCTTCTACTTGAGTACCAAGCCATCCCTCCGTATACCACACCGCATTCTAAATTACTATGAACATCAAACTCCATCAAACAATATATTACCGCATTATGATACATGAAATATTCAAGATCCATTATGAACTTGTGAAGGAAAGACGCTATGTATCAAAAACGGCACCACAAAAACAACAACGCTGAATGCACAAGGAATTTTCACAGTCAAAACTATTGAACAAGAACAGAAATGCAACAGCAGAGCAGGCTTTAAACTCCGACACCAGGAAAAGAGAAAAATTCGACAAAACTGATTTCAATGTGCAAGAGATCGCGAGGTTGAAAAAAAACAAACAGGCTGAACGTACAACTGGAGCAACAAAACTGCCACTGCACCCACCAACCCGCACGTCTAGAACATCAATGACCGCGTCTTCTGTCGTCGAGCATCCGCACCACGAACGTCAGGCTGAGATTGGGTGTGCTTGTGTCGAGGCTTGGAAGCCGAGGTCGGCGCCGGCGCCGTCGGCATCGGGATAGACGAGGTGTTTTTGGCAGGTGGGGGAGGAGGGATTTGGCTGGGGCGTTCGGTAATAGGGGCAGGAGCAGGAGCAGCAGCAGGGGCGACAGCAGGGGCGGCGGCGGCGGCGGACTCCCGTTTGACTTTCATGCCCCGCTCCCGCTTGAGAACCAGCTCGGTCCAGAGCTTGACTTGGCTGCTTCCGGAGGAGCCTTTGCCGACAGCATCTGCCAGGACCTTCATCCATCCGTCCTTGTCGACCGCGCTGTCAGCGTAGAAGTCGATCACCTCGCCGTTGCCGAAGCGAATACGGAAGCCCTCCTCCACGAACATGTAGCCCTCCTCTTCTTCCGCGAAAGCAGATTTGCGACGGCCACCTCCCCGGGTGGTTGTCTCCCTTTGCGTCAATGACGACCGGTCATCGATCAATTTGACGGCCTTCGAAAGGTTGATGGTCGCACGTGGTTGACGGGTGGTCTCGTGGTAGGCTGTCAATTTGGATCCCTGGAGCTTGAAGAAGCGACGTCTCCAGTACTACATGTGCCACCAAATTAGCTAAAACAACAGAGAGCGGTGAATCAGAAGTGCTTACCGGACAATCGCCTCCCTGCTGGGACAAGAATCCTTCCCAACTACGAGCAGAGACGCTTTCCGCCTCGCGCATTTCCCTGATGCAAGCGTTCATGCTCTTGGGCATATCCTCCTCCTTGGCACCCTTGGGCTTAGGAACGAACAACAGCTGAAGTTCCAGCTTTCCGATCTTGTAAGGAGGTCGTCGTTGCGAGGTCGTACTCGTTGTGCTCTTCTTGCTCTTCACGCTACTCGGTTGCTCTTCGACCGCCCATTCATTGAAACAAGCAATATCGACAGTGTAAGGCCGACCATATGCGTGCTTCTCATGGTCAGAGAGAGAAACATATGCACGCGCAAAACTGCCATCTCTGGCGACCAAAGTCCTCAAACGTTCCCACACAGGAGCATTGATATCTTTGGCCTTGTTTTGCTGGGAGGCAAGTTGTTGCTTCATCTCGAGTTCCTTGCGCTTGCGAGGAGAAGCGAACACGCGGCTAAACGTGGAAGTCTTCGGGCGACTAGGAGAGGCAGTAGGAGCAGGCTCCTGAACTCGGAATTTCTCTTCATCCACCTTCATTTGCAAGGTCAGCTGGAACTCAAGGTCGTTCTGAACGATGAGCTCGAATTCCTGGCCGATCGGCGCTGTCTTGCCTAGCTCCAACCAAGAGGTGGTGACACAATGTAGCCCGTTATCCAAAGTCAGGGCGAAGTACGATCGCTCACCTAATCGATTGTCAGTGGTGAATAGACTGGGAAACAAACACCAAGGGCTCAGTGCTTACCTCGTGGTAGAGGCAGATCGAGGTACTTCATTCCAACGACCTTGACAAACAGGCGGCCGCGTTCCTCACCCTCCTCCAAAGCGCCGTTCAGAGCAGGCTCGGTCTCCTCGGTCGTAGCTGGTGTTTCCTGAACACTACTTTGCTGGCCTGGGAGCGGAGGGACCGGACCTGACGCAGTTTTCTTTCGGACCACCCCGCTGGCTGTTCTCATACTCGCCCGGCGAGTCTGACCGTTCCAAGGCACGGTGGTCCAAGTTTGCTGGCTGGCCTTGCGCGGTGTGGGTGCGGCACGTGTGGCTCGAGCTTCCGCTGGAGCTTCTCCTGGAGTCGGCACGGTGTCGTCCTCGGTACTACTGCTTGCAATAATGACCTTTGTGTTGTGGCGCATGAGATAGCCTCGCTGTTTATAGGTCTCATCGTTAGTCCACTTTCTCGTGCTTAAGAACCGGGGGCCTGGTCCATGCTTGGATGCTTCCTGGGCTTGGTAACGCAGTTGGGAGAGGGAATGTTCAAACGCCACCTTTTGGGATTCAATAACCCGATCGAATTCCTTGTTCAGTCCGAATCCAAGACTTTCTTCTTCCTGAATGCTGAACGGGATGTCCAGCTTCACCAGACTGCTCTGTCGTTGGTTGGAGTCCTGCACGGGTGGGGGGAGTGAGGGCACAGCGTCGCCGGGGGCTGAGCGCTGAGATTCATTCGATTCCTGCTTTGTGAGGGATGGCATCGGCGGCGGCACCTGTCCGCTTATCTTGCGACGAGTGGCTGCCATCTGCTCCATATCAGCTGGGGTCAGTGATGGACGGGTCTTGAGGCGAGTTCCTGGGGCTTTGACGGTTGCGATCGGATCTGGAACACTCTCGTCTGGAGAGCCCTCACGCTCGCTGTCCTCGTCGGCAACCGGGTGTCGAATAACAGAGTCGGGAGTAGAAGGCTCGGATAGTTGATTCTGGCTTTCTGGTGTCGCTGGGCGCTGAAGCGACTCCCGCATGGCGGCCATCTTCTCAGCGGACCTTTCACTATTTATAGATCCTACGAACGAATCGTCAACCGACTCATGAATGGACTCATCGGCAGGTTCGTCGACCGGCTCGTCGACCGGCTCGTCGACTGGGGCATCGTCCGAGACCTCTTCCATCTGTATAGTAGGCACTGGAGTGGCCTGTCTGTCCTCAGAAGCTTGCGAGGCAATTTCCAGAGCGGATAATTCTTCCACCGGCTGACTGGAGTAACGACTCTCATCATCAGCGCCCACCTTATCCTTCAAACTTTGCGAAGAAGATTGCTCCGAATTTATGGATTCATAGTATTCCGGGATATCATAGAGGTCGTCATCATGCTCTTCGGGCTTGATTATCACGCTGCTTGTCTCATCGTCGTCGTCGTCATCATCATAGTCGTGGCTATTATCATGGTCATGCTCCAGGGAGGGAATGGGGACGTCCGGGTCATAATCCAAGTAATGGTTCGCAGTAGAATCAGCTTGTGAAGCATCCTCGAATGAGTCATCAAGGAAACTCTCACTCTTGCGCAGATCCCGCAGAATCGAATCCCTAGAAATGCGCGGAGGAGCGTAGGCATCGGCGTCCTCTTCAGGGGCGGCATCTGCTTCCTTTTCGGGTGGAGAAGGGGCATCCTTGGCCACAGTTTGTTCCTTTGGTTCCTCAGGAAGGGCCTTGGGTGTTTCGGGGCCATCGAGTTCAATCTCCTCAGTGACCGGCTCTTGCTTTTCGATCATCATCAGACGCAGTCTCTCCTCCAGCGGCATATGACCCTGGTTCCGTTCCGTGATGTCGGACTTGCTGTAAGAGGCGGGCGCAGGCGGGGAAGGGAGAACGCGCTGGTTCCCGCTCCCAAGCTCGAAGGCGGCCGTCATTTTTCCTGGCGATCCACGCTGGGAGAACTGCGGCCGGTTAGTGGGGGGAAGAGGGGGAAGAGGACGGCGGTCGGTGTTGGAATCCAGTGACTCGACCCGCGCATGCTGCGCAGGCGGCTCTTGTCGAGAAGACGGGCGGGGGATAGGGCTGTGGTCCTCATCATCCTCGGAGAAAGCGCCTTCCTCCTCTCCTACCATTTCATCATTCGCAGTCTCGGGGCTCATGTAGCGCCAATCCTCGGGCAGGACAACGGGGGTTTTCTCGAGGTCTTCCAACGATGCGTCGAAGCTGTCGTCGCGATCGAGAGAAGATTCCCGGTCAAAGCCGACATCGTTTTCATTATCCTCCGAGTCGTAACTACCTTCGCGGGAACCGGAGGCGATCGAGGATGGATCGGGGGTTGTCATCTCATATTCGTTCACTTGAGGCGGCGCGGCATCGAAGGTGACGCTCTTAGCATGTCGACTCCCGTCGATGTCGGACCAAATCTCGTTCTCGGGGTCGAAACCAGCGTCCTTAACACCGAATCGGCTCGCCCGAGAAAGCGATGACTTGGCCGGCGCAACTTGGTCCTTGCTCGGGGAAGGGGGGCGTGGGCCGATCGAACTGTCCTGAGCGTCGGGCTGATGTGCTGGTGGTACATTCTGCACTTGCCTCTGGGATGGGCGACTGAGCGCCAACGGCCTCTGCGGTACATAGACTTGTGACGGGTCATACTCTGCATTGTGGTCGCGGAACATGTTGTTGTTCTTGACTCTCGAGGCGCGCTTCAGGTTCTCTAGCGACGGCCGTTTCGAGGGAGTATAGGTCGAGACCTCGGGGTCATATGGGCTTTGGTTCTCCGAGCTTCTATGGAAGGGAGAGCCGGATTCCCGACCCTGCCAAAAGAGACGCGGTGAAGCCGGAGCCTCATACGACGAAGCGTCGTGTGTTCTCATCGTCTGCCCGAGTTAGATCAGCTCCGCGCTCACCTCGCCCGCGACTTGGAGAAACTCACCTTGGTGGTTTGATTCCAGCTGGGGGAGTTCCTTCGCTGAGCCATGGGGCTCACTTCTGATAACGGACGTTGCCCGGTGTTGCTGGTCATCTTGGTGGGAACCCACAATCAGAGGCGCAACGATGGAATGCAGCAGAAAAAAGGCGCCGGGAGGGCAAAACAACGCTGGTAGCTGAATCAGCAGATTGTCCATGCAACATAACAGAGCAATGCAAGGTCGCTGCAACGAGGTTTCATCCCTTGCGGGATGGGAGAGAACGCGGTGGACGCTGAATGGATGAGGCTACGAGTGGGGGAGGGAAAATACCCACTGCACACACAGAAGAGCGAGAAACGCGGAGAAGCGCAACGTCCAGGAATGAAGGAGAATGGACGGCGTCGCGATTACTTCACTTAGGCGATTGCACAACGCGTGGGAAATCGTAGTGGTGGAAGAGGAATGAATAAGGTTGCGTCACAAAATGCAGCTCATCCAAAAAATCATGACAGCCAATTCGTCAGTATGCGCGCGCGCGCGTGTGTGTATGTGTGTCGCGATAAAACGAAGGGAGTTAAGTATACTGTCACAAGCAACAGGCCAATGCTGATACGATAAGAGAAAGAAAGGGGGGGGAAAAAACACAACCCAATTTCACCAACAAACCAAGTGATAAAAAGATGAGGATGGAAAGAGGTAGAAAAGAAGAGATGGAGGGGAAAAGAGGACAGAGAAACGAGGAAAAGAGAATACAAAACACAACAATAGAAATGGCGGAACGTGATTGCCCCGATTAATAAGGGTAAGAAGAGACAGGGCACCTGGCAGTCAAGATCTCGACCGAGGATCAATTACTTGTAGGATCATGGACCATGGATCATGGATCATGGATCATGGAGCATGGAGCATGGATCATGGATCGTATCTTGGAAGTTGGATGGGACGGAGTGGATGGGATGTGATCATCATCGGAAGTGAATTGTGTTGACAAGTGCTGGGGTGACGGCAGTTTCTATGGCAACATCAGCCAAAGGCCTTGATTTGCCTTGAATTGGCCGCCAGCAAATGGTACGGGGATGTTTCAGCTGCAGCCCACTTCCACCACTGGAGAGTGAGAATGCCTGATCGCCTGAAGGCCTGATGGCCTGGGGCCAACCTGTCACGGGCTCGATCGCGCTAGTCCCAGAATAGACTTAGCGTGGGATCACTGCTATGGTCCAAGCGCCTTCCCGATTGGGCCGGACTGCTGAATCTTCTCCGCCACTGGCGCATTTGCTTTGCTTTGCTTTGCCGTCTGTCGCTGTCCTGCAGCTTTCCTGACATTTCCATCAACGCCTTCACACCCCTCTCTCCAGCCTGTCTTCTTTCTTCTCTCCTTTCTTCTCCTTCTTCTCCTCCTCCTCCTCCTCCCTTTCCCTCTCCCTCCCTCCCTCCCTCCTCCTCCTCCCCGCCTCATCAAGATGAATCGTCTCGGCCGTTCATCTCTGCCACTGCGGCCTCGAGTATGTCTGCTCTGCCAGACCCGGGCTACCATTCCCTCCACCTCCTCCGCCGCTCTTTCGCCTTTGACCGGATGGCAGGCCATCCGCGGTATCGTACGAAAAACCGACCGTCGCGCAAAGAAGAGCCGCCATGCCCTATCCTCGAATGTATCGCAACCGTCGCTGTCCCCGCGCTCGTCGCGGGAAAGGGAAAGAAAGGGACCCTGGGGTGGCATGAACATGACCCGTGTGTCCGAGCGCGCTATGCCACGCACTAAAGACGACAAGAGAGATGTCGGAAGGAGAGACGGCAAGAAAGACAATGAGAAGACCGACAGCCCCCTGTACAAGGCGTTGAAGATGCAGACCGCCCTGGCGCCCATGTCCTATGCGCAGCGTACCAAGGTCAAAGAGAGGATTGCCGACATCACCAGTTTCGAACATTTCCCGCTCCTGTCGGTCGTGCACCACTCGATTTCTTCGCAGGCGCTACCCGGGCTGACCGACCTGATGCCCACTCCGATCCAGAGGGTGGCGATTCCTGAGCTCCTCAAGAACCCGCTGCCGCAGCTCGGAGCCGAGCCGAGCAGCAGTCCTAAATACGAGCAGTATCTCCTGGCCGCTGAAACCGGTTCCGGCAAGACCCTGGCATACCTGATCCCCCTGCTGGATAACTTCAAGCGTCTGGAGTCAGCGGAGCTCACCTTCGAGAAGAAGCAGGAGGAAGCGAAGCAACGAGAGAAGGAGAAGGAGCTGAAGAGGAAGAACCGGGCATTCGACATCGAGCCTGAGGAACCCCTGGTCTCGAACGCCGCCCGACCGCGCATGGTCATTCTCGTGCCGACCTCCGAGCTGGCCTTCCAGGTGGGCGATAAGCTGAAGGCGTTTGCGCACACGGTCAAGTTCCGGTCGGCGGTGCTGGCCTCGAACCTCACGCCGCGGCGGATTAAGAACGGACTATTCAACGAGAGTGGCGTCGATATCATCGTGACGACGCCGCATCTGCTGGCTTCGATCGCGCAGAAGGAGCCTTACGTGCTCAGCCGCGTTAACTACATGGTCCTCGACGAGGCCGACAGTCTGATGGATAAGTCGTTCTCACCAATCCTCAATGAAATCATCAGCAAGGCGACTCCGTCCCTCCACAAGCTCATCCTCTGCTCGGCCACCATCCCGCGCGGGATGGACAACACGCTCCGCAAGCGCTGGCCCGACATCAAGCGCCTGACGACCCCCAGCCTGCACGCCATTCCGCGCCGCGTGCAGCTGGGCGTCATCGACGTGCAGAAGCCGCCTTACAACGGCAACCGGTCGCTGGCGTGCGCCGACATCATCTGGTCGATCGGCAAGGCTGGCGACGCGCCGGACCCGGACCTGGGGCCCGGCCAGGCGCGGTCCAATGACAAGCGCATCCTGGTGTTCGTCAACCGCCGCGAGGAGGCCACCGAGGTGGCGGAGTTCCTGAAGTCCAAGGGCATCAACGCCAAGGCGTTCAACCGCGACGTCACGGACCGCAAGGAGCGCGAGATCCTGGCACCGTTCACCGACTCGGCGCCGCCGCTCACGGCCGCCGAGGTCCAGAAGGCCCGGGAGGAGGAGCAGCGCCGCCGTCGCGAGGACCAGTCCATCCCGTTCGTGCGGCCCGGCGGCGACCTCCACGCCGGCCCGCCGCCCGCCAAGCACCTCGAGAACGTCCAGGTGTTGGTGTCCACGGACATCGCCTCCCGCGGCGTCGACACCCTGGCCGTCAAGACCGTGATCCTGTACGACGTCCCGCGCACCACCATCGACTTCATCCACCGTCTGGGCCGTCTCGGCCGCATGGGCAAGCGCGGCCGCGCCGTCGTGCTGGTCGGCAAGAACGACCGCAAGGACGTCGTCAAGGAGGTCCGCGAGGCCATGTTCCGTGGCCAAGCCTTGATTTAGCATCCTTGTTTCTGTATAATTTCACTCCAATCACGACTACAACTCAATCAAAGCTATGGCGTTCTCAAAGGCGGCACGCAAAATCGGAAAGGAAGGGGGCACATTTCTTTTACATTACTACACTACTAGATCCGGATTGTTTGTCTCCTCCGATTTGAAGGAAAGAGAAATCATGTATCATAATCTGTATAGTTCATAGATTCTACTCATCACTTCCTCACACTAACCCACTTTACCGCATCTAAGCATCCATCCATAAGACATAAGCCTTACATAAATACCCCTACAAAAACAGAGACCTAAAAATCTAAACCGGAACTTTATGGCCCACTGACCTCCAAAACGCACACCGCTCCTCCAGGGCCGCGAGCTTTACATTCTCGAACCCCTCAGCCGTGATCACGAACTCCTCGGTGGTCCGAAGCAGCGGGACGCCCGGTTCCGACGTGTTCGTCAGCTTGTGCGCGTTCGGGTTGCCGGTCTGGAAGAAGCTGGCGAAGGCGCCGGCGTAGCCTTCGTAGATCAGGGGATCGGATTTTTGGACGCTGTTGACTTGGTTCCACTACATCTTCTCTGTTAATTATCTGCGGGGGGAGGGGAGGGCTGAGACACAGAACTTACCCACTGGGTATCACTGCCATGCTTTGCCGGCGAAATGGTGTATTCGCCCAGGTACCCGTCTCTGCGGGCGGCGGACGCGACCCAGTACGCGGGACATGCTAGGACCAGGTCCCTGTAGACCAGGCCGGCGCGGACAAAGGTGGAGTTGTAGGTGTCGATGGTCTCGGTGGAGCCGGCGTCGGGGTAGTATCTCGACTGGACGAGGTCGATCTCGTGGGCGGAGAGGCCGGGGACGAAGCCCGTGAGCCAGGTGTGGAAGCTTGCGAGCGATGAGTTGAAGCCGGTGGATGTGGTGGTCGGTGAGCCTAGGCCGGAGGGGATGAAGTTCTCGCCCTCGTGGGTGTTGTACATGCCCCAGATGAAGTCGGTGGGGAGGGAGCTGCCGCTGCGCGCGGTGGCTTCCGTGAGGGTGTCGGTTAGGAACTCGCCGTCGACGACGGGGGCCCAGGTGTAGGAGCTCGTGGTGTAGGTGTGGCTTGCGTCGATGATCAGGCTGGCGTCGCGGATGGTTTGGACGTCGAGGTGCTTGAGGCAGCGGAGGGAGTCGGTGACCGTGGCGTCGCTACCGCACCCCGTGAGGTTCACGAGCTGCGAGTAGATGGCTTCGGCTTGCGGGGCGTTGTAGGCGTAGGTCTTGGGCCAGAATGGGGAGCTGGCGAGCGCTTTGCTGAAGAGCTTGGGCTGTCGGCCGCGGCCGTTGGCGAGCACCTGCGCCACGACGGAGCCCGCACCGGCGGATTGGCCCCAGATTGTCACGTTGTTCGGGTTGCCGCCGAAGTGGTGGATGTTCTTTTGAACCCATTTGAGGGCATATTGCTGATCCAGGAGGCCGGGGTTGAGGTCCGAGGTGGGCGAGTCTTTGATGGCTTGGCCGGGGAGAAATCCGAAGGCATTGGTGCGGTAGTTGGGATAGATCACGATGTAGTCGTTGAGAGTGCTGACGTTGAGGGTTGGGTAAGCGCTCGGCGGCATGCCAAACGACGCGCTACCCTGGATGAAGGCTCCGCCGTAGAAGACAACCAGCACGGGTCGGTTCGCAGACGGGACTTCCCAAGGTCGAGAGTAGAGCCCAAGGTAGAGGCAATCCTCGGAGCCGTTGACGGTGCGCTGAGGGCACATATCAAAGGCCTGGTCACTGTCATAGGTGCCGTTCGAGAAGGTCAGTGGGGGCTGGGGAGCGCGAAACCGGTTGTCGCCGGTGGGAGGCGCTGCAAATGGGATTCTCCGGAAATAAGAGAGATTGTAAGTCGCGTCATAGCTGCCTTGGAAGACTCCATAGTCGAGGGTAACAAGAGGCGCCTCAAAGGCGCTTATTGCAGGCACAGTCAGAGCTAGGAGGCACAAGACCCCACGAGATATCGATCGCATGATCATATTGGCATATTCCTACCAACAGGTCGTACGGCGTGCATCGTGACACCCGGAGAGAGAGGAGGCTTATAAACACGTCCTGGCTGCGATGGGGAGTCATTTCTTCGGGGAGATAGAGACCGAGATTGTATTGAGCTGCAGATCCGGAGCAGCAGCAATCCAATAACTCTTTCGTCAGCTGCCCAGAAATACTGGGGAAGAAATGGCATTTCTTGCCTACCATTGGTGCGATTGAATTCTCCTTCAAGATGCAGTCATAGCGAAAATGCGGAGTTGCAGGAGTCTGCGGGGGAAGAAAGGAGAAAGGAGAAAACACACAAGCACCGCTTAGAGCCGCTCCGGGCCAAGATCCAAACACTTTGCAGGGGAAAGAAACATCCATTGCAAAACAGGCCTTGGTGTTGCAGTAGACCTCGTAAGCATTAAACTAGGAAATTCCAAGCAGAACGCCGTTCAAAACTGTACAGGGAGGTCCATCACGTCCAGAAACAGGGAAGAAAGATCCAGAAAGAAGAAAGACTGATTTCAAGAATATCAAATATGTCCATAGATAGAGTCCGTCGTCAAAAGGTGCCAAAGTTGTTAAAACGCTCATGCCCGTCATCATTTAACGCCTGGGGTTCCACTGGGAATGGCTCCAGTTGTTCTTAAACGCCGTACCCAAAAATCACCAGAACCAAATATTAGTCAAACATCGCCGTCGTTTAGTAGGTTATCCGCATTGCTCTAGTCCGTCGCCTGCTGGCTCTCGTGCTGCGACGCTCATCACACGCATCGCTCTCTTCGGTCTCCGTGCGCGGCTCAGACAATTCCGGAGTCGGAGTCACCCCAAAACTGACACCACGATCCTTGCGTGAGACGCGAGCCTCTTCTTCCGGGGACAAGAATCGATGGATGACCCGATGGTCCATGACCCGTTCCTCGTCGTCATTGGGACCCTCCCGGTCGGTCTTCGGCCACTGAAAGCCATACAACATCGAATGCCGTTCACATCGGCGACATTCGCGTCGCGTCAGGTATGAATCTTGCTGGACGAACCAGGCAGTACAGGTGCGGCAGTCGACCCATCGATCGTAAGCTTGTGCGAGCAATCTGGGGGTTTTGGTGTAGTCTCCGGGGACCCGAGCACGCTGTGACTCGACCTCGACAGATGGGACGACTCCTCGCTTCCGTGTCTTTTTCAATTTCTCGACAACGGTTCCGAGTTTTTCGTCTAGCTCGAGGGACTCGGATAGGTCTGATAGCGCATCATGTTCACGAGCCGCCGCGGGATGTCGTTCTCCGTCCAGGTGAGGGGCAACCGGGGTCGCCAGTTCGTCCTTGCCGATCAATACCGTGTCTCGGACTGAGGGCTCCGTGCTCTCCTCGATTTTGATCTGAACGGAGGTTTCACAAACGGACGTTGCGACGGTAGACGTCGAGGAGTGGTGGGATTCGTCGCCGGCTAGCGAACTAGGGGACGTGCAGTCGGTGGCGTTGGGGCTCTGAATGCAGGTCTCATCAGGAGCCTCACTTTGTGGTTCGAGTCTCCGACCCCTTGCAGTTATTCGCGAGGAGGACCCGGCGTTTGCCGACAACGGACCAGTCGCGGACTCTGGCGATGCAGGCGCGGGTGCGTCGGAAAGCAACACCTCCGACCGCAGCTTGGAACTCTGCCGAGTAAATTTCGTGCGTTTCCGAGGGGTGCAGGAGGGCGAGCGTTCCGATTCCGTGTCCGGGGCATATTTGCGTTTTTGAGGGGTGAGAAGGTCACTGTCGTCAACACCGGCAGGCTCGTCGTTTGGCTCGGGAGGCGCCCACCCATTCCGCACAGCGCGTTCACAAGTCAAGCAAAGGCACTCGCAGTTGTCGATGCCAAAGTAGTCTTCGCCATACGAGACTGTGATCTCCTCGCCAATGTATATGTCCCGGATTGCCACGACCTGCATGCCTTCCATTCCCCTCGTCACGAGACGGCCATTAGCGTTACAGTCATGGTTCGCGAAGCGCGCAGGGCCCAGGAAAAACGACGGAGTCTTCCTTCTGCTCGACATGACGATGCTGAAATCTTTCCTCTTCAGATCCAAGTCCTGCTCCTCTTCCCGAGTCATGGGCACCAGGGTTCCGCTGAGATACTTGATCTCCTCGCCTTGCTTGATGAATTTGCGGGCGCAGATGGCAGCCTCGTGCTCGGTGATCATGTAGCGATTTGTCGTGGTAACCTCGAAGGGAGAGTCCGGCAGATACATCTGAATGTATTTGCGTAGATGCCGGGTGAACCACTCCTTCTCTCGGTCGTTGGGCAACGTCGCCAGGAATCGCTTCAGTCCGTCCATGGCCAGGAGTTTCCGCTCGGCAGTGACTACATCCTTCTTGACGATCACGTCGTGGAGCAGGATATGGGCAATATCATCATCCTTGACCCGTCGCAGGGGAATGTATTTCGTCCGATTCTTTCGAGTGTTGGTCCAAAAGTGAGCCTGGAAGTGCACTCTAGTCAATAGCGAGTTCAGAAGTAGCCATCCCCGGTCAGTAAACGTACACGGTCAACCAGCGCATCGGTTGCGACATCGTCATAACTTGCCAGCCTTGCCAAGGTCAGACGGTCGCGCCGCTCGACGGAAGGACTCGATCTCGCCTTCGAAGACGGCATTGTGTTCTGGAAGGAAAAAGAATTTCATGTAAGAGAATTTTTTCTGGTGCTCAGGTCGAGGAATGGACCTCGAGGGGTGGGATCCAAAAGAGAGCGTCAATGCGTCAAGGGGAAGCGGCGGAAAGTCGGAGAAGACCAGTGGAACTGGACTCTGTACGGGGGAGCGCCAATTGGATACGAAGAACACTTATTAAGGGGAAGAAAACTAAAGAATGAGGTAAAGGAGACCCGAGAAAATCAACATGATGGACAAAGGAAAGGAACTGGGCTACAGTGAATGTTAGCGCGCATGTAGAGAGCGAGCGAGAGAGAGCACTTTTGGGGGGGGGGAGGGGGATTGAGTGTAAGTGTGATATGAAATGGGACGAACACACACACACACACACTACACACTACTCGGAGCCTGGTTGCCCATGCGATGAGCGGATGTCCATGTCCTGGCATAATTTGTTAACTAACTTAGTTACTTATCCTAGTGTAGGAGTAGTCAGCCGGCCGCTGCAGGAGTCCGGGGTCGGTCATCGGCGAAACCTGCCGGCCCGCGCGAACTTGGCTGTTGCTGGAAATCTTTCGGGCAGTCCAGCCAAACCCGCCAGACACCACCGGGCTCTTGTTCGCTGCCATCTCAGGCCATACAGTCACAATGATTCAACTAAAGGTGTGTGCGCGGAAATTCTGATCAGGCTCACGGGGGGTCTTGGGTTGCTGACGCCGCCAATCAGACGATGCTGAACTGCATCGACAACTCGGGTGCCGCCGTGGTCGAGTGTGTCCAGGTCTTGAAGAAGAAGCGCCCCGCTACTGTTGGTAGGTTTATACCACTTCCAGCTCATGACTACTACATCGCTGATCATGTCTTTCACTACGTCTTAGGTGACCGCATCGTGGTGGTCGTTCAGAAGCAACGCAGCTTCGGCTCCGACAGCACAGGAAATTCCGGTATCGCAAACAAGGTCCGTCGCGGCGACATCCGTCACGCCGTCGTCGTCCGGGCAAGGAAGGAGATGCAGCGCCCCGATGGTTCGCTTGTCAGATTCGACGACAACGCATGTGTCCTGATCAACAAGGCCGGCGAGCCCATTGGAACCAGAATGAACGGTCAGTCCAGAAGCACCTTCTTGCCTCTGATCCGACACGGCTCGGACTAATGCAAATTACAGGCGTCGTGGCTACGGAATTACGAGGAAGACAATGGTCGAAGATTTTGTCGTTGGCACCCATGCATGTATAAATTATACCTTTTGAAAGCGTATCGTTCTTTTCACTCATATAGCTTGTATCAATAAACTGTTTGCAGCTCTTTTCATCAAAATCTGTGCAACATTGTACTATGCATCGCCATAACTCCGCCAGCAAACAGCAAGAAAAAGAACCAATATCGGGTATCAGACACGTCAGAAATAGATCGAACGCCAAAATTACATGAAGACATTGCCGCATGCGCAGCAGACATAGTAGAGTTTCTGAGAAGAGCACGTCAGCGACAGATTCAAGATGCAAGTAGCGATCAGAGAGTCTCACCATTCCGGTTTCCGCAGATCGCTGTTGCGACTGGAAGAAGACTGCTTCGGCTTCACCGCAGCTCGGGCAGAGCTTGTTGGACCGGGGAAGCTAAAGGAGAGTGGGGGTTAGCCACGACGTTCCCAAGGTAATGTGAAAACAGCCCGTTGCCGGGATTGCAAGTCCGATCTTAGTGCATCATGAAGTCATCATAGTCGTCTTCCGACCATGACTCGTCCGATGATGACTCACAGACAAAGCAGGTAATCTCTTCACCACAGTGATCACAAAAACCCGGGAGACAAACCGTAGGATCAGATCCCACATCGGTGGTGACACCAGCAGTGTCGCCGACTTCAGTGTTGAGTTTGTTTTGGTAGACGCAGTACGAGGTGGCGGGCTCGCCGACGTGGCAGGTTCGACATGTGAACATCAAGCGGTTGGAAACGCGGTCTTCTTTGGGATAGAGCAAGTTGGAGCTAGATTTCATGTATTAGCGAGAAATATTGGAGACAGATAGAGGAATGCGCATACCACTCGCGACAGAAACGGAAGTGAACTTGGTCGCCGCTCTTGTTGTCGCCGCCAGCAGAGGAGGCCGGGCTTGCAGACATTTTCGGGGTGTGGATTGAAAGGTAAGAGGTAGTGTTTGGAGGAAAGATGAAAGGAGTAATGAGTGAAGAAGACGGAGTTGTAGTTTTAAACGGTAGTGCGAGTGAGGCTGACGCCACTGAAAGAACGGAGAAGTGGCTGAAAGACGGATGGATGCCGGCAGATGGATTGAAAGATAAGAGATGGCTGGAGATGGAAGTCAGAAGAAGAAGCGTCGGGGCGGAGCGGAAGCAACAACAGCCAGCCATGTGGAGGCCATTTGCGGTGTTTGTGCGATTTGCACCCTTTGTTCGCGTCCCTCGCTCTCTTCCCCCGCAGTTTGTCCCGCAGTTGGACCTGCAGAAGAAGAAAACCACTACTACTTCAATAAACTATACACACTATCGATCATCCCCCGCTTTGATTCCCTCCTCACACCAGAGACTACAGAGAACTATATACCCTCCCTTAGAATTCACAAGATTTATTACATCATGGTATTGACCCTGTCCCCTTCCCTTGCAGATCATCTATAAGCTCTGTGGTCATTGTTTTCCAAGCTTATTGCTAACATCTGTCTTACGATAGGAAGAAACCGGGCTGCCAGCTGGATGGGAGGTTCGCCACTCCAACTCCAAGAACCTGCCTTACTACTTCAACCCGAGCACCAAGGAGTCCCGGTGGGAGCCACCAGCCGACACGGACACGGAGAAACTGAAGCTGTATATGGCCAATCATCACAGTGGGCCTGCAGGACACGGCGTGGGTCAGGGTGAGGGGAAGATCCGCTGCAGCCACCTTCTAGTGAAGCATCGGGATAGCAGGCGGCCTAGCAGCTGGAGAGAGGCCGAAATCACTCGGTCGAAAGAGGAGGCGATCGAGATCCTCCGCGGCCACGAGGCGCGCATCCAGTCGGGAGAAGCTACCTTGGGCGACATCGCCTCGTCAGAGTCGGACTGCAGCAGTGCCCGCAAGCATGGAGACCTGTACGTAGCTTTTCGTCTGTTGTGCGGCTTCGGAGCTAATGTCTTTTCCAGTGGTTTCTTTGGACGGGGTGAGATGCAGAAGGAGTTCGAGGATGCAGCCTTTGCGCTGCAACCCGGGCAGGTCAGCGGCATTGTGCAGACCGCGTCTGGAGTTCACCTTATCGAACGGTATGTGTTTGGTGTCGAGTTGTAGAAGGTGTGCGCTAATTGATGTGCCTGTGCAGGGTTCAGTAAAGCCTAGGGTCCTAGCTACTACAAGAGTTGGAGGAAGTCATATACCGCGAATTATAACACCGGATGATCCTTCTCTTGCATTTATTTTGATGGTGCAATCTGTATTGCCACAGAGTCATTAAAGCGATGTTTGAATGAAAAACTATGGCCTTGGAGACTAGATGCTGAGATACGAGACCGGGGCAACGATCTCTGCTACACTGTCTTTCCCAGTAACACTCGTACCTGTGAATGAATCAACTGCATTTCCGTGGACCAAGAACTGTACAAGCTAATCTCGAATTTCATTCTCACCCTCCCTTAACCCTCCCTCTACATCTCCACCGTCACCCACATCTCTCTCCATCCATCCACCATCGCGATTTCCACCTCAACAACCGACACCAAACACCATCAAACACACCTCACCACCCAACCTCGCTCATTACCACCCAACAACTAAACCAAACCAAACTCAACCCAAAAAAACAACACAGCCAGAATGTCCTATCTCTCCACGCGAACCCTCAGCCCGCCACCAGGGCAAATCCAATGGGACCACCACGCAATCCAGCCACCATCCTGGATCTACACGTTCCTACCGCCGTCGAACCGCATCCTATTAGAAAGATGCCAGCAAGCCGCATACGAAAGCGTGCTAGCACAGCGCCAGCTCGAACTGAGATTCGCAGACCGATATAAAGCGCTCTGCCCATCCAGCGCAACCGATCCCAGCCCCGATTCTTCCAGCAACCCAAGCCCCAACCCCAGCACCCCAACACCAACACCAAAAACAACCCCAGCCAACCAAATAACCCACGCCCAATCCATCGACGGCCTCTTCAATTGGCGCGAAGACTACATCCCAGGCAGCCCGACGCTAGCCCCAAACGCGAAGATCCCGCGCGCGGCGGTGCGGTTCCAGGTCGACCGGGCGGCGTACGCGGCCTACACAGAAGTCTACAACTTGCACCTGGACGAGTACCTGACGGGACCCTATACGCGGTACCGGGCGGCGGTGGCGGAGGTGGAGTGCGGCGTGGCGCGCAGCACTGAGATGCGGGATATGGATCGTCGGATGTTTGGGCGGTGGTGGGGGGAGGTGTTCCTGCGGGAGATGATGCGGTGGGAGAGTCGGATTACGCGGCTGAGGGTGCCGACGTTTGAGGTGGTGGTGGAGGAGATTGCGGACGCTGTTAGGGTGGGCGTGGAGGGAGGGGAGGAGGGGGCCCTGGAGTTGGGGTTGCCTTTGTTGCCGGGGGCTTTGTCGCTGTCGTCTTTTGGGGGGTGAGAGGTTCTCAGAATAAAAATAGGGGAGGAGGGGTTGGTTTGCTTGTCTGCAGTTCTTTGGGAAGAAGGATGGGGGTAAGTGGGATGTGGTTGTGGTAGTTGCATGGAAGACAGACGGAGGTTAGGAGGTGTTGTCTACGGTTTACTTCAGAGGAGGAGGGATAGCCCAGCACTGGATTCATTCTCTCCATACAAGCAACGTCCGAAACACATACGAACAGAAATACCCCAAACCCGATTAACTGAACTCTCAAATAGTGAAGACTATATCTAACGAAGTGCCTACTTCCCCAAATTCACCCAATCTCCAAACAACCCCTCACGTGAACACACAACCCTAACCAACACAACTGAAAACCCCCAGCACGACATCCATCCAACCCAAGTTCCACAAAGACAACCACAAAGAAACCACCGGAGGGAACCTGTACCACATACAAAGAGATAGACCCACACAATCCCTTTGACAGTCTAACCCCGGCTTCAATGCCAGACGCCCGACCCGCGATAGAGATATAAATATCGTGTTTCGAAACTACCAACTGAACCATTATGTATCCTCATCACAATGCCGGTAGCTACCCAGCACCCTCATAACACCTCTACAATCTCTTCGTCAGTCACATCGATAACTATATACGGTATCGAGACACCGTTTCTCCTTCCCGGAAGGAAGGAGCAGCTTGAAGAGAAACTACGAAAATGTGCACATCCACCTACTGCACCTACGCATGCGGCTGCATAGCCAGCGAGAACTCCGTGCACTGCGCGGACGCAGGCACGGCGCAATGCCCGGGTATCCTGATGCAGCAGTACACTGCGTTCGAGGAGTCATGCAAGCGGTGTAAGTCGCTTGGGGAGGAGCCCGTGGAGGTGGTGACCGCGATAGTGAGCGGCGGCGGCGGCGGTGGTGCGTCTGGTTTCGAGCAGGTGGCGGTGGCCAACGAGTCCTACGCCTCCGGGATCCTGGAGAATCACCAGCTGATCATGTACGAGACCATCGACGAGTGGCTCCTTGCGCTCGCCGGGAAAGCTGCCGCCATAGGAGAGCGGTTGGAGTATACGCCGAAGCCGGTTGAGACTCGCCACCAGAACCTGCCACCTGCGCCGCCCCCTTCTGCTGACGGAGATAACGACGGCGATTGATGAGGGGTCGGTCGTGTGGGGACAGGACTCTCCACCGGTCACCCTGCTGGTTCGTTCGTTATGGGACGGCTTTGTATGTTATGGATTCCCTTGCAGTGAGGTTTCGCTGCAACTCTCGTGTCGGAGTCGATGCGTGGCGCGGCCGCGTCTAGTTTATGCGCGGGCCTAGTGCTGCGTGAGTTGTGGACTGCTACGGTTGTGCGGGCATGATATTCCCCCGTGACATTGTGACGAATGAAATGTCCCTTTCTTTACTTTCTTTTATAGGCAAAAACATGTCTTGATATCCTTGAACACAAGGGGTAGGTATAAAACAAGTAAACTCTCAAAGAATGTTCATCTAAGCATGAAATGTCGCAGATCAGATAGTGGTGTTGAGTCGGTCGAGTCGGGAGGTAATCGACTCGATAATTGCAGATCTAGAACTGCAGTCAGCATACCAGGTCTGTCTGTAGCAGACAAAAATAGTAAAAACTTACTCCCGTTCCACCATTCTCATCGCTTCCCCAACCTTCGTGCGTTGAAGTCGATAAGGAACCGTCGGCTGTGCTCCAGCTGAGCTGCTAGTGTCGACAGCAGGAAGTCTAGCAGCCACTGACTTCGCTTCGGCAAGCATATCTCGTGCAATCTCCTTCGCCTACAGAGATTTGTTAGTTCAAAGTCGACCCGACCGATACATGAAGCACTTACAGTTTCGAGACGCTGAGCAATGGCTGGGCCACCTGCCTGGCCTGGTAGCAAGTCCTGCGACGACTTGCCGAACGAATCACAAAGTCTGTCCACTTCCTGGAACCAGGCCTTCTCTTTGTCGCTCAAGGGTCGTCCGCCAGACTTCATCAACTTACTCCGAAGAGCCTCGTATCTCTGCACAAGTTCGGTCTGTCGGTCCTTCGCGGCCTGGAGCCTCTTATCCAGGGCCTCGCCGTTCCGGGAGCCTTCGATCCGCTTTCCATCTTCACCGAGTTCACTGGAAACACCCTTCACCCGGTCCGCAACATCGGCCAGCTGCTTTAACTGGTCGCGCATCTCCCCTTGCAGTCTTTCACATCGACGGAACAAATCAGAGGCAGCTCTCTCCAAAGCATTCGTATGCGCAGACAGAATCCGGTGGGCGGCGGCGACCAGATCAAGGGTCGCAGGCGATAGACGCACTTGTTCCTTGAGGGCTTGACGCTCGCGGTGCGGGACATGTTTGTCCACAAAAGAATCCAAGGGTGATTCCGAGTAGAAGATGGGTGGCACTTGATAGGGGGGCCGACGAGGCGGCAGAACAGGCGAACGAGGTCCTTGGCCTTGGGAGTCGAAGATCTGCAACTCGGCGATTGAAGGCAAGGCAACCTCAGGGGCATCCAGGATTGCGGCGTAAGGAACCGAGCCGCGAGATGTCAGAAGCAGATACCCCAGGTCGTAGTCATAGTAGACCAAAGAGGCCGGCAAGTGAGCAGACTGGTCCTTGCCTTCTCCAACATTATCATCGACCTCGATGAGCTGCTCTCGCAGAGATGCGGTGCCTTCGCAAAGAACTTGCAAGCGGAACGCACTCCCACTCGTGTCTTCGGACTGCAGTTCGGCTTCCAGTCTCTGCACCCAGGAACCAAGGGAGAAGAAAGTCACATTGGTCGCTGTAGTGACAAAGAAGCTGTAGCGAGAGTAGACATCCTTGGTAAACGTCGGCCAGTGGTTTGCCTGCGCCTTCACGGTATCCAATGACTCGACCAGGAGTAGATCACAAGGGTCGGATACTGGCGTGCGGAAAACATTCTGCTTGCCCTTGGGCAGCCACTGCCCTTCGACTCCGTCAAGGTCCAAGCAAATGTAAACTCTACCGCTTCCACTGGACAAGCAGATCACGGTAGCCGACAATCTGTCCTCCCCGTCGTCATCCACTGCGAGGTCAACCTCCTCGCCCATCATCAGAGCGTCGAGATCGGCCCTAGCAGCGACAACAAGGAGATCGCAAAGGTCGAGGTCGTCAATCTCATCCCCAGTATCCAGACGGAAAGGACCCTGCAGTCTTGGAATGGCGCTGGGAGCCGCGGGACGTGTCCGGACTTCGTGGTCGGCGTCAACATCGGTGAGCAGCGGCTCCTGGTTATCGATCTCAGTGAGCCAGTCGTATTGCTGGCGGCACGCCGCGAGCTCATCTTCAAACTCTGCAGGATCCTCTTGCAAGCTTGCGAGCTTCGGAAGAATCGCCGTGGTGAGCGCTGGCACAGTCGTCAACGGCGCCCTCCATTTGGTCGGGAGCAAAGGACACAAAGCGTAGAGATCGCCCGGCCGCATCGCAACCCACAGCGTCATGGGGGCCCAGGCATCTTCCTTGGCGAGGCCACTCCCTCCAAAAGCAGCGGAGGCGACTTCCATATCGATGTAGTCAGCCGAAAAGCCTTTATTCCTTCCGAAACCGGAGGGCGCGAAATCCTCATCGCAAGAAGTCCCATCGATCAATTTCCTCAAGTCGACCGCCAGTGTCGGTCGATCGAACGACCAGTGGTTGTTACGGTCAATCTCCCACACGCGAACGGCAGCATCTGCAGTGACTGTCACTAAGCAGCCGGCCAGGTTGCTGTGTACCCCCAACGGATGCCATAGTGCGGAAACAACGGGAGACTCGGGAATGACGTGCGTGGTAGGACCGAGCTGGTAGGTTTTGACGCGAATTGGCAAGGTGTCTCTGCCAGCCAAATGCGACGGGTCTGGAAGCACGGCGATAAAGACTGTATGATCGGCTACAATGGCCAGGAAAGCGCCGTTGGGAGACGGAACAAGTTGACGGATCGTTTCGTGGACCGGTGTGATCAAGACCTGCGCGCTGTTAATTGTTGGCCGCTGCACATTGTGACCACAATGTTGTTACCTTGTAATGCACACTTTGCTCGCTCTCTTGTTCAGCTTTCGAGGTTCCATTCTTGAGTCGTGTTTGACGCTGCCATTCGTCCTTGACCCTGGCGAGGTCAGACCAGCGAATCTGGTTGTTCACCACTGTAAACAACTCGTTCCCTCTCTTGGCCTGAATTCGCTTGGGGCCCGCATACTGCTGATCGTGGGCTACCAGGTTGTTTTCGGGGTGTTTGGTGCCTGCGCTCGAGAAAATCGAGGCGCCCGGCGAAGGGCGCGAAAGCCAGGGAGGAGTGTAACTGATGACTTTGGGCATGGTCTTAGAATGTTTCGGAGAAGGATGTCGGAAGGTTATAAGCCCATGCCGCGACGAGAAGTAGTCACGCGAAAAGGGAGAGAGCAGATAGAAACGGGAAAATAAGGTAGGGAATGGTTGCGGGGACAAAGCATCGGCCGAGCAGCAACCAAGTGAAGTGACCTTAACAGCTCCAAGCACTGCCGGGCAAAAATCCACGGCCGACGCGCGCCAAGAGTTTCCCATTCCATCCATCATCACTTGAGCTCGGCTCTCCGTTCCCCTTCCCCGTCTTCTCTTTTCCCCATCAACGTGCGATTACACTCGCTCACTGCGATATCTCTGTCGGCAGATTCAGGCACAATGAGCACTTTATTGCACAACACCGTGGAGAGACTGGACCGACCCAGTGCCTACTATGTGGGAAAGGTATAGCTTCACCCAAGTCTCAATAGTGATGGACAAGTCATTGACCCTTGTGCAACTGGTATAGAACAAGAGACGCAAGTACAGCCAAGATGATGCCGACAAACAGGAGGAACCCGTCGACAATTTGAAGAATGCCACGACTCTTTACGTCGGCAATCTGTACGTGCTCGAAGCTGGTCTACCTTCAACAAATCAGCCGTCGATTGGTGCTGACTGTCACACAGTTCCTTCTACACGACTGAAGAACAGATCCACGAGCTTTTTGCCAAGTCAGGAACCCGGACATCATGCGAGCCAATTAACCAGGAACTGACAAAGCTGCAGGTGCGGAGAGATCAAGCGTCTTGTCATGGGACTCGATCGATTCAACAAGACCCCTTGCGGATTCTGTTTCGTCGAATACTACACCCACCAGGATGCTTTGGACTGCTTGAAATATATCGGGGGCACCAAGCTCGATGAGAGAATTATCCGGACCGATTTGGACCCTGGATTCGAAGAGGGACGGCAATACGGGTATGATATCCGGGTCAACCATCGCCTTCTACATGACACTGACGTTTTGGCAGTCGCGGAAAGTCGGGTGGTCAAGTTCGCGATGAGTACCGCGAAGAGTACGATCCAGGCCGCGGTGGCTATGGTCGGGCATATGCGGACGACCAACGGCAGCGGGAGGAAGAAGACTACGGTAAAGGTAGGTAGGAGGCAACGAAGGTTCCATCCGGGTGGCGCAAATACGGCGTTTATGTACAATCTATTTCTATCGCTTGCTGTAAAGATGGGCATATCAACAGAATTTTTCAAACCGATACCCAATGCGGCGGCGCGAACGATGCTCAATGGCAGTCCATTCATGCAGAACATCTCATCAGTGCTTTGCGTTTCTCCTTCTGACCGACTCTTCGACCTGGCGCAACCACCACAGGTGGATTCTGGCATCAGCCGTCAACTCTGGGTGGAAACTTGTTCCAAAGACATTGCCTTGCTTGACAGCAATAATGTCACCCGACTCCTTATCGGGATTAGTCTGCGTCCCTTCGCAGGCTATCTTGGCAGCTTCTCCAGGCAAGGTGGCCAGCACCTGCACATGATCCTCCATTGCGGCCAGGGCGGCCTCGCTCTCCGCGTGTCGCGAAGGTGCAACGACAGTGTCATCTAGCTTGGCCTCACCCACTTGGATACCCTCCTGGTGTGGCAGAAGCTTCTCAACCACTGGAGCGCGGATGAATACGGCTGGAAAAGCGGGCTCGTCAGCCCCCAAGAAGGGCAGGTCCAGTGGCGCCTGGAAGCTTTCTGTCTGTCGGCCGAAATGGTTTCTGTTCACGCGCACGTCGAGGCCACCGATCAATTCCTGGCCCCCTTTCTTCGTTCGGTTCGCGGACTCGGCGAGCAGGATCAAGCCGGCGCAGGTTCCCCAGGTTGGTCTCCGATGGACTCTATTGCAATGAGGCAAATGTTAGTCACGGCAACAGAGTAAAAGAATATTCGGGGCCGGATAGGACGAGGATATTTATGGTGACATACTTGACGAAGTCCCGCAGCGGCTCCAGAAGATTGGATCTGGCGGCGACGAGGGACATTGTGGTGCTTTCGCCTCCAGGCAGAACGAGCGCCTCGCACCGGGCCAACTCCTGCGGGGTGCGGACTTCGATGAATTCCCATTGCGCCTTGGAAACATTGTCATCGGCCGCTGCCGTGGCGGCAGCCTGTTTCAGCAACTGGACATGCTCGTAGAATGCGCCTTGCAACGCAAGGACTCCGACGGTGATGTGGCTCATTGTTGAATCTGTAGAATGTTGAGCGCCACTGAGTCAATGATTGCCGCGGGAAACAACCATCCCGTCCCGCCGCCTTATGTAGTCGGAGTATGTATCGGACCGCTCTTATCTCCACGTGATACTCTCCGCAGGTTAAATATCCTACCCAATCAGACAAGCCCGCCGAGTATACAAATACTATATACAGTATGAGGTGTGCCTCAGCTTCAAGTTCAAGACAAGCTAGGAGTCACCGCCTACTCCAGACATCGACATCTCCCTTCAGCACACGGCCTCACATCCCGTTCAATGTCAATCTCCCGCAACGCCTCCCACGTATCCCCTCCCTCGCCATGCCCACTCCCAGCCCCGATACCCGCCCCCCTGGCCGCGGTAGCAATCAGATAGTCCTCCTCAAACGCCACGAGCTCAACCCTAACATCCTCTACCCTCTTCTTATCCAGCGTAGTCCGTACCCCGCGATACGGCAGCCCAACCCGCCGCTCGCCCCGCCTTGGCACAGGCTCCGGGGCAACCACGTTCCCGAACTCGAGCTGCCGCAGCCACGGCGCCAGCAGCGCCTCACCCGTCATCTTGATATACGCCTCCTTGAGAGCCCAGTAAGCGTAGAAAACCCGATAGCTATCCTCCACCCCTTTTCCAGCCTTTCTTTCCTTGTGATCTTGGTCCTGGTGATGGTGGAGGTGCACAACATCGTCCTTAATCTGCCGAATCTCCTCAGAGGAGAACACCTCCGTGAAGATATCAACGTATTCGACGAACGTCTGTCGCGGCGTCTTGGTTTTATCTCTGGTTGGATTCCGTTCGTTGGTGCAGGTGATGTCGATGCCGACTTGCGGCAGCTCTTCCTCGGCGGTTGAGATGGTGGTTCCGGCCAATGCGACGAGGGAGGCCTGGTGGCTTACGTTGAATTCAATTTTTGGGATGGTTTTTTTTGTGGAGCTGGGGTTGCTTGCTGGATTATCGGGGTTGTCAACCGTGGTGGTCGTCGTACTGCTGTACTCTTCCAGCAGCGTAGGACTGGGAATAAAGCATGGCCGTCGGTGCGGGGCCGCCGTCCGACTGAGCGTGATTCTGTCCCAGGGTACCTTGCAGCTGCGGTGGATAAAGAGGTATTTCAGGAGGTTGGAGGCCAGCGACATGTGCTTGTCTTTTAGGTGGTGGAATCGCTGGATTGTGTCTTGTTCGCTTGGTTGTAGTGTGCTCAGTAGTGGGAGCGCAGGGTTCATGCTGTTTGTTAGGTCGCGCGTGTCGATGTACCATCTTGTTAGGTGGGTTGGGATCGGGTGGTTCGCGGGGGCGTGGGAGCCCATTTTGTGGGTTGTATTTGTGCGTGCGAGGTGGGTTGGGTTGGAATTGGGGTTCAGATTGAGGTTGTCGGGGTTGGCCTGTGTGAGGTGGTGGTGGTGGTGGTGGTGGTGTAGATTGAGGGTTGGTTGGAGATCCCTCCCCCCGCTTGAGATCCCTCAGATCATCGGTGACGGGCGCACTATCTCCGCAATCGGAATGGCGTCTTGGAAATGTAGCATAAGGACATGGAGTACTAGGTCAACGGATTCCTACGCCTATAACTACCTTGTTAGTTTCAGATATATGAGCGACATGTTTGCTATCGCAGTGATTGTGGAGAATGGTGGTTAAGTCGTTTATGGAGATAATAGGTTAACGTAGTTGAAGGTGAAAAAGGAGAGGAGAAGAGAGGAAGCAAGTCACCATTTACGGTATGATATTCCGGACCATGAGACTATTCTACTGTAATAAAGCAACTGTAGACTGGTGTCTATGTATTCATACTACTATTCATACCATCTTACCAGGAAAGTAGTCACTGTATTGAACTTGAAGTGGAGGCACACCTCATACTTTACTAGGCCCTGTTTAACCTCGGTTGACTCCATTAAATTAAAGGACCGAGTGCAATAGAGGCATGCAACGCGCGAATTATAGGAGTACTTTCTTTACTATCTTTCCAAGCCCTTACCAAGCACCTCCCACCAAGTAAGCAAGCAAGCAAGCAGCAAAGCCTCTTGTCAAGCATCTTCTGGCCGACGTGGTAAGTAGTAGCATAAAGCAAGTCACATGACTGGACATTGCCAAGTCTTCCTGTAGCCAATCAAAGCACTAACAGTCAGCCAATCAGAACACAGTTCAGGAGTCCTCCGAGGGACAAGACCTAGCATAGGGCTCCGCGCTTACGCGCGTCGCAATAACTGGATAATAGTCTAGAGTAATTATTCTAAATCTAATATATAAAATTGATTAGGGAAATAGGATAAAGAATATTACTAAATATTAATAATTCATAAGAACTAGATTTAGGAAAAAGACAGCTACATTATTATTAATGACTACTTATATTAGCTATAAGAAATACTGCTTAATATGGCAAAATAGAAAGGTGCTGACCGGCACAATCAGCATCAGCACTAGTCTAGCAAGCGTTTATTTCTCTCGGCAGTCCTGGCAAGATGCGATACAAGGTCAGAGGAAATTACACTACGACTGGAAAGACCTGGAAAGCTAACACCAAGTAGCAATAGTGATTCTATATACACTCTAGAAGGAAAGGGTCTCAGTCTATGAATACAAAGCTTCATGAACACCACTCTAATCTAGGGATCTTCCACCCACTGGGTGAGTAGCATTCTCCTCTCATTGCCTGTACCGGCCAATCCACCTATTCGCGTTGCCGCCCAACATTGGTTTGTGCAAAAGCTACCCATAAAAGCAATAGCAATGAAGACAGTACTCCGGCGAGATGAGGTGGGTGGGCGGCGAGGAAGAAAGAGGCATATTAGCGACGCGCGACATGGCGACAAGTACATAGGAAGGCAGGCTAGAAGGAACCGGTCTAGTCTGCGAGTCACCCAATCTACTCCGTAGAGCTCTCTGATTGTGCGCGGTGAGTGGCTGCATGATGTGATCGGTTTGGGACGTGTAATCGTAAAAGAATGGTAATATCGAAACCCCGAGCATAGAAGAACATCGGGAGGGTTTACAAAGCTCGAATGCGAGTGCGCTTCTCGGTCGTGAATGAGTCAATCATGATAATAACTGCTTCGTCATGCAGAGAGATCTAGGACCTAGATCTCAACGGCAGTGGAGGTGCCATTGGCGACAGCAGAGTGAGCCTCCGCTTTGTCCTTCTCCGACAGTTCGAGAAGAGTCTTGAGCATCGTTGCTTGCGTAGACTTGGTAAGACTGTCCACATCGGCGGGGGTCAGACCCTCGGTGCTGATTGGGGGAAGAACTAGACGGGTGTTAGGCATTGATTGGGTTTACGAAGAAGTAATATGGAGAGCTCAGGAGACGCACCCTTGATCTTGATAGTCCCCGCATTGAATCTCATATTGCGAGGGGACAAGATGTGGGAGTAGTTCTCGGTGACAACGGGAACGATTGGCACACCGGCCTTGACAGCCAAGTGGAAAGCCCCCTTCTTGAAGGACAGCAACTCAGGCTGGTCAGAGTAGCTTCTCGTACCCTCGGGGAAGATGAAGACGCTCTGACGATGCTGACGCATCTCTGCAGCGGCGCTGTCGAACGCCTTGACGGCCGTTGCGCGGTTGGCACGGTCAATGAAGACCGTCCGGGACAGAGCCATGAACCAGCCGAGGAAGGGGATATAGCGGAGCGACTTCTTGGCCGTAACACTGCAGTATGGGGGGAAGATGGCGCCGAGCATGAGCACGTCCAGCTCGGACTGGTGGTTGGAGATGAAGACAGCCGGGCGGGTGGATAGGTGCTCGACCCCCTCAATGATATCGAACTGCACCCCCGTCGTATACCGCATCACCCATTTGAAACTGCGCGCCGTGGCCCATTGCGAGATCCGGCCGTAGCCGACCAGGCGCAAGACGATCGAAGCCACTACACCGTAGGTGGCGCACAGGAGAAGCGAGCCATAGGCTGCGAGACAGCGAGCAACGAAAGCGGCGCGAGGAACTTTCTGACCCAGGGCGAACAGCGAGAGCGTGACAACGACAAACGAGCTGATGCCCGAGGCAACGTAGGAGAAGAATGACATGACAAGACACAGCACGGAGAACGGCTGATCGGGGTTAAGACTATGGTTCTGCATTGGGACGGTTGGTTAGATGAGGATTCTAGGACGTTGAACAATTGAGATGGTAAGGAGAGAAGAGCAGGGAGAGAAAGGAGCGCTCAGAGAAGAGTCATCTCTATTTTGGGGGAACCAACCGGACAAACCGCTGGGGGGAAGGAACTGCTGGGGAAGGTTGGATGATGAGGTCAGGCGAGAGTTTCGGAGAATAAGAGCATGACCCGGGAGGGCAGCAGCACCAGGAACAAGGGAGAAAAGGGAGAATTAATCAATAGCCAAGTCAGAAGACAATGCGAACAAGATTATGAGAGGCAGAGGCAAGTCAATCCAGGAACAAAGGCCGAATGTGGGGAATTGACAAGGAGAGGCGAGCGACTCAACAATTCATCCCGAGTGGTGGTTTTTTGACTTTGGCAGATGCGCCTCTCACCGCCTTGGGCCCTCATTTTCTCCCCGCCTGGAGAAGCCGAGGCTTGAAGACGACTACGATTACTACTACGTCCCTTTTTTTGCCAGATAGCTCACACATGTCAAAACACATCCTCTATCACAATCTCTCACTCAAGGCTGCACAACTAACAATAGGCATAAGAATAATTCTGCATTATGTTCACGGACCCCATCGTCTGGCGTCCTTATCTCTCGTTTCGCGTGTCAACCACACCTCCCCCAACGCTAAGATACAATATCCAGGAGCCTCGACACCCATCGAGATCCCAATGCAGGAAGATGCCCTCTAACCAACCCACCGGCAAACGCCAATATAATGCTGATGCTTGCGCGAATTCGATCCAGGAAAACACAAACGCCGACCCTCGCCAATGATAATCCCACGCCACAAATTGGGTTTGGAGAAAAACAACTGCAGGCTGAAGGACAAGGCTAACTAAGGTACAATGATGGAAATGAGGGAAAGGGGGTGGGGATCGATAAGTCAGGAACAGCAAGGACAATAGTACAATCACGCGATATCTTCGTCGTCTTCATCGTCGTCATCCAAGGATTCCATAGCGTCCTTGATGAATTGTGCCGCCTACAGTAGACTCAAGTTAGCAGTGGTTCTGAACGGACACAGACAACAGACAGCATACCTTGGGGTCCAAATTCAAGGCGGTCGTGAAATGCTTGATCGCATTGGCTTTCTCATGTAACATCTTGTAGAGTTTGCCCAGCAGGTAGTGGACATTGGCCTCGTCTGGAGCCATGTCCTTAAGGACCTTCAACTCAGCGAGCGCCAACTTGAGCTCCTGAAGCTTCATCAATACACGAGCCTTGCGGAACCGAGCAAGGACCGAATGAGGAGCTAGAGAACAAGCACGCCCATACTGAATCAAAGCCGCTTTCGGGTTGTTCATCTTCTCCAGAACCAGACCAATGCAGCAGATGAGCACAGCGTTGGTCGGGTTAATGGTGGCCGCGTTGCGGAAGTGCTGCTCGGCGAAATCAAGCTTGCCCATCTTGTCATAGACCGTACCCAATCCGTACCAGGCATTGTAGTGTCGCGAGTCAGCACTAATTCCATGTCGATATGCGTCCAGGGCTTTGTCATATTCCTCATTGGCCACATATTCGTGACCTTGTAACGTGAAGCCGTAGGCGAAATGAGGATCCAATTGTGTGGCACGCTTAAAGCATTTCAAAGCCTGATCGTGATCACGTTGGTGGGAGAAAGAGTTACCCACAACACACCAGGTCTGGGGTGAGAGGCGGTCAATCTCCATCAGTTCATGAGCCAGATATGCCAATTCCACGTCGTTCTTCAAGTGCCACAGAACAGTTGAATAAATTTCCATATCCTCTAATCTTGACGGCGCCATGGACTTGACCCGCACGAAGTACTTTTCCGCTTCCGAATACATAGCTTGCTCGTAGTATGCCCTTCCAATCTGCGAGAGAACCCAAGGGGTCTCCCGCTGACCTTGGGATAGGGCGGTGAAAATTTGGATGGCTTCAGGACACTTGTACCGACACAGGGCGAAATAGCCAGAAGCCAGCTTCGAAAAGAGCTCCAGCAGCCAATTCAAGGCCTCCATCGCCTTTGACCTCTCTAATAACGTCCCCTTCGTGGGAGGATGATGCGAACCATTCGGCGCCAAGGTCCCCGACCGAGGCTCCCTAGGTTCACCATCATGGATTTCGTTTAGTTGTTTCCGAGAGCCGCTCACCACACGGTTTAGGCTCGTGCCTGTTGCACTGCGGCTCTTTGTGCTGGTGGACTTAACCTTCTTGAGTTCCCTAGCATCCTTTCCGCCGAGAGTCGTATTTGACAATTTGCTGGTGGTCGGTTTGATTTGGTTAAAGAGTCGGACACTTCGCCGTTGCGGTGCCCCGGGTTCAGAAGGAGGGTGAGCCACTTGGCCTGAGACCGTTCGTTTGCGATCTCCCACACGAGAACCATTCAAGGCGTCCTTCTCCGGGTGCGACATGCTTTGCTCTTCTGATTCAACACGAGTCCTCGTTCGTGGCCTGATGCCTGTCGGTTTCATCTTTGGCGGGGAATCCATCGTATGGTCAACGCCGATTGCTTGAATCGTCCTGTTCTTCCTGGCGGGAGCCAAGGGCGGCTCCCACGCGCCCTCCCCGCTGCCTGTCCTGTTGAGGGCACGAACCTCATCGGACTCGCTACTTTGACCTCCGGGTGTCTCAGTGCCTTCCCTAACCACTGGGGCCGCGCCTGTGCCTGCTGAAGCCACGCTGACCGTACTTCCATTCAGTTTTTCCCATAGAGCCGAACTCCCATGTGTGGTTGCCGTGTCGCCTCGCGATGTCAATGTCGTGAAGGGATCCATGCTCGCATTTGCTTTGAATTGCGGCTGCAAAGGGCCACCGGCATGTATCGTCTTCTCAGAAGGAATGTCGAGGTCCTCTTGCGAGGAAGATGAGACAAGGGCATGAAACTCAGGGTTCATCTTGAAGATGTTGGGCACTCGAATATTGACACCTTGAAATTCATCAGCAACAATCCGCAATCGACCAAGACCACCACCACTTACCAGTCTCGCAGAGACCCAGAAACGCGTCCCACATGAAAGGGTTCAACTTAAGGGACTCAACATAACATTCTACTGCCTTGTTGTCCTGGTTGTGAGCATGCCACAGCTTACCCAGTAAGCATAAGACTGCTGCCGCATCGGGAAGATGTTGTCTGCGCGTTTCGCTATGCTTGTCTAGAGGTGTCGAGAAAACAGAGGTCAGCCCCAGCTGCATCGCAGAGAGTAACCGTCGCGACAGGTGGTATCACGCAGCAAAGCGAGTTCAAGCAGACTCACTCCAGTGATTTTTGGAGGCCCAAAGGCTTTTACTCCGTTCCAGCGCCGTGATACCATCGATATATTTCCCCAGGTCGAGACACGCTTGCGCAAACACATACGCGCAACCAAGATGAGTGCCCCGGGATCCAAAGTTCTTACTATAGTCGTATGCTGCTTTGACCTGACCGTTCTGGAGATGACAAAGGGCGAGGAGGTACGATGCTTCCGATGCGCGAGGCTCGTAGGCGTGCAACCGACCGGCGAGGAATAGCGCGTTGCGGATTAGGTTGTTATCGAGGTGATAATATATTAATTGCCGCAGTTGGCTCGATATGTGAGCTGTGGACGGCGACATGATTCCGTTGGGATTTCATTCAATGAGAAAGGGGGCCCTGGTGTCGAGGTATTGGGTGGATCTGAGGATAGGAGGTCGTATTTGTGTAAAGGGATGTCAAAAAATTCCGCTCAATACCGATAAGTCATTAGGTGAGGAGATAAGTAAGTGGATTTTCGTAACACTAGAGTTGTTGCAGGGAGTCGCGAGAACGAAGGCGAGGTAACAGCGGCGCGGTATCAACTTTCACTGCATAGATGAAATGCTTGTCAACAGCCACCAACTTCCCGGAGTGAACGGCGCAAAGCGTGTCGCAGGGCCAGTCCCTGCCTATATTCTCGACAGGTTCTCCTCCTTCCACTTCCGTAGGTACTATGAGTAGTCGAAAAGGGCGAATGCGAGGTCCAAGTGAAGCGAAGTGGATGACGTCTCGCGAGAGAGCAAACTCGTGACGCCGTTCGGGGAGGGGGCGGCGGCTCAGAGGGATGCTAAGAGAAGATCAAATTGCATATCGCGACCGGGGTGAGGGAGAGATAGTGACAGAAGAAGGTGGAGCATGAACAAGTGCCTGGAACTAGCCCCAGCTGGCTGGAGTGGGAGAGGGATGCGGTGAGGTTCGATGCTAGTAGTAGAATTAGGGACAGGGACCGTGTCGTCACGACGCACACTTTCTCTCTTTTCGGCCATGCGATGTTTTGGGGGGTGGAGGAAGCAGTTCAAAGCGTGGCTGGTGGAGAGAGGCGCGGGCGCTTGTCCGGTTGTGGTGGGCAACCACACGCTATTCCCGAATCCGTGTGTCTCTCTACGTTACCTACATATCGACCTTACTGCCACTGACCGGAAACCCCTCGGAGGAGATCATGCCGCATTGCTGATCTTGAAACTGCCGTTCAGTAGTCGCAGAATCGTCAAAGGATAGGATCAAAGAAAGAGCCTCTCTTGCACCGTCTGCGACGCCCACCTGCCCTTCACTCCCCACGCGACCTCCATCATCCGCCATACACACACACATTCACGTCAAGAACAGACCACCTACACCTACACCTACCACCACCACCACCATGGCCCAGGTACACCCCATCTCCACCCCCGTGTCTCTTCCAACCAAAAACTAACCCCCGAACCAGAAAGCAGCCAAAACCCTAGCGGCGCGCAACGCAGCCGTGCTGCAGCGCACGCACCTCATCAGCCTAGGCCTGCACGCGCTCTTCCTAACCCTTCACTGGACCTTCAACCGGCCCCGCGCCTTGAAACCCTACATCTTCCTTGCGATCCCAACCCTCCTCATCGAATTCTACCTCGACCGCCTGGGCCGCCCGCGCCACAACCCCGTCGACGGTTCCCTGCGGTCGCCGGGCGAGGACCTCGGCGCAGCAGGTCTCACCGAGTACATGTGGGACGTGCTGTACTGGACGTGGGGGTGCATCGGGGCCGTGTGCATCATCGGCGACCGCGCCTGGTGGCTGTGGGTGGTGATCCCGCTCTACTCGGTCTGGCTGGCCTACACCACGTTCACGGGCATGAAGAGTGGATTGGCGGGCATGGGTGCTGGTGCTGGTGCCGGCGGCGCGGATGGGTCCGCTGCTGGTGCTGCTCCGGAGAGCAAGAGGCAAAAGAAGTTGGAGAAGCGCGGTGGACAGAGGGTGCAGTATCGGTGAGGGAAGGAAGACTTGATTGCTCGTTTGTGCTTGTGGTTTTTTTCAACCTCTGGAGAGGCCATGTGAATCTTGGTTTGGAAGCTCCACAATTGCGTGTGGGAAACCCCCGGGAACACCATGGGACTCTTGCATAGACTTCCCCCCCCTCTTCTTGTATAGAAAAGTTGTTGATGTGATTTGATTGTCGAGCACAGAAATCTATATTACATTTCAATAAGCAAGGACCCTTACGATATCGTCCATCCGCTACGAGGAGATCTCGGAGGCGAATCAAGAGAAAGCATATCAGAAACGGTAGTCTTACATCATAACGATAGATAAAGTGGTCGTAACAAACAATCGTAGGAACTATGTGGGGAATATTCAAGCTCACGATCCGACAAGATGTGAAAGTCAGGAATACAGAAACAATGGATATCAATCGCAAAAAGTAGAAAGAAACAGAAAACCAAGTACTGTCAAGCGACAGCGTAGCGGTCGTGCGGGTCATGCTTTTTTATAATTCCTCCTCAATATCATCTTCCATACTCTCAGTCTGCTCATCCAAGTCATCCACACCGGTCTCGACTGCAGCGGGCTCAAAGTCACTTGCACGGGAAGTCAGACTGGCGTACTGGGACTCCGCGCTCTCCAGAGCTTCCTCTACATCTTCGAGGCCCTCGGAGGTTCTTTGCTCCTCAGGCACTAGGTCCGGGACGTCAGATACAGCTGGTGCAGCACTCGATTCGGACACAATTTCCTCGGACTCGGCTGGTGCGGAAGGCGTAGTCTCTGCAGCTGTGGTAGCTGTTGCCATGATCATAGTATCATCGGCGACACTGGTTGATGCTGTTGGTGCCGCTGAGGATGGTGCCAAGGATGATGTTGAAGGTGATGCCGAGGATGGTCGCGGTGTCTTGTAGATAGCTCGGAGTTGGTTCATGATGTCCTGAACGAATTCGGCGTCCTTGTCCACAAGCAGTCCCGAGATCAGCCTTTCAATGGCCTCCTGCTCGTCAGAGCCAAGGCGACCGTCCTTCGCTTTTTGGGCAGAGAGGACTGCTGCAGCCACGCCCCATGCCGCCTGGTCAGAAGCATCGGCACTGCCAGTATCGCCGCTAGCAGCGACTGGGTCGCCCTGGTTATCGGCGGCAAACTCCACAAAAGCATCGGTGTTGCCATTTGCTTGAAACGCGGATTTTTGAATGTCTTCATCTTCAGCACTAATCAAGGGACTAGTGTCATTTTCAAGGCACTCGGCACCAGTCTGAGGCTCATCGATCTCGTCAGCGGTGTCTTCCTCAGGAATAGCGGGCTGTGGAAGCGATGGCGGGTCTTCAGATCTTGTGTCGAAGTTATCGCTCGCCTCTCGTGCTGAAATCTTCCATTTGCCAACTTCCCTCAATCTGGCAAGCTCCTTTGCAGCATTCTCGGCAATATCCATTCCTCGTGACAAGGTATCCTCTGCCACCGAGATGGCTTCTTCGAGTTTCGCATGTTGGGTGCCAAATGCGACAAACTGTTCTTTCCAATCTTCCATTTCAGCTTTGAGTGCATGGTATCTCGCCCAGTCTTTGTAGGTCACACCATCCATCGAAGCCCAGCGGATGCCCACCTCTTGAAATCCGAGGTCACGAACGTTGTCAAGGACCTCGAGTGTAGAATTGACTGCGGCGTGCACGCGCCGCATCAGCTCGGCCTCGAACGAGTTGCGCCACTCCCTGAGAACATGTGCACGGCCTCTGATAGAGATTGCAGCCTCCTTGACATTTCTCAGCAGCTCCTCTTGCGCGGCCTTTTCAGCTTTGGGGAGGTCCTCATAAGGCAGAGATTCGGCCAGGGTATTGATATGGTGCTTGAGTGCAATAATCTCGTTATCCACGACCGCTCCCAGCCCGGTGATCAACTCTTCGCCGTAGGCTAACGTTTCACTAGACATATAATCCTTGACAATCTCTTGCAGATGTTCCTCGAGGCTTTCGAGGCCGTTCTCAGCCGCGACGGCAAACTTTTCTTGCCAAACGTGTAGATCACTTTCGACTCTCTCGCGTCTGTGGGCTGTCTGCTCCTCAACCGAAAGTGTGAGCTGCGGTGAAGGTGCCTCAGTTCTGGATGACGTGGTGACAGTCTCGTATTGGGTAGTGCCTAGGGATGTAGTGCCTAGTGATGACGAGGCATGAACCTGCTGGTCAGGGAGACTCCTGCTGTAATGTTAACATGTGGGGCTAAGACTTACGCCTCAGGAACGGGTACTCACGCATTGGCCTCATCCACGACGTTTCGGGGGCCCTTCCCCTCTCGGTAGCTGGCTAGCCTCTCGCCGATCTTGACGAGCTGTGGTTCGACATTCTCCCAGTAGAGACCAGCGATCTTGGGCCACAGGGTCCCCTTGATAAACTGGATGGCAGTCGACCATGAGCTTCGCACGTTGGGCAGGACCGTGGTGGTCAGAATATCCTGCCCCGATGTATATGTCTTTCCAATGAATGGCCGGTACTTGGCGCCAAAGGGTAGAATATAGTCAACACAGGCAGACCTGACAGCGCCGCTAGCCTTCCTGTAGGATGGCAAAACAGCTTCCTCTACGCGCTGCACGTAGGGATAGATTTCCGACCTGTACAGCGCGTTCGTCTGGTCCTTGACGGCATCCAAGTGGGGGACGACTTGAGCCTCCCATTGCTCTTGGCCATACAATTGCGCTCTGTCCAGTGCGGGCACCCCATACTTCTCATAGCCACGTCGAATGACACGCGAAGTAGGCGTATAGACTTTCTCGTTGACGATGTGCACATACGGACGGGCCTTCTCGACATAGGGCGCACCGTATGCATTATAGTATGGGGTTATATGGGGCTCGACGTGAGATCGAACGATCAGGTAAGGCTTGCAGACTCGTGGCGACGCTCCATCCAGGTCGGAGAGCTGGGGTGGGCAGCGAAGGAATGGCGTTAATAATGCATACCAGATACAGAGTCTGTCAGGAGCAAGGTCAGGATATGCGCAAGAAATCTGCATTCGAGCGACGCAGCAGTGAAACTCACCGGACCACCAGCCCGACCGTCCACCTGAGAGTATCCCTCTTTCGTTGCTTGGGTATGTTGTCGGTCGTCGCCGCAGGACGAGTGGCTCCCTCCACCACAAAGCCATTCTTCGTGGTGGCCATCGTCTCGTCTCCCATTTGCAAGGGATGATTGCGTGAGCAAATTTCTTATCGCTTCGTATTGCGCGTCCAATTTGACCAAGATGGATAACCGACAATCAGGATTGAAAGACTTGAATCATCACGCGAGGGTGGTGGATGTCCTCTTCGAGGTTGATATCCTCTTCTCCCGGTTATATGTACGAAGAACGGCAGAAGTCGCTTTTTATCGGATTGGCAGTTGGATCCTGTAGAAAACCGTACGCGCGATGGAGCCGGGGGTCTTGGCGCAGGGGGGTCTATTCACGTCAGACAGTGGGTAGGTATCACAGAAGAAAGACCTTAATGCGGTATTATTGGAGAAGACCATCCCAAGACGAGGGTAAAAGGTATTTTATGTCTTTGTAGATTTGGAATATAGTACAGTTCACGTTGCAGCACGTAAGGACATAAGCGACCCTTGGCAGCAGCAATTACAGCCGCAAAGGTGTTTTGGTTTCGAAGGTTTCGAGACCCCTCTGAAGGAGTGAAGAGTGAGGTCATGGCTCTCAATGTGGCGCCCGTTTTGCCCTTTCGTACCGGACGTAACGTAAGGATCAGCACTGTCTGGCCCTGATGGCAGCTCTTGGCCTCCATCATCGGTACCGTACCGTATTAGGACATCACCCAGCAGCGTCTAGTACTGGGTTTGTTCTAGACGACATGTCATATATAGCAGTACCTGCTTTGATGCTCTTAGGTCTTTGAGAAATGCTAGCATGGAATAGCTGGTGACAGGTCATTGGTTCGTAGCAAACTAGCCTGCGTTTGTCTAACTCGGTGAATTGTCTGTCGTTGAAACCTCAAGATGTCTATTCGGTGCAGTGTATGCTTTATCAAAAGCAATGGTATATTCCTGTCATTATGACATTATTTCAACTGACGTCAGTGTGGCCGAGTGGTTAAGGCGATTGACTCGAACCTTAGTAGGTTTCTAACCTTCTAAGGAGATATCAATTCCATTCGTGGGCGTAGGTTCGAATCCTACCGCTGACGATTGTCAGATCTTTTTTTCTCTTTTTACTTTTTTCGCCTTGAGTTTCGACTACTCCGAGCCGACGATTCCTTCCCCTCACTTGCAGTAAAGCGATTTCTTTCTGAGACATGATATGAGGTCGGGCTGCAGGCCTATCCTGCCTTTACAATGCGACCATTGTTTGTGCTGCATCGACCTTCAGGTTGCAGCGGATGTACGAAGCGTTATGTTACGGTTGTTGTTTATCCTAAACAATATATCCTACGCGAGCCGACGGCTCGACCGAATGGAGTGTCTTGACAAAAGATATATACCAACGAATCCATGACACACGATGAACGCAGCACATCGGATGCTCCTGCCACCACCTCAAAACATAATCATTTATATACCCATATATATCTTCCCACCCCCGCCCCCAATAGGAAACACATCCAATACATAGACACAAACCACCCCGACTCAAACCGAAACATATACGATGTGACAGCCCATGGCCCACACTATACATTGGGATGCTGCACTGGGGCCTCTGAACTGATGAGCATGGGACTGCGCCCGTCGCATACACTCGCATTAAAACGACAGGAAAGACCAAAGCCGATGCAGCCAGCAGTAGTGTTTACCTCCCCGTCGCTTGATGCAAATATAGTAATCGGTCGGATTCGCTTCGGTTTTAATTGGACAAGCCCATTTGTCTTTTCGGATGGGGCCGCAACATGAGAGAACTTCTATGCAACAAAAAGAACGAATTAACCATCAACTCGAACGCAAAGTAGCTGAAGATGACCACAGAAGACCGTCTGTCACGCAACCAGTCAAGAAAGATTGAGCAGGAAGATGCTGCAAAAAAAGGATTTCGTCAGCGACAGGATTCGAACCTGTGCACACGAATGTATCAGATTTCGAGTCTGACGCCTTAACCACTCGGCCACACTGACTTGTTGATGACTTAATAGATACGTTTGTAACCTATAGCCCGCGTTTGAGTACCCGTCGTGGCGCTGTGGCTGAGTAAGTCCCATGGCGGGAACTTGCCTGTCCGAACTTAGACTTATTTACCGCTGCATCACATCATCCTAACATCTATTCACGCACGCCTTGCCTCAACACAAAACGCGAAAGCTGGACTGCGGCGTACCTTCGCACCCATCGGTCTATCCCCAGGAAGCCTACATTGCCCCACCATACAAGATCAGTCTCACCGACCCGTCCTCTCCTGCGAGCGCATACTCCGAACACACCTAGGCGGTCTCAGATGCCCCATGAACATGATACCTGAGTGATATCACTGAAGGACGATAGGGTCGTCGCATTGAATTTGGTCTGAAAGATGGAGTCTCCAAACGATTACTCGCATGCATATGCTGGCTCAGCATCCTTCCCCGATCTCATGAACGACCCAGCCTACGACACAAACCACAAAGGAAAAGAGAGGGAATTCGACGAACCAGACACATGTCGGATCTGTCGGGGAGAGGGAACGCCGGAAGAACCGCTCTTCTATCCCTGCAAATGTAGCGGGAGCATCAAGTTCGTCCACCAAGCGTGCTTGGTAGAATGGTTGTCTCATTCTCAGAAAAAGCACTGCGAACTTTGCAAGACACCGTTCCGCTTCACCAAACTATACGATCCCAATATGCCACAGAACCTTCCCGCTCCCTTATTCTTTCGACAACTTATCATACACACCTTTCGTACTGTCGTCACATGGCTACGGTTTATTCTCGTTGCATTTGTCTGGCTGGGTTGGTTGCCGTGGTCCATGAGAGCTATCTGGAGGGCCCTCTTCTGGCTCGCTGATGGTCGTTGGTCTGGCGCGGACAATATTCGACAGCCGGGGCTAGAGTTTGTCGTAGCCAATGGTACCACCAACACCATCATTCAAGCCGCTACGGGAAGTTCTGGGTCGACGGCTAGACAACCCAGCACTACCGACGTATCGTCACCGCAGTCTCCAGTATCTTCTATGTTTGGTTTTGCCTCTGGTGAACCGTTGCTCTTTACACTCATCAAGAAAACCTTGACAGCTCTATTTTCTCCTGCAATGTCGGTCACTGGATCCATGGGGGCCAAAAGTTCTAACATGACTACCGCATCGTACAATCCTAGACGTCCTTCATGGCTATCCGACGTCAAATTCTTGAATAATCTGACTCCGTCGCCTACCATCAACAACATCATCATCGATACATTAGAAGGCCAGCTGATCACTCTTCTTGTCGTCATTTCATTCATCCTAATCTTCCTCATTCGAGAGTGGGTCGTACAGCAGCAGCCCATGGCCAATATTGGCGAGGGAGAGCGCGAAGCAGCTGTTCAACTCATAGCAAATAATCGTCAGGACCAGCCGGAAGATGATGCAGAGCCTGCAGAAGAGGCTCCTCCGCAACCAGAGGATCCTATGCCGGACCCGGAAACTCACGAAACCGTGGAGGATGACTTCTTCCGTGCTCTTAACATGCCCGAGAATCCCGCAGCCGACTTGGATTATTTCCCCAGGGCATCACCGTTCCATCCCGTTACCCGTGATATTCTTGGTGGCTCGGCAACCCAGAGCCCTGGCCCTCCGCCATCAACTCAAAACAACGATGAGAGCGACGGCGAAGCGGTGTTGGACTTTTCATCCGAGCAGCCGTTCGCGCAAGCCTGGCCTGGTGTTGAGACTTTCAGAGATCTGTGGGACCGGGGCCACGGTGATCCCGAACAGGTCCTGAGGATTGTAAGGGACGAAGGTCGCCAAGATGAATTAGGTTGGATTGTTAATGCAATGACCAAGCTCCAGCGCAATAAAGACCGTCAAGAGCCGTGGAGACGCGATCAGCCGCCTGCAGTTCCCTCCAGCACGCCTTCCGGTACCGGTATAACCCAACCCGAGGGTGCTTTGGGTCTGGAGCAATCCGAAGCCGAGCGCGCCTTCTCATCAGCGGGCTCCCGGCCTTGGAGCTTTGCAGATGTGGTCGAAGGCAATATGGACATGGACAGATCGGAGAGACATCCGGACTTTCATGAAATCCGAGGCATTGCCCATCACACCACCGAGCGTGAACCGCTCCAGGAGACTTCCCTCTCAAACAACAACGAGCCTCGGATGGGCGATGATACCAGTACCTCTGTTCTCAACCAAGCCAGCCCTTCGAACCCCCAGGATCAATCAGAAAGCCGCCAATCCACTGCTCGGCCTGCGGCCGGCCCCTCCAAAAGCTTTCTTGCTCGGTTATTTGATTGGTTCTGGGCAGATCTAGAGACTGATGACCAGGATCAGGACCAGCCCCAGGATGATGACGAACAAGTAGCCGTTGACCCTGCACTGGAGGCACCATTTGTGCCGGTTCAGAATAACAGACGTTTTGCCGATGGCGATGCACAAGATAATCAGGGACTTATGCAGGACCCGGGTGTTGATGGCAACGACCTCGATGCAGTCGAAGACGGCGACGATCTGGAGGGAATCCTCGAGCTCATTGGTATGCAGGGTCCCATCTTCGGTCTTCTTCAGAACGGGGTATTTAGCGCCCTCTTGATCTCTTTCACGGTTGCTATCGGTATCTGGCTCCCCTATCTTTGGGGCAAGATCGCGCTTGTCCTCCTGGCGAACCCGGTGCATCTGATTGTTGGGGTCCCCATGACTGCTATATCTGTCTTCGCCGACGTCGCACTGGATACACTCATTGGTAGCTTGGGATATGTGATGTATTGGGGCAGCCTGGTCTTCAAGACATTGCTTGGCCCCTTCATCGCATTTGCTCCCGTGGCCGACTGGATTCCTGAAACCAAGACTGTGACCAGCGCTTCGCTGTCGCTCATTGATGCCAGCAGTCACCGCCTTCGGAACGCCCTCCAATCCTTTTTCGTGTTTCACGAATCCGACGTCCCTATGTTCTCTGTACTCTCGCACCACGCTCTCAAAATCCACCAGGCGCGCATCTCTTACTTGCTGCAAACGGTCTTCTCCATTGGTCAATTTGTTCTGCACGACTTCCCTCTTCGACTCCTGAGCGATGGTTTCCCTGGAGCTTTATCGCTTGGTCGCGAGACTCTCGACTTTACTAGTCTGGTAAATCAAGCGCGCGATCAGCTCTACCACTTTGGGAGCCACATTCTGTACACTTCAAATGGGACAAATGTCTTTATGGCTGGCCTACACGGAACTTCGCCGAGTGGACTCAATATCCCCCAAGAACTAGCCGTCTGGGACACAAAGGACCGCATTATTGCCATTTTGTTGGGCTACGTACTGGCATCGGTCGTTGGATTACTCTATCTTCGTGTCACGAACCTTCTTTCTGGCGCGGAGCGCCGCCAAAGGGTCGAGGGTCTTATTGCAGATATAATACATCAGGGAGGAGGAGTCATGAAAGTGATCCTCATCATCGGGATCGAGATGATAGTATTCCCGTTGTACTGCGGTTCATTACTCGATCTTGCGCTGCTGCCTCTGTTTGAGGATGCTACCATAGCGTCACGCCTTGAATTCACGGCTTTCTCGCCCCTGACGTCGCTTTTTGTGCATTGGTTCATTGGCACTTGCTACATGTTCCACTTTGCCCTTTTTGTTTCGATGTGCAGGAAGATCATGAGGAGCGGTGTTCTTTGTAAGTTCCCTCTCTTGTCTTTTTCTGGCTCGTGCTAACAAACTCGCAAGACTTCATTCGTGACCCTGATGACCCGACATTCCACCCTGTCCGCGATGTGCTAGAAAGGAATATCACCACCCAGTTGCGCAAAATCGCATTCAGTGCCCTGGTCTATGGTGCCCTAGTCGTTCTCTGTCTTGGAGGTGTCGTCTGGGGTTTGTACTATGGCCTTGACGGCGTTTTCCCGATTCACTGGTCTGCTACGGTCCCTGTATTGGAATTCCCCGTCGATCTATTATTCTACAACTTCGTGATGCCATTTGCAATCCGATCTCTCAAGCCATCCGATGGTTTGCATGGCCTTTACGATTGGTGGTTCCATAGGTGTGCTCGTCTCCTGCGATTGACCAACTTCTTTTTTGGAGATAGACAGCTGGATGAAGAAGGTCGGCATGTCGGAAAAAGCTGGTGGGGTCTGTTCTCAGCACCCGAAGCAAGCACAGAAGACTCCACAGCCCGCGCAGACGCCGATGAAATGAACCATGGCGCATCTTTTATCCGTGATGGTAGATACGTCCGAGCTCCTGCTTCGGATCAGGTCAGAATCCCCAAGGGCAACAAGGTGTTTCTGGAGGTGACTGAGGACAACGAAAGAGTCGATGGGCAACCGGACACGGATCAGGGACTGCATGGCCGGACTAATGACATGTTCACGAAAGTCTACGTGCCGCCCCATTTCAGGACTCGGATTGCAGCCTTTATCCTACTCATCTGGGTGTTTGCTGCTGCTACCGGTGTAGGCATCACTGTTCTTCCCTTGATCATTGGCCGGAAGATCATGAATGCTAGCTTTCCCCACCGACCCTTGAATGATATCTATGCTTTCTCAACGGGCTTGAGCATTGTCGGCATTGCTGCCTACATCGGCGTTTACAGTCGGAGCTTATTTGTTATGGCCAAAGAGCGGTTGAGGCTCTATCTGCAGTCCCCCCAACAAGTCGTCGTTGGGGTCAAGAATGCTCTATTTGGTGCCATCCGACTGATCTATGTTTTCACCGCGTTTTCAGTCATGCTACCATCCGCGTTCGCTCTGGTCATGGAATTATATCTCTTGGTGCCCGTGCACACTTATCTCGGAGGCCCACAGGCGCATGTGATCCACTTCATCCAGGACTGGACGCTTGGGGTACTCTACGTCCAGATGGCTGTCAAGTTTGTGCTGTGGAACTCCAGATCCCGTCAGGCGGCCGCCCTCAATGCCATCTTCCGGGATGGGTGGCTGAAGCCTAACGCCAAAATTGCCACCCGAGGTGTCCTGCTCCCCGTCACTCTTCTCACCTTTATTGCGGTGTTGCTTCCACTCTCCCTCGGATTTGCGATCAACATGACGGCTTTCTACAGGACTCCGGAGGTGCAGTTCAAGGTGTATCGCTATGCGTATCCGGTGACTTTGCTGTTCAGTCTGATTGCGTGGCTCGTCTATCTGGTACGTCGGCAGGTGGAGATCTGGAGGGTGAATATTCGCGACGATGTTTACCTCATTGGCGAGCGGTTGCATAACTTCCGTGAGAAGCGGGCACGAGACGTAGGGGGTGTTTCGCGTAGAGTTATTACTGGGTGATGTTGACCAGGCATCTATCTCCAAAGGATTCTAGGCTCCCATCCTTCTGTTGTGTTGCCTTTTCTTTTTTTCTTTTTTTTTTACTTCTTCTCCATACTTATTATACCTTGTTCTCTGTACATCAATTAGGGGTTACCAAATAGACTATTTGCGGGAGACCGACTTATACCTACTGAATGGCTAGACGGGTATTGAAAGCGACGATGTTGTCCCTGTAGTGAGTGTAACTATAGTTAACTACTCTTTGCAAAAGGCTGCGTCAGCCGGCTAAAGTGCTCTAACTTCATGGTGCACGTGCCCTCGGTGGAGAAATGCGCCAATGGCAGGAATGGCGGCTGCCTGCCGGCGGAAAGTGGGAAAGATGGGTCTAGTCCCAGAGCAGTTAGCGGCGGAGAAGCAATTGACGAACTGTAAAGTGTGGCTTGGCACAGGTGAGGCTTTGCAAGCACTCGCCACTCCCTATTGGTTAGGCAACAGGATTCCCACTCGGCGCCTTCAGTTAGTCGTTCTTATTCTTATTTCCTCTCTTAGTTCATTTCACTCATTTCATTCTTTCTCCCTTTCCCCCCAGAACACTTTGCGCGGTCCAAGTTCACAGCATCATCCCTTTTCCTTGCACTTACCTGTGAACTACGCGCATCATTTCGACGGACCCTGTCCCCTCATGTTGCTCTAGATCCCCCTCAGATCATGTGTCATCATTAGCGTTCCCCCACCCAGCTCTGCAATGCTATGAGGCTATAGTTCCCGCCCACTTTCTTTCAACCTAATTCCGGACTCTGCGCGCCAAGATGTCCGTTCTTCGCCATCATGGAGGGGCCTACCTCCAGCGCCGTCTCACCAAGATGTACACAGATACCAAAACCTCCTGTGAGAGCGTGACGACGGCTTCCAATGCAGTTGACGACCCTGAATTGATCACCCTGCATCGGGATTTTAAGACTCAAAGGGACAGGCTGCTGGCTTGGGGTTTGGATTGGAGCGATGCCAGTGCGGCCCAGCCCAACGACATTGACGAGTCATTGACTCAAGCTGGCTATAGTGATGTGGTAGCCAGCGTCATGTCATCGATCCAGGAGCTTCTCAACGAGGCCGAACGTCTCCAGCATGGCAGCGCCGCCTCCGATTTGCCCCCCAAGGCTGGTAGTAAGGCGGATGCGACGAAAAGCAGTCTTAGCCACCTGCCAGTCAAGTCCCATTGGACGAGCGAGGAGATCAGTCGCTCCAAGACCCTTCTTGCCGACCTGACGGGCTGTATCGACACGCTCTACGATCTTTCGCGTTCACGACGAGACATGAACGCCAATATGGCAGCCGGTGGCCAGGCTGCCGCTAAAGGCCGATCCCGGCCCGCCGCGCCTACCGACTACTCGCTTCTCGACACTAAAGCCTATCACGGACCGTCCTTCGACAGTAAGCAGTCTTTTGACTATTCGCCTTCGTCTGTGTTGCAAGCAAAGTTCGATAAACCGCTTTTGGAGAAAAGTCTGTCATCATTGAATAACTATGTCATCGATCGTACTAAGTTGCAGTTGGCCGGTGTCTCTCATGACAACAATCCTCCGCCGTATGAGCAGGTGGCCGCCTCTACTAATTCTCGTGCCGTCGGGCGTATGCCTACATCAGCTTCGCCATTCTTGCAAGGTACGAAGGACTCATCGGTCACTATTCTGGTCGAGTACACGCCTATGATGCTTGAAGCATCCGGGCCTGGTAGTTCGCCGGAAAAGAAACGGTTGGATCACGTACATCAGACTCTCGAGCAGCTCGTTCAGAATGCGCGGGTCTCTCACCTCGGCTTGATGAAATTCTTAGGTTATTACGTCGACATGCCCAATTCTCGCTATGCGTTCATCTACCAGATGCCAGTCGACTACTTCCCCTTCCTACGAAACCCCACCGACCTCCTCAATGGGCTGAAACCGAGGACTTTGGTTTCGATGTTCCAAGCCGGCGATGATTATCAGGTGCCCAATTTGGAAACTCGTTTCCGTTTGGCTTACGATCTTTTGATGGCTGTTTTGCAGCTACGGAGTCAGAATCTCGTCCACGGAAACATCAACAGCAGCAATGTCCTCATCTTTCCCGGCTTGACCACCTCGAACAGCAACGAGGTGGGACTAACCGAAAATCTTCGTCGTCCCTACTTGACCTCATTCTCCCACTTTTCCGGAAGTGGCCCGTCCTCCGAGCCGTTGTCCTCTAGTATGTATCGTCATCCGGATGACAAGAGGTCGACTGATGACGACGCTGCTTGGGCATACGATCTCTACTCCCTGGGATTGGTGTTGCTGGAAATTGGGCTTTGGAACCCAATCAGTCGCATCTGGAAGATGAAGTACAACAATTCTATCTTCAAACAGCGGATAGAAAATGTTTACTTGCAAAAGCTTGGACCCAAGTGCGGCAGTGCATATCTCCATGTGGTCCAGCTTTGCCTTGATGCACCGAACTTCCATCTCTCTACTCAGCCGTTCGATGACTTGGAGCTCCGAGTGCCCCAGACCTTCCATTACCCAGTCCTTGATCTATCGGCCCCCGACAGCATCTTCTCCTTCTCGATGAACTTCCTCTATACGATGTGCAAGATCATGTGGTCCTGCTGCAGGGTTGATATGTTCTCAGCGCCTGACGCTGAAGAGCTGGACGATTATCTTCCGCTCGCCCTGGTACCTGGTCTAGGACCGGCTGCTGCGGAAGAGCCCGTGTGCGAGTATAACCCAACTCCTGACAATTTGGCAGCGTACAAGGCCTCATTTGCGCCGTTACCTACTTCACAATTCCGACCGATGCGGGATCAATCAGCTATGGATGATCGGAGAGTGCGGAAACGAACTTTCAAGAAACTGTCCAGTGTTGAGATCCCCCAGGACCATCTGAACAATTGGAACTTCCATATGCTGCCACGACTGCGGAAGCTTTTGCAAAAGATCCTGAAAGAATCTACAGAGTCCTGCAGTGTCACGCTCATGATGACTGGCGAGTCGGCAGAAAACGCCCGGACGACAATCTGTGTCACTTGTGCCAGCACGAAGAAAGTCCGGGCGGCCCTCAAGAAGTACTTTGTTCTCGACAGCGATGATTGGGACCTGATTGTGCTACGGGGTGATGTCCAGCGGTCCAAAGTACCTCGCAAGAAGCGTCGCAAGCCGGCAAGGACCGATCTTGACCCTCCTGAATCGCCTGCGTACGCTCAGCAAGACCCAAATCCTTGCTACCAGGAGCGGCCCTTGTGCGGAGCATCAATAGGCGCTTTCATGAACGAAGAGCATCTGCCGCCTGTCACCTACGGAGGAGCAATCATGGTAGATGGCATGCCATATGGCATGACTGTGCATCATATGCTCGAGTCCCCCAGCGACCAAGAGGATGAAGACGAACAAGAGGATAGCGGCCCTCTTCGGTCCGCGGGAAACTGGCCCCGTGAGGGGACAGCGCAGCAGGGTGCGCAATTCATGTATTCTTGGCGCGAGGAGAATACATCGGAGGTTGCGTCGGACCTCGAACTGGAGGTCTCAGAGGATGAGGACGACGATGATCAATCAGTTTCACACAGTTTAGATGGAACCTACGACGACTTCGATCTTTCTGAAGGCTATTCCTCTGACGAGGATGATCCGAACGCCGAGGACGCGTATGACGATGACGATGCCGCGTCGGTCGGAGACACGTCAGGTGTTGAACCCGGAGACGAGCCATTACTCTTTGTTACGCAGCCAGCGATCGATGATGTCGACGAAAATTTCTTCCCGTCCCTGGAAGATCGAGACGACGAACACTTAGCCTCACATTCCTTTGGGTTCGTTCATGCCTCTTCAGGCGTCCGACGCTGGACGCGCAAAGGGCTTAGACACGAGATCGACTGGGCTTTGATCAAGATCAACGACGATCGTATAGATGTTCGCAACGTTGTGTTTGATCGGACATCGCGGCAAAACCCATACCAGCCGAGGCATGGCGCTCCTGGTCAGCCTGAAACCATCCACCTCAACAATATTGCCAGACTTGAAGATCTTGGTGGTCTCAAGGTACACTGCTGCGGCCGAACCAGCGGCCTGCAAACGGGCCAGATCTCCAGAGCGATGACGCTCGTCAAATTGCACGGGCGCCAGACCTTCTCAATCAGCTTCTGCGTGGATGGGAATTTCGGAGGTAAGTGAGTCTGTCAGTGCAACGTCTCGCCCCGTACAATCACTAATCTTCGCTCATCTAGTCCCCGGCGACTCAGGCGCGTGGGTCTTCGAAAAAAACACCGGTCGCGTATGCGGTCACGTCCTCGCCTGGTCCGAAAAGAGCCACACTGCCTACATCGCGCCAATGGAGATTCTGCTGGAGGATATCGCTCGGACTCTCAACGCGAATCACATCTCTCTCCCGGGCAACAACCGCGACGGAGCTCTGTGTTACGCTCTGCCTCAGCCAACTCCTGACCTTGACCATTATCAACATCATCATCAGCTCGCTCACAATGCGCGATACAACGCTCCGCTCCCTCTCCCCGACCAGCTCCCCGTTGACATCGGACACCTGCATATCGACCATCAAGGTCACCCGCCTGGAAGAGGTCCTGTCAACACTAGCCGCGGTCTCCGTGAAGCAGCGGCAGCAGCTTCACGCCCTTACGGAGGGATGTCTCCTCCAATTCTATCTCCGCCCAGGAGTTTGGAGAGACAACTCGCCTAACCTTCTCTTCCTACAACCCTCCTCCACCTTCTCCCTCGCTATAAACCTCTTCCACCTCAAGCATGAACTGTCCGACCCACGGACGCAGCTTATCCCCACGACACCTTAACCTACCCTCACCAATACACGTACCCAATAGGACCCCATGACCTCACCTCTGATGTTTTTCCCATTGATGACCCGAAACGAGTGGATTCAAAGAACATAATACCCCTTCTGTACTTGCTATACCGTGTTTTGTTTTGTGTAACCATGTATTTGTCTGTCTACGCTCTTTCAACTCCCCTATACTTTGTCTTACTCACCCTAGGAGAACCCAACACAGTGCGGTGAATAAACTTGGCATGCTTACCGTGCCGCAGGTGGAGAGACGCTTAATACCATTCATCCATCTACCAATCATACACCCATCCATTTACTATCTCCTTACTCGCAACAATTACCTGCTGCTTTTCTGTTGAAAATGCCCCCGGCCGTAGTAGCTTACCGTGAAAATACACGGCCAAATATAAGATAGGAATAAACCTAGAAGAATAAATTCATAAGAAGAACAACCCGGGAAGGCGATTGAGACCCAGCCCTGGGTTTCAACTACCGGTAATCTCGTTGACCACTTCGGCTACATCGGTAAGACCATGGGTAAGTGACTCCAGAACACGCAGAAGCTTCTCCATCAGCTCAAGCCGATTAGCCCGGCTGTGATCTTTGATTCTCTTGTTGTCTGTTCACCTTATAGGATAAGTCTTTGAATTGGGTTGCAGTACAGAGACTCGCTGGGCTATTGCATCACTTACACAGAGATAGGGGAATAAGGGAAACTGGGGATTTTCTTTATTTCTGTTGGTTCTTTATCACCGTCCAGAGTCTGATTTGTCACTGCAGGTGTTGACGCAAGGGAGGGATCTAGCTGGGGAGCATGATTCCTCCTTTGCTGTTATCGCGATATCTCCCTTTGGTGTGGGGGAAATAGTTGAAGAGAGGTTGGAAAGGCCAATAATTACAGGCTCCTTTTATTGATCGCTATCGCATCCACCTCATCCGACATTAATCAAGACGAACATCAAACCAGGCCAGGCACCTTCTAGTAGGACAATATGATACTGGTTTTTTTCTTTTTTCTTTTTTCTTTTTTTTTTTTCAAAAGGGTCCTGAACTCAGACAGAAAGCAACAGAAAGATTCCGCTAACGTCCCCGGTCGTGTAAATATATAAGCCCTGCTAAAGGACTCTCCCAGAACAAACACCCGATGGTATAATTCGATTCCCAAGGGACACCGAAAGCAAACGCTGAAAATTAAATGGAGATAGACGGTTCAGACACAACCGACCCAACGCTCATCATGGCCGACAACAACAATCTTCCTTGCCCGGACGAACAACCCACGATCCACACCGTCGACAACAGCGGCACGCCCGGCACGGGGCGGCGGGTGCCGGGCTTCAGCGGCATCCCGCTAGACTACGAGCTTCCAGTGACGGCACGGTTCGCGCACGGCTACGAATGGCGGCAGGCACCGGCGATCACGGCGCGCGAGCAAACGATGCTGGCGATGATGAACCGGCTCACGGACCAGGAGAATTGGCACGCGGAGGTCTTCGACGAAGCGGCGGTGGCGCGGTGGCGCGCGGAAGGGGGTCCCGCCGCCATCACGACAAATCCCCCGCTGAGCGACCGGGCGAGGGCGTGGTGCGTGCAGGAGCTGCGCGACAAGGCGTTTGCGTTCCGGCGCACGGGGCATGTGCGCGTGCTGGACGCCGGGTCCGCGGTCTGCAAGGCCGATGGGCCCTTGCTCGCGGGGCTGGCGGAGGAGGTGCGCGGTGCCGTCGCTCCCATGCTCGTGGAGTGGATGCACCGCGGACAGCTCGACTGGCGGTCGCCGCACATCCTGAGTCTTGTCGATCCGGCGCTGTTCCCGTTGGTGTATGGGCGGAGTCTGGTGTTCGCTGATGAGGAACGCGGGGGTCGAGTCTCTGTGGAGGGTGTGAGGAGCGGGGCGTATAAGTATGCAGGTACGACTATCGCGCCGGTACAGGTTGAGAAGCGAACTGATGCGGACGAGTTGCAGAGAGAGATCGACTTCCATCTGGGCCTCGGTTATTCGACGAGAAGTATGAGGCCTCAATACCACAGAAATGCGCCCTTTTATCGCTGGAGCCCGTACTATCAGGCGCTGCCGTGTGAGGTGGCGTTTGTCGATGGGGATGGGGATGGGGATGATGATAATGTTGACGCGAAGGTGCGCATCACTTCCCCTATCAACAACCTCCACCCCGCGCACCGAGAGCTCTACCGCGCGATTGAGACGCTGGTGGGCCGGGCGATTCCCCTGTGGAACGATTGTCTGGTACTGGGCCAGCACGGCTGGGATGATGAGTGTGTTCAGGACCAGCCCGGGCCGGTGCCGCTGCGGATCATCACGTATGGGGTGGAATGGAAGAACGAGCTCCCCGAGTCGCTCGTTGCATTCCAAGTCGTCCCTAAGGAGGACGCGAAGTGGTACCGTCGAAACGTACACACGAGAGCACCCCCCGGGAACCAGGTGCTTCGAGACGCAGAAGAACCCCCGAAGGGGTGGTTGTTCGCGGACGTGAGGGCGAAGATCGAAAACAGATTGCCGCCCCCATCCTCCGAGCTCTGGCTACAGGCAAAGAGATACCTCGAGCTGCCAGAAAGAGACGAGCATGGATCAGTCACGCCTCATCCAAGTGTTTCTCGAGTGCCTCGCCCAAGCGATTCTTGAGCGAGGCTACTTGGAATAAGTAGATGCGTCGGGAACGCTCACTCTTGACTTTTTGGGCCATGGCCACCGCCTGTTCCAGATCTTCTTCACTTATATTGCCTTGGCGGAATGCGATGCTGACGGCAGAGTTGACTTCTTCGAGCACGCGAAGGAATGATGGTTTCTCGTTCTCGGAAAGGCTGGGAAGCAACTTAAGCAGATCGTACTGAGCCCTCTTTACTCTTATGGCGTTCGCAAATCTGGCCGCAGCCTCCATGACTGGGCTTGTAGTGCGATCGGCGGCAGTTGGAGAGTAGAGGTCGGCCCACTCGGGCATGAGGTGTTTAGCGAAGTCTGCGAAATTGCACATGTGGCCATTGCGAGTGGCACAGCCCGTGGCGATTGTCCTCTTGACCCCGGCGTTCCATTCCAGTGTGTATACATAGTAAAAGTATAGTATCTCATAGGGAACGGTTTCGTTATCGGCCAAAATCAGAGATGGGAAACAAGAGCGAGGAGTGACAGTCTGGAGAATGGAAGAGGCGATGATTCGAGCTAAAGAAGAGGTCTTGTGGTGCACAGATGATCATGAGATGATTGAGGCACAAGCAAAGAAGAGAGAGAGAGAGAGAGGACAAGGTGTAAGCAGATCCCTATATATATTATTATCGTTGGATAGCAGGGTATCATCTAATTCAGTCACGTAGCTGTTAACTAAATTCTGGCTAACCAGGGCTTGATAATGACCTACTTCACTAGCCGGGTGCTACCAAATCAGAGTGCTTAAACGCCACTTCGTCTCAAAGTCCCACAGGAGTCAATCAGCAATAGCCCTAATGCTACACTAGCAGGTAACAAGTTGAGGTCCGCACTCGGGTTCGTAGAACGCACGGCAAAGAGAACGGGACTCACCCCCTGTAGAAACAGAGTGGGCGGCGCATGGTCAAGATAGCGGTGCCAGGGGGTTTAGACGAATGATCGTAATAGCTTTAGCAGACATCAGAAGGATAATTTGGCTCTTTGGCAAGGGATGTTGCAAAATCAGAGGCCTTCCACAGCAGCCATGCGAGGAGGGTTTAGCACAGATTAAAGACGGTTTCTGCATCATGATCTGATTGGAGGTTCGATACTTACTCTGCAAACGCAACTACAGTCACCCTGGAGGTTCGATGCTTACTATACAAATACAACTAATTCACCGTTTCTCCAGATGGCGTTTGACCTGACAGGTGGCGCTAGAATTATCCATTTTAGAGAACTACAAAGAAGTCAGAGCTGACTGTTTGTTGTGGCTTGCGCTAGTGGCAGACAAGTGAACACCAACCAAGATGCTGCCTTGTACTCATGCAAGGCTGATCATTGATCGCAGCTGAGAGGATTGATTGCTTCGGTTTATTTAGTCTGAGCCGGCTATCTTGGTTTTGTGTTTGAGCCGTTGCCCTCTTCAACTCACCAAGTATAGAAAAGACCATGCAAGATAGTATAGAACAGATGCTATCGGAATATGATTACATTTTGTAAGACGGACAAAGGACTAACTAGTTCTACTACGCATCTTTTGTCCTTTCCTTCTAGTATCAATTTATTCGACGACGTTCTGCTCTGTAAGTTGTGGCCGTAAGGTACTCTGATGTCTGAATAGCCTGATTGTCCTAATTGATGACTTGTATTTGCTGACTGTCCCTCAGAGGTTCACGCAAGATGCCGACAGAGCCACCTTAAAAGGGCTGAAGACACTTGGTGGACACTGACAAATGTATGCTGTTAGGTTTTCGAAGATCGTCTAAGCAATGTCAGTGATTTCCCTGCAGTTGGTGAAAGTCACGTGCAGTCCCTGCTGAGGTCACGTGGTCAGACCAGCCTCCCCGCCTTTCTCTTCCCCTTCTCCCCTTCTCACCTTCTCTCTCCGTCTCGCTGGCTATATCTCCTTCGCCTTCTCCCTACAACCGCCCCTCTCACTCTGTTAAGAGCAAAGCAAGTACTCGCTACTTACTGACCTCGCCGCCTGTCCTGCCATTCCTGTGTTGTCATAGGACTCTCTGGTCTCACTTGATGATTTCAGATTGGGCGTGAACTCGTGACCGGGCCGTAGGAGCCTCTACTCCTTTGCTCTTGTTATTATTATTCTCACCCCCTCAAGAATAAAGCAAGTACTTGCTACTGACTGACCTCGCCACCGGTCCTGCCATTCCTGTGTTTTCATAGGACTCTCTGATTTCACTGGATGACTTCAGATTGGGCGTGAACTCGTGACCGGGCCGTAGAAGCTTTTACTACTTTACTCTTGTCTTCATTCATTCTTTACCCGAGTCAGGGCTGCTCAACGTTGCTCAAAGCCCGGGCGGGAGGGTTGCTTGAGCCATCAAGGGGGTTTCTTTTCAAAAAATGCCTACCACTTCCCCGGCTCCGTCGTTGTCCTTGAAAAAGAAGGTCATTGTTTCTATACCTGCTTCTGGTGTTAACTGTCGCGCACAGCTTCGTATCTTTCATGATATACATACTAATAAAGGATCCATCTCCCTCAAGATCAAAGCAAAGCTTGCTAACCGGGAGGATGAACCTCAGGACCTAGCATTGAGCATCCATCCAAACATAGTCGAAAACTGTGCGCTATCCATGACGAATGACGACGGTTCTTGTCCTCCTCCAGTAGTTCCTATGCTTCCATCGCTTTTACGAGAAAATGCAATCTCGACACTAAGCCTGACACTTAATACAACTGGTATAGTCCTTTGTCCAGATGGGATGAAGTCTATAAGCCCAGCCGATTCAAACGACACGGATTTCTACGGATTTGCCAAAATCTCTCAATCTAAATCACTGCGTCTACACTTTTCAAACCGACAATTCAGGGAAGGCGAACTGAAACAGCTGAAGAAATTCTCGTTAGCCCTGGACAGCAAATCTCTTGGGGCAGAGTCTTTTAGACAAACTCTGAGCGTGGTCGAGCGGGATTGGACTATCTTCAGTCTGTCACCCGATCCACCTCCATATGAGGAGCCTGCGTTGGAGCAGACCAGGCAAGTGGAGCTACCCCTATATTCCGAGGAATCTGGACCCGAGCAGGTGATTGGGAAACGGTACAGAGGTATCTTGTTGTATATACTTTGGCCGTTGAATAGCTTGTTGATGGTATGTAGATCAGTGGAGATTGCCATCCGACGATAATAAAAGACAAAAACGACTGCTCCTCTCAACCCCACAGCCGCTAGACTCTGCCACCGAAGTTGCTACCCCGAGTACTCGCTCCCAGTCACCGGCATCGATCCGCCCGACTTACTTTACGCGTGCTCTATCTCCTGGCCGCACCTCTCGTAACAAACTTAGACGTCTCGAAAATGATTTGCGCGGTATTTCCGATGACCAAGTCCGGGAAGCATTAATTCGAACCGGACACGGACATCTGCTAGCCCGCCCAGAAGAAGTACATGGGAACCTGCCATTCATCTCCGAGAAAGCCGCCTTTCCCACTGTCGAGCGGACGGAATGCCCCTTCAAACACTATATCGATGAGATGATCAAGCGCAGCCTTGCACCTGTCGCCAACGAGGTCATTGACAGTGTCGTGAGCGACGGCCGTGACCAGATCTCCGATGAATGTAAACTCAACGCAGCCGAATTCCGCGAGCAGGTCGACGATGGTAACTCCGAGGTACGCATGACGGCCCATGAATGTATGAAGGAAATACAAGAACAAGCACAGCAGTACATGGATGACCTAGAAGAACAAGCACAGCGGTGCATGAGTGATATCGACAATCGCAGGATCGAGGTTGAGATGTCATTGGGGGGGATTGTTGCCAGATTCAAGCGCTGGTTCGCTGATTCTGCACCATCCTTCCTTGGCGGCAAGTCCAGCACTCTTCATGAGTTGGGGACTCATACCAGACGCGAATCCATTTAGAGGCTTCATGAAGCTTTTCGTGTTCTGAGTTTTTTGATGAGTTTAGAAGATTAGTAATGCACAGGATAGCATTGATTTGCAAAACACCAACTTCTCTCAACTTGATCCTGGATTCTACAGTGTATTTCGAAGCCTCATTTCAGCCTCGATCCTGGGTGGGTCATCATCGGAACCTTCTGATACATGGGCATGGGTATTGTAGGGATTCTAGTGCAATGCTCGATTACGGCTGTTCTTGCTGGAATGATCAGACAGACAGCATTTTATACTCCCGTAACTTCAATGCGGCCCCCGCCCGACGAAACAACCAGGTTGGTACCAATCTTAGCAGTGGGACCCGGAAACAATTCTGATATAGTCTCCTTGGATGCTTGACAACCCGCATGCGAATGACGTGGTGTCACGTCTAAGAAGACTAGACTATGCAGGTGCCTGTCCTGGTTCGGCACGAGTCGTGGCTAAAGGTAGAGGCTAACTGATAATGATCAAGCTATTATACTTGCTCTCGTGCACGCGTATGATAACCCAATTGACAAATCGGTCTTGGCCTTGACAGAGATGACGAGTCTCCTGCTTAAGCACAAATGCGGACCCGACTGCCAAAGACTCTAGGGGTTGGACACCTTTCCTCTTGCCTACTATTCGGATTGGATGCAAAGCTATAATTCTACGTGAGATTCAGCGGGAATCTTTACCGGAATCTATCTAGATTCATTTACTATGGAATGGCACGAATCAATTGTGTGAGTTAACACTTTTCAGTAATATTGGCTATGAAAATCCTAACGAGTACAGTAAACGCCGATAGACATCAACCATCCAAGCTCGCCGTGCTCAATCTTCCCTCAGCGGTGCGCATACAACTAGTACGCCAGCAAACGCACACACAATACACCTTGAGTTGCAGCACCAGCCCTCAGAAGTGCACGGCCTCGGAGAAGCGGCTAGGAGAGTAGTTACTGAGCGACACCTCCCCGGCGTGATCCATGTCGATGCGGATGAGATTGTAGGCGATGGTGACGGGGCCGGGCTGATCCGCGGAGGTCTCGGAAGCCCTGCGGGCGGCATACTCGGTGACCTTGTAGGAGGTGTCGCTGGCACGCTGGACGCCGACGACCATGTAGAAGGTCTTGGTGCTGGACAGACAGGCCAGCCAGGACTGCGCGCGCGCGTACTTCTGCTGCAGGTCCGGATCGGCCAGGCGAGTCTTGATTTCGTCCTTGGAAGGGAACTCGCGAAGGCAATGGGCGTCGACGCGGGCGGCGCGGAACTCAATATCCTTGCCGTTGCGCGGCTCCAGGAAGGTGGTGGCGGTACAGGTGGTGTCGCCGCCGAAGGGATGAGGATAGTTCGACTCGCAATGTTCGGTGGCGCTGGGGAAGATATCATGAGCATTGAATCCCCAGTAGTCGTCGGGTCGCATCACGCCGGGGGATCGTCGAGTCACACCACCGAAGCCACCACCCGTCATCCACGGTGACGCGGAGCGCCGCTGCTGCTGCTGCTGCTGCTGTCTTGCCATGTGTTCGTCGTATCCGTTCGACCACAGCGATGACTCGGGGCGCCGTCCAGGCAGTCCACCTCTGCCGTTGTTGCCATTGTCGGGTCCCCAGCGATACTGGTTCTGCCGCGCATGTCGAGCAGGCCCAGTGGGTGAGTGCACCTCGTCCCTGGAGACGGAGAGCGCATCAACCTGAGATTCGCTGCGGTGGATCTTCTTGGTGTAGGCTGTGCGAGTGGTTCTGGCGATCGGCGGGTACCTCTCGCTCAGGTCGGTCTCGCTGATGCGCGAAAGCACCGTGTTCTCGGGGTTGAGGGGATCCGTCACGATCTGACCGATGTCGAAGGGACTCGCATCGCCTCTTCCGAGTCTGCTCATCAGCAGAATGTAGGGACCGCCTGAAGACATGTTGCGCTTGATTCTCGAGAAGATCATCAATCACGGGGTCTGGTTGACAGGTAGGTTCTCGCTTCTTTCGTGCGTTGACTGGACGGGTGAGTACAAGAAGTTCGTCTGCCAGTGGCATGTTTTGAGAAGAGGATGGGTGGAACAAGGACGGCCTCTTTATAGTCGTGGGGATCCTGCTTGCTGGGATCTTTGGCTGCCTAATCCAGTCTGGTATCTTCCACTACTGCTGGAGATATTCACTATTGACCATGCACATAGTGAAAGTTACCGGTTAATGAACATCACTCCGTTCGTATCCTTTGTTCTTCCCGGCACTCTTCGCTTGGTCTACAAAGCGTTGCCTAACTTTACCGGAATCTCCCATTATATTTCTTTCTCCTGCTGATCTCCGGTTGCCGCGACAGCTCCTTGACTGAGGTAATATACCACGGGGTTCGAGATAGTTCACTCTCGCATCAGGGTACGGAGAATGCCGCAAATGGAGAGATTATAAGCTCATCGCACGAAATGACTTATTGGAGATTCCCATGTTGGGACGGTACCTCCCACAGGAGTCTCAACCAGTCCAATCCTTCATCTCCTATAAAAAGATGCTCACAGTCAACCGCTCACCAACATAGTTGGGGCAGTTCCAACTCGGACATTGACCTCAGCACGGATAGTGCAATTCCGGTGCGAAGTTACAACGCATCGTCCATTGAACTCGAACCCTGCAGCCGAAGAAAGAACATCAACAGTCGTTGTGCTAAGGATGGCGGACAGACGCTCCGTGAACGAGCCCACAGCCTCTACGCACCACATGCGTACCCGGGCCCGCACGCGTGCACTTACACGCCTACAGGCGACGCAAGGCCCGTGGGTCGGCCAAGCGGTAGACCGCGAAGCGCTCCGGGCGCAGAAATACTGCACGCAGAAATGCCTGCGGGGATTGAAGCGGCGGACGAAACTGGACCTTAAGTGTCCGAATGTCGAGCGACACCGGGCCAATAACGGGCGGCGCAGCAGTAGTAGCAGCAGCAGCAGCAGCAGTACACACCACCCGACGACGGCGTGGGGGCTGACGAAGATCATCCAGGCCGCGCTGGAGCAGCACCCGGAGTGTGCGATACCGTTCGAAGAGCTGGGCACGGCACATGGACATGGGCCGGAGACCCGGTCGGGCAGCTCGGGCGCCCCGTTCAAGGTCGTCTGTCCTCGGTTCGGATACACGGTGGTCGGGAAGGGCACCGTGTGTTGGATCTGGCCCCGGCTGGAGCGTGAAGCCGACGTGTACGCGCAGATCCTGCCGGCGGCGCAGGGGTCCGCCGTGCCCGAGTTCCTGGGCAAGATCCATCTGCAGCAGCCCTATGCGGTGGCCGACTTCGGCCGGGTCCGCCATATGCTCCTGATGGGCTATGGCGGCGAGGAAATCGGCCGGTATTGGTTGGATCCCGCTATGCGGAAATACCATCGACGGAGGTCGGTGGAGGAGATCTGCGCCCTGGGCGTCGTCCACAAGGACCTGGCGTCCAGAAATGTGCTCTGGAGCCCTGAGTTGGCCCGCGCCTTGATTATAGATTTCGAGGCGTGCACCCTCTGCATGGATCGGGTGCTAAAGCGGCCAAAATGGGTGCCCCAGAGGCTGATCGAGGGGAGTCGCGTCTGCTTGGCTAACATGGTCACCGAGTACCGGGGCCATTGCAAAGTCCATCGCATCTGCTGTCACTATGACCCAGATGAAGATTGCCCCAACCGGAAATATGGTTTGCCTTGACTGCCTGGCCTGTAGTCCAGTATCGTCTGATCCATTTGTCATAACTATTAATAAAGATTATTTATAACCAAACTCACTTCCTTCCTATTCTAGAGCCTCTTTTCTCGGTTTAAAAAGTAAAACATCTCCTGGCTGTATGTATATAAGCTCAGTCCTGCTTTGCCGCCATCTCCAACAACCCTCCTCACTGAGCCAGCTTCAAGATCACGCCAACTAACTGTACTGAACCCTGACCACCCAGCCAGCCCTCTATTTCCCAGTAAATCCCAACCGTCTTCCATCTTGGCAGCTGAACATTACCCAACCTAACTTTAGTCTTGTTCACATCAACACACTAAGTGCGATATAGTAAGTAAGCAGTAAGCACCTACCCCAACCAGCAGCACGAAGCCGAAACCGTGCAACTCTATCGACTGCACACCCCTGCATAATAGCCAGCCATATCACAGTCAAATAATAAAGCCCATAGCGCCAGCACCAGCAGTATAACCCTTGTCAAGCGACCTCTCGCATCCCAAACATCAATCCAGAACTAACCATAAACCACAGACCCTTGACCCTTGACCCATCCCATCCCATCCAAAAACCCACACCAAACCATAATATGGAATCTAAGCGCACCCACAACCCCTTAACCCACCCCGCAAGAAACGAAGGAATAGAAACCTTCCGATTGGACACACTCTCGCAACCTTAATTCCGCTTGCGATGGTTGCGAGGGTGACGTCGTTGGGCTCTTTGATTGCATTCTGAAGCGGTGGGTGGGGTTAGATGTTCATGAGCTGAAGGTGCAGCAGCAGCAGATGGGATTCGTCTTCATAGATGGGGTTGGAGATGGGATATGGTGAGGAAGGGTTGTGTTCGTTCGTTTGTTCGATTGGAACTGAGAGATGACTGCTTTGAGTGATTAGTAGGTTTGTGTTGATTGTTATCCTTGTTTTAAGGGGCATCCTATCTCTTTCCAGAGTAGAGCTACAGTATATCCATGATGCTTATACAGTTTATACATGAATGAATGAGTATAACTAACCATCAAGTGACGTCATTCATGTCTACCCCCCTGCAAGCGGAAGAAAGAACTCCCGATGATCTGCTGTAAGCCCTGATGTTGTACAATCCCCGGGGTAGCTGCACCCAGTACCTCCGGTCTCCACTGATTCGGACGGGCTTTCAATCCGTCTACCCACGTCATTCGTAACTAACTTCCCCTTCTTTGATGATGTATATAGTCAGACTGTTGTACCTTGGGGAATAGAGGATCCCCAAGGATTAGTCTTGGAAAAAAGGGCTAGTTGCTTTCTTACCTGACCCCCGGCCTTCTACTCCGTTATAGTAGTTGTTGACAACTACTGATCCGGATTATTTTATACAGAATATATAACTTATCTAATTTTTTTTTCACTGAGATATGATTCCCGTCATGTCCTTTATCAAGCAAACGGGGGCTATTGAAATGATATTACCGCTTACTCGATTTGGAAGCATACGAATTGGCGTAGCACTGCCACTGTTGGCCGAATATTCGATAGCATTCCATCGTTTGAATACCCTCAAATCTGACCCCTATCGAGAGGCATAACTAGGAGCTAGATAGTCATTCGTTGAGAAGAATCAGACCTTCATTGACTTTCGATTGGCCATACCAATTACTAGTGATCCATGAACGGTACTGCCTTAACGATTTCAGCAACTATACATTTCCAAGTATTTCAATTCTTAAACGGCTACTCCCACCACACAGCGCAGGCAATCCGACCAGGTATGTGAAAATAGCCTGCGCGTGAGCAGAAGAAGCCTGCATGCTAGACTACCTATAGGACCTTAGCCTAGCTCCCAGGCCATCCTCTCTCAAAACACCCAACTCGGTAAGAACCGACGGAACCTGGCAAAAGCCCCAGGACCCAGACCCGGGTACGCCCTGGGCCCGAGGGGGTGGTCGGCGCACATGCGGACGTCGGACATTGTAACGCCCTCAGGCAGCTCTGCTGGGTCGATCATCATCACGCCCAGGGACCCGCACTCGGCTTTCGCCGCGGCGACCTCTTCGGGGGTTGCGTCTGGGCGGAGAGCCGCGAGGACGGCGGTTGCAGAGATGCCAAGGAGGAGGGAGAGGTAGGTAAGGGGTTTCATATTGGAGTTGGATCAAGTGATGATCTATTAGAGTAGTATAGTTAGCCCTGGAGAGGGGAAAAAATAAGAGATGAAGAGCAGAAGAGGGCTGATCAAGCAAGAAGGATGGGAGGAAGGGGGTTTCATACCTTCTAAAACTAACGCAGGAATACTGAAACGGTATTCGGTGAGTGTAAAAGGGAAGATGGCAGGCGCTAACCTTCTGGGAAATGAGAATATTAATATGTTGGGAAGCAGCCGGCTTATCCTGGCTGTTACTAGCGGGCAAGGGAGGTTCGGTGCTGGATCTCAGCGCTTAGCCTGGTGGGGAGCCTGCTTCTTTATACAGCTAAGAGCCTAAGCCCTGAGACCACTGACATCGGGCGACGTGGTTCGAAAGTCGCCCCGGGCAGCCTGATTGGTCAGTACCCTCGTTCTTGCTGCCTCCACGGTCACAGGGCAATCTTGATGGACAAAGGGACTCATTTTCCAGGTAACGATCTGTCCAACCACTAAGCCTTCGAGTTGAGTCATGGAACGGAGTTAGTGAGGTCTCACCCTGTCGCCGCTCTTATCCACGAAAACAGGCACACAGGAGATTTTCGTATCTGGTTAGAATAGAGTGGCCACTCGCAAAGGCATGGCAAGACTGGCCCCATCGGTGTAATGTCAGGGTTACGGAGACACGGTCCGGCCCGACCTTAGAGTGGGGAAAGAATCGTTCTTTCCAATACGTAGTATTAGTCGGTTGTGGATCCAGGGAGCTTAACTGAATTTAGGGACCTTGAGGGGTGGTGCTCTGTTGACATCCCAGATGACTAGGTCGCGGAATCCAGTTTTTAACACGGCACATCATGGTGCCACCACGAAGATAGTCTCAGATAGAAGCCAAGCGGAGCTGTCGAGGCTCGTGGCCTGCTTCCTCTTCCAAAGTTGCCGCTGTCGTCGATCACTCTAGTGACACAGGGCCACTAGTCGTCTTGGTCCACAGTGACTGGAAAGTGATCACATTGTCATAAGATATACGGCATGGATCCGAAGAATAGCTCAAGTTAAGTGAGATGTGTCCGGTATCCGTCGATTCTATTCTCGAGTTTCAGACTAGCCTAGTTGTTGACTTGATGGTATGCTCGTCTCTCCTCGGATGGAGTATTCCGCGTCTCTGTAAAGTCCACTAGGAAGCCCGTGACACTGAGTGGCACATCATCCCTGTAGTTTAATTCCACTACTGACACAGATTCGTTGGCCTATGCACATCAGTGGATGCTGTGTGCCTATTGACCCTACAAGTTTCCAAGTCTTCCTTCGCTCTCTTTTGTGACCAATGATAGATTCCGGAGCCGGAACTTCCGAATGGCAGGCACTCAGGGAAGCTCTTGCCTGTTGTGAACAAGCGCACAAAATGACGCTATTGCTTCCATGTCTCATTTCAAGGTGGCTGAGTCGTTAAGGGTTCGAGAGAATCAACAGACGATAGGGGCGTTGAGTGGTTGGCGGCGAGTCATGATGGCGCTTTCGCGGAAAGCCTCCCAACAGACCAAAGTCTGTCCAATTGGCTATGGGCGAGTATACTAAGTAGATTGATTAAATGATATAGTATATTATTAATAAGATATTTTAATAAAGTATAAGTATATTTAGAATAAAGAAAAGTAAATAAATAAATTCTTTATTTATATTAAGAGAATTAATTTAATTTAATTCTGGAATTAATTAGGTTTTAAATATTTAATAAAATAGCTTAATATTTCTAATTTTAGATAAGTTATCGATATTATTATATTTTATTATTATAAGATACTTTTTAAGTACTTATAAAGTACTTAATTAAATATAAGTATTGGTTAAGAGAAATTAAATTTATAATTATTGTATAATAATTTATAAGGTTCTATAGTTTATTTTTGTTTACTAAAGGGTTTAGTATTATATGAAATCAGGAACGACTTACATGAGCCATAAACTAAGGTCGTGTGACCTGTGTACACAGGTAGCACAAGTTCAACATCTGGCATAGTTTAAGTCATACTTCTAAAGACCAAATTGAGAGCGGCAAAAAAGTCATGCCAACCAGCTGGACTACACGCAATCGATCAAAGGACTACTTTATATGGTATAAGAGAGGATATTTAGAACAATGCATTAATAAATATGCTAAATACAAGGCACAAACACAAATGCTCAACAGACCAAAACCGGGACATAAACATAACCGGGTGGAATATGCACCATAATCATCATCGATGAAAAAACCGACAAAGCCAAACCATATAACCCTCTTGACCCTGACATAAAAGGAACCAAAGACAACCCCAGAACCCTCCTGTATAAGAATGGCCGGACCTTTATATAAAATAGTTCATAGAGGAAAAAAAAGCTAGGAAAGGGTTTCTAAATGCATAGGGGCAAAAGGACCTCGCCGCATCTTTAGTTGGAAGCCAAGAACTTGAGAACAGCCTCCTTCTCCTCAACAGGAAGGACGCTCAGGACTTGCTGCACACCCTTGAGACCGCCTTCCTTGTTGTTGATCAGCAACTGCGCAACCTCGGCAGCAACGTTCTCGGTCTTGAGAGCGTCGACCTTGCTCTGGATCGCCTTCTTGTTCTCCTCGTACCACATGGCCACGCGACGGTCGTCGTGCTCCAGCTCGTCGTCAAGGAAGCCGGTCCAGCCGTGCAGAGTGCGGAGGTGCACCGCGCGGGCGGATTCGGTCTGAGCAGGGGCGCTAACGTCGGCAGCGGCAGGGATGGCGACAGTGCCGTCGCGAGCAGCGGGAGAAGGAGCAACGGTGATCATGCGCTTGACGATCAGCTCTTCGCTGAGACGGCGGCGCAGACGCCAGTAGAAGAAACGACGGGCGTTCTTCCAGGTGAGGGCCTGGCGAATGGTGTTCTTGGCTTGCATACGTCCGGCACGGTCGTGAAGATCGGCGAATTGCAGAGCAATCTGCAGGTAGACAGGCAGAAGCTGCTCCTCGCGGACAGCCATCTTGGCCTTGATGTCCGAAAGCTGCTCCTTGCTGAGGGAAGTGTCCTCAAGAGAGCGACGAAGCTCGCCATACGTAGAATCCAAGCGAGCCATGGTAGCCAGCTGCTTGTCGCGGCGGTACTTGATGTTGACGATACCCTCAGGCTCGAGGACACCACCACGGGCCTCCTCGTCGGCGTACATCTCCATCTGGTCGGGGTTGATGGTGGGATCGACAACGACCCAAGATCCACCACGGAGCTCACCGTAGGGCGGGATGTAGATGAAGATGGGCTGCTCGTACTTGACGAGGGCATCGACGATGTAGGAACCGTACTTGAGAACCTCGTTGTACATGTCACGCTGACCACCAGAGAAACCTCTCCAATTGGCGAGGATCATCACGGGCAACTGCTCACCGTTGTTGAAGTCACGGAGGGCCTGGGCGGTCTTGAAGGCCGAGTTGGGGTACCAGACACCACCAGCTTCGGTGCTGATCATCTCCATGGAGTCAGGGTTGGCGGGATCGGCAGGAGTGACGTTCTCAACGGAGCGAGTCTCAACAGCGATGACACCCATGGGGATACCACCGAGTCTAGCGCGACCAACAACCACGGTACGAGCCCAACCGCCAAGAGCCTCCTCGAAGGAACCGGCATCGAACAAACCCGGAAGGAAACCTTCGTCATCCTGCTTACCGGCAATGAGCCAGCGAGGATCATAGGGCTGCTTGTTGGGAGGGTAGTAGTCGACATCACGGTCCCAAGTATCGAACCAGGGGCGGATGGGGATGGGAGCGCCCTTCCGGTCAGGGACAAAGGACATCCATTCCACAATCTTCTGCACACCCTCGAAGTCGTCAGTGGCGGTCATGTGAGACACACCGTTCTTGTACATGATCTGAGTACCACCCAACTGGAGGTTCGAGGTGTAGACCTCTCTGCCCAGCAGCTTGTTGATAGCAGGGGCACCAGTAAGGATGATGGGCTGGCCCTCGACCTGGATGGCCCTCTGTCCGAGACGGACCAGGTAGGCTCCGATACCGACGGAACGGCAGGTGACCAGGGTGATAGTGAAGATGTCCTCGTAAGCCTTGGAAGTGGCACCAGCGATGAGACCGGAGCCCTTCAGACACTCAACACCCAAGCCGTCCTTGGCACCGATAATGGTGGTGATCTTGTGGCGTTCTTCACCCTCATCGTTGATGAGCTCGGTGATGACCTCCTTCTTGCCGCTGGCATCTATCTTGCTCTTGACCTCAGGGGTAAAGTAGAGGTACTTGAAGCCGGCTTCAGGCTTGCTCGCGTCATTCCAGGCGACGGAGAAGTAAGGAATGAGCTCATCAGCCATACCGATACGAGCACCAGAGTTGGCAGAAAGGTAAATGCGAGGAATACCAAGCTTGCGGGCCAGCTCGGTACACTTGTTGAAGAACTTGTCCTCCAGGGGACCGAACGAACCAATCTGGAAAGTGATGTCGTTGGCAACAATGACGAAGCGTCTGCCACGGGGGTACTCGGGAGTGCGAGCAGTGACGATCCAACCAACCATACCGTGAGTGTTGGTACCGGGGCCGCGGGAGATCTCAACCAGGTTGTCGGTATCATCCAACACGAGCTCGCTGTAGTCGATGCATTCCCCAACAGGAGGGCGCTGCTCGGCCAGGGAGGGGATCTTCTCCACGGCCTTGGTCCAGCTGTTCTGGAAGGCCTGTCTGAAGAGCTCCGGGAAGTCGTAGACGTACTGAGTACCCATGAGGTGAGCCTTGTAACGCTTGGGCTGAAGCCATTCCTTGGTGGGGTAGGGGGTGGACACGGGGCGCAAGTGCATAGATCCGAGCTTGTTGCTGCCACCGTCAATGCTGTGGAAGATCCATTCACCCTTTTCGGACTTCTTCTCGATGTACAGCTCTACCTGGATGATGAAGCCGAAGGTGTTGGTGATGATCACACGCAGAGGGAAGGGGAGGCCGGTGGCGGGATCGGTGCAGAGGATGCGGATCTCAGCACCAGTGACACGCAGTCTCCAGAGGCGGCGACCGAAGCGCTCCAAGAAGCCGTTCAAAGCCTGCTCGACATCCTTGGGCTGGAGGTTGAAGACGGGCGAGAAGTTGATGAAGATGTGGTTCAAGTCGGAGTTGTTGTTGCCAATGATCTCCAGGGCATCTAGGATGTCGTTCATCAGACGGTCGGCCTCCGAAATCAGGTACTCCGCGGTGGGAATGTCGTCGCGCAGGCGACCGGGACGCACAACAGCACGGACGAAGTAGCGCTTGTCAACAGCCTTGTCGTTCTCAGGACCCTTACCGTAAGCCTCGTAAATGTGGATGT